CTCGTAAAGTTGCTAGCTGAATCAGCATGCTTTAGTCTAGTTCCAGTAGCTGCTCAGTTTAGGTTACAAGCTTATTATTTCCTATACTAGCCAGTAATGTATTTGATGCTGATGTATTGCATGGCTTACTCATAGCACACTACAACCAGGCCAAGAAAGCTCACTGTTAACATGTTATCATATCGATGGCATAGTTGCATGTAACACAATTAAGGAATCAACAGGTACATTTGGCTGTGTTATGTCTGGTTAACTGTATGAGTAGCCTACCTTGCCACCAGCTGGAGTTTGTAGAGACAGACTGTTATAATCTATTTTTAGTGTATGTTTCTTAGTAATCAGTGAGGACCAAGAAGCAAGAGATAAAAAGAGACCAGCACACAAAGAGAAAGAAACAAGTGTAAATGAAATAAAATCAATGTGAAACTATCACTACTTTCAGCTGAAACTAACTGCATAAATAAATAATTACATGATTAAGTAAATTAACAGAGTAACTGGAGAGAAATCAGTTTACTCACTTACTCGTTACTTAAGACGCTTATTCTCCTGGGTCATTGGAGTCTATGCATGCATTCACTGGTCAGAGGCAGGAAACACACTGGGCAGACATACACAATCACACATACACCTAGGGGCAGTTTGGTGTTTCCAATTGGCCTGACTGGATGTCTTTGGACTGTGGGAGGAAACCCACATGAGGAAAACATGTGAACTCCACACAGAAAGGCCCAGCCAGGGACTCGAACCCAGGCTCTTCTCGTTGTGAGGTGACAGCACTACCCACTGCACCACTGTGCCACCCCTGAATCAGTTTATGTAACAGTAATAGGAAAAATGAAGAGAGGAGAAACGAACAAATGAGAGAAAAAGATACATAATAATTAAGGAGAAATGACTTGGTTAGAAAAAAAACAACCAGAAAGAGAGTTTTTGTAATATATTTAGCAGTTAGTTTATTAGCTATTAGATGTAGGTCACTTTTCTGCAAAATGGACCTCACTAAAATTTTGATCCCAGTCATGTCGCTGCCCCAAACCTTTTTGGAATAATGTCTTGAGGATTGACGAATCAAAAGTGGAAGGTTTTGGAAGTCAGAGGTCCGGTTACATCTGGTATGAAGCTAACACAGAACCCCAAAATAAGAACATCACACTAACAATCAAACATGGTGGTGGTAGTATGATGGGGTAGGGAGGCTTAGCTGTTTCAGGGTCTGGGCAACTTGCCATAAATAATAAAACCATGAATTATGCTCTCTATTATTAGAATGTCCAGCCATCATTTCATGATCTGAAGCTTCAGTGCGATTGTGTTATGCAGCAAGACAACAATCCAAAACACAAGAGCAAGTCCACCTCTGAATTAAACAGGTAGTTTATGCTGGAAAGCCCTCCAGTTTGGCTGAATTAGAGCAATTATGCTCAGAAGAGCGGGCCAAGATTCCTCTACACTAATGCGAAAGACAGCTATAGGAAGCATTTAGTGGCTGCTTAGTCTTTTACATAGATGTAGAGGAATTTGCATGATTACATGAGGATCTGAAACCATTTAGTATGACAAATATGCAGAGGAAATCAATGGCTAATACTTTCTCACAGCACTATAATAGTGTTTTTTAATGACTGTTACTACAATGATCCCTGACTTTGGTGTAAGCTGCAACATTTGCACTCAGAGCTCTTTTAGCTGAATTGTTCATAAGCAGGAGATAAAAGCTTGCATCTCCATTTGCAGCATAGACGTGTAGGTTGCTTGTAAAAATGATTAATCTTGCTCAAATTCTTTTAAAATAATTCAACAAAAGCCAAAATGTGCTGTGCCGAGCCCCGCTCTCCCCTAACTAACAAATAATTTATAGCAGTAGCTCAATATTAATCTTAAGATAAATAACTTAAGGCTATTAATAACTTATGAATTATATTACCACAATTACCACATTAATTCATTTAATATGAATTAATTTCCAAAGCTGAAGTTAGTTCTTGCTGGCACAGCACTAAAAAAGGAACAGCCAGGTTATATGACCACATCAGAGTGATTTAAGCCTAGCAAAACAAATGTGGAGAGAATTATGAGTAAGTGTGCAGCGCTTGCTTTTAATTTAACGGCCTTGAATCGCTCCATCAAAGCTCGCTGACTCCCTCCTGATGAGAGCCACCCTGCAGAGGAAACTCTGCACTCAGTACAGGGTGTAGATGTGCTGAGATCAGCTGGAGGGATGGTGGGAAAGTTACAATGAATATGTGTTCGTGAACAGGGGTGTGGTAGAGTGCCCTCTTTTGGCTGGGACGTTAGTGGTAGGAGCATCTAAAAAACATCTGTTAAATTTAGCTTGTTTTAAAATGATAATCCATGGCAACTTCATTCATCTTTTCCCTTCTGTTGTTTTACTTAATTTTAACTTACTTTAAAGGGCCCACATTATGGAAAACTTAACTTTCCTCATTTTTTGTAATTAAGAATTTGAATATGGCATGTAAAAAGTTTCAAAACATACCGTTCTCTTGTCTAGTATTGTCTGGTACACACACACACACACACACACACACACATATATATATATATATATATATATATTAAACAAAGCTGCAAATGCATACTTTTTCACAGAATTCACAGTTTTGGTGATGTCATGCAAACCAAAATATTTACATATATCCACCTAAACACCTACAGGAGTTTAGCCCTGCCCACTCACACTGAAGTAGAGTGTTTCAACCCATTGCTTTTTAAAAGAGACACAATACAGGGCAGCCAATCAGAACAGAGACTGTTTACATATATCAGCCTTAAAGTGCAGCAACAAAACAGTCTGTTTAATGGTAATGCATAAAAAAGAAGCTAGAAAAATGTGATATAAAAATAGATTTATGACTTTTTTGTACATTAAACCAAACCAATGTTATGAGTGGATATCAGGGGAAAAAATAAAGGTCTAGAATAATGTAGAATACAGGCCCTTCAACTTAGGCCTAAATGAACAGATGTCTGGGGCACGCTGAAGCTCACAATGTGCCGCTTTGCTACGGTTTCTGGGTTGAACAACATGTTTCATCGAAATGGTGCAAAACGGTTTACAACGGGCTCTGAGGTACACTTTCTCTGATTCGATGGGTGTGTCAGAGGTGTTACCTATTCAGCAGCGACATGTATATAAACCCCACCATGTTGAAAAAAGGTAGTGGAAGGTGAACACAACAATTGAAAATGTTCGAAGATGTATTTTAAAGTATTAAACATGTATTAAACTCATTTCATCAGGCTCCCAAATTCTTCAAAAAGGATGCCAAGAATGGCCTTCTTAGCTGCCGTAGTTGCAATCTAATACAACAGAGTGTTCAATGCACCACTGTTTCCGTTTAAATAAACGCTTTACTACGTTTTGTCGGGATTGAACGCAGTTCTGGTTAACCAGACGGAGGGGAAAGGCAACAACAGAAAAAGAGGGAATAGACATTGATCAAAATTAGCGTAAACCTATAAGCTTATGATGAAGGTTTGACTGATCAGGCGTCTTCAGAGGAGCTAATGAGCTAACGCTAACTGCTTTAGCTTTAGCTGTTGCTGAGGACTCATCCTCTTCTACATGAGGTCTTTTCTCTTCAGTGAACGATGTCCCAACATGTTAGTTTATCGGAGAGATATAGTTTTCACAGTCTCTAAACTTAAGTAACATCATTTAACATTAACATTAGTTAGCCTATAGCGGAAGAGCTGCTTCAGAGCCGACTGCACTCTAAGCCTTCTCAGTCACGTGCTTAACAAACTGTCCTTCACTCACATTCAAGCACTGTTCCTTAGTAGCAAAGTATAATATACATACTCACAAAACTGTTACGCCGTTTTACTGTCAGTCTAAAACGTGAAATCCATGTTTTTCTTGAATTGTTAGCTAGTTTTTTTTTCCATCTTCCTGTGATGGAATGTCACAAATACCTAAATAGTGATCTCAGTATTTGAACACCGGCACCACAAACAGTTAACCAAGTACCCACATACATCCATAGGGAGAATAACAAGAAACATTATAAATGAGGACATAATGGACATAACTTGGATACACTCAACATGGCATCTATTTATGAGAAAAGCACCACCCTTTGAAAAAAAGAGCCAGCTGGTTTGCTGGTAAAGCTGCTAGCGAGAAAAGCTCCCATTGTTGTGGAGATATGCGCAGAACAGTAGACAGAACAAGCTTAAAATATGTTTTCTGCATTATTTAAGCCAAACACTGTAAACTGTTTATGCCGTTTTGTCAGATTTCACCAGTTCACCATTTCAAATATGTTTCTGAAACTTTATTGTAGCTTTCAGAGATAAGAGTCTGGTCTTGTTTGACTGGAAATAACTGCCCGGGGGCGTTGGTCAAGATGGCTACTGAGTAAAGGAATTTGGACATATCTAGCAGGTGGAGTTGGCAATGACACTTATTGGGTGGAAAATGGGGTTTAAAAATGGCTTCATGGTGGCTTTTACTACTGTTTTTAGCTTTGCATTGTTATAGACTGCATTGTCAAAAACCACATAAGCCACCACCTGATGTGGTATGAAGCATGTGTGATGTTTTAGGCATGTAGCTTGCACAGTGCTAATTGGTGGAGCATAACTAATATCCTGTTTGTTATAGCCTCATAGCATTAGTGCAAAACTCGAGAAGCAAACCTCAGACATCAAACATGTCTTGATTTATCATGTACGTTTTGGGGTAAAGGGGCAAAATGTGTAAGATTGATTTTTCACTGAACTATTGCTTTAAAACTCAGGCTGGTTTGAGCGTAGCAATGAACATACCTCACAAAACAGAAATACAAACTAGAACATACATGCCTCTTAAAGCCCAGCTGGTCTGAGTGAAATCCTAGCCCCTGAGAGTTTGCAGTCCTGATCTTATGTAAGCCCATTTGCTGATTTTAGAATGCAATTATATTAAACTCACTTCATAATCAAACAACTCATCAGATCATTACTTCCAAAAATGAAAACAAGGAGCAGTAGGCTGGCCAATTTAGATATTTATTTATATTCAGACAAACAACAGATTTTCCAACATATGTGGACAGACACGCACACACCAGCTGTGAGTTCAGCTCATGCGTTATACACCTGGAAGGATATGAAATCATCCTGATGATTCAAGCCAGCTATGTGTGCAGATGATAATCACCTTCTGCTCTCATTAACTTCTGCTTCTACTGGAGATTCCAGCTTGAACTGAATACCCTCAAACATCTGTTTACTGCTGATGAAAAGGATGATATGTTTCCATCAGAAAGTAAGCGCTAATTAACATGAGGGTAATTCATGGCGGTTCAAGTTAATTTATAGTCCTGTGAAGTCAGGCAACATTTCGTAGTTGGTGGCATGCCCATGTTAGGAACTCTGGGTCTTAGCATTTTCTCTCTATGGGGAAAATAAATGGGATTTTCAAAAACCAGTTCTGTGGTAAACAAAAATGTTTCAAAGCCGATGCTTTGGCCCGTGTGCACACTTTCTCCGAAGGCCACTAGATCCTCTGAATTACGAGATTGTTAAAGAGTTGCAATACGAATGCTATACCCATGCTACCAGCAGGCTAACTCTGCTAGCACTGAAATGACATTGAATGAAATTAACTTTACTATTAAACACTAGTTTACCCAACTCAAACTGTAGGCCACTACTACTAAAGCAACTTAACTACCACATTTGACAAAGCCTGCTGGTTTGTGTGGGGTAATTTGGTAAGGTTGTGGGTCTTACAATGTCAGCTCAACGTTCAGCAGTGTTAGCCTGCATGTTGCAATATTCGTTCTTAATGACCTTGTAATTCAGAGGATCCATTGATATTCAAAGCAAACATGAACATAGGACAAAACATCCAGTTTGGAACATTTTTGTTTACCACAGGATGCAATGCGATTTTCAAGAACACTTTTCATTATATAGGCCAAAAAAGGCATATAACTGGAGTTGTTAATATGAGCATGATACTTTAAACTAGGGATGCACTGAAACTTTGACCACTGAAAAAGAAAAACAGGCCAAACATTTTAGCCGAAAAGATGAAATAGGTCCACAATTAAATCCAAATCGAACACTTAACAAATAATCTGAATGATAATAACAATGAGAAATAATGATTAAATCATTCAAACAATTTGAGCTGTTGATACAAAGTAAAACACAACCACAGTCCCCTGCAGCTGCGTTCTCTGTACCCGTTAATGTGTCCGTTAATTTACATGCTTTAGCAATAACTGATTTAAGTTCTTTAACAGAAATCACATAAATAACTCTCAATATGTTTTCGTAAAAGACCTTTCTGAAAGTTTTGTTACTGCAAGCACAAATGTGTGTTAGATCTGGATGAGGTTCGCACACTCGCGACTTGAATGCCTGCAGCGCCCCCTGCTGGAGAAACTTCACTCTGCTAAACAGGAATTCCAAAGCCATGTCCATGAGTTGCTCTGGAATTCAGCTTTAGATGCCTTTGGGAAACCATGAAGTATTATATTTCAATCATTTTACAACTTTTAACACTTAATTTTGTAGCATGTTCAAGAAATGTGTACATGCTAGTTTTAGGTTGTGCGTTCTTCAGCATGTATTCACTGGGTTCATTTGGCTAAGGACTCTTATTGTAGAGGGCAGGGCTTGGAGCCACTCCTGTGGGTGCATAAACAAAGACTGAGGAAGACGAGGGGTCATGAGCTGTGTAGCGAATGAGCTGTTAGAAAAAAGAAAACTCTGCTAATGTACGGCGTAGCTGTGGCCTACAACAGCTGGAAAACAAAGCCACATGACTTGTGCAAAAGCTGTGTCTCTTTTAAAAGTGGTGAACGCTACAAAATTATTTACCAAGCTGTTTAAAATTAGCCTTCTCTTCCCCAACATACCAGTGCTTTCTTTTGCTTTTCATTTTTGGCCATGTGTGTCCTGAATTTCATTTTTTTTCAGTCAAGAATTTTCATTTCAGTGCATCACTACTGAACACAAAATGACAGCACGACTTGAAAGGTCTGTTTTAGCAACATTATTTTCTTAAATTTATATACTGCTTTAAAAATCTGTATTTTATATTGTGAAAATCCTTTCCAGTGTAACCAACACTCTCTTCAACATACAGAGTTGTTCTTGGCATAAGCGCTTGTAAAAACACTGTGTTGTGGTACGATTATAGGATTCACTCAGTGTTTCAGCATACAGGCCGAACGGTGTGCAAAGTACTACAGCAACACATCAACTGAGGTACTCATCACACTGCAGAAAACAGCCTCTTGTCAAGTCAAATTATCTCAATACTACTTGATCTATGTAATATTTCTTATTTTGAGATGGTTATGTAAGATTATCTAACTTGTTTCTTTACATTTTAAGTCATTTTATGTAAGAAAAATTATCTCACTATACTGGCAGGTAAGTTTGCTGGATTTCTTAATACAAGCAAAATTATCTGCCAATATGTGATATAACTTCACTTAATAAAATCACTTAAAATAAGTAAAAATGTTCGGAAATAAGTTAAATAATCTTGCAATAAGCTTTCAATAATCTCAAATGGAGAAATATTAGATTTAAGATCATTTTACTTGACAAGATTCCATTTTTTGCAGTGCAGATGTGAGGAGGGTTTGAAGACATATAAAAAATTGGCACATCTCCTGAAAAAACTGGGAAGAATAAAGGAAGAACTTTGAAGGTCATCCAGGTCACTGAATCATCAAGACAACTGAACATGGAGTAGGTCCACAAGTCCAGCCACCTAAACTTACTACTAACTAGAGACTGGAAGAACTTCTCCCTCTCTCCATCTCTCTCTCTCCCTCTCTCTCTCTCAGTGGAAGTATCTGGGAATGACTCCAGCTCTTGCTCACATATCCATGACCCGACAACTTGCCGTAACATTCCTACATATGTGAAAGACGTTTCTTTATCTTTCTCTCTCTCTCATACTCTCTCATCTGTCGTGCTCATACACTGAAAATAAGTAAAGCACTGAACTGACTTCATCCAAATGTGTGCATTATTTTCACATTCTTAAAAAATCATCTCAATTATTACCAAAAGTAATCTTGAAGACAAAACTGTGTTGACATCTTTATTGATGTGGAAATGATGTACACACTTGTAAACTCAATGCATCACTTTTTCAGTGCAGGACTTCCAGATGAACATTCATAAGAACTCAGTGGGATAAATACTGTATCAAAAGTATAGAAATCAATAAGTGCAGTTTGCATGAAGTCATTGGTGGATTTTAACGACACAAGTTGTAATGACATCCCTCCAACTTTGCCCCCTTCTCTACCCTGACTCATCCATCCACAGGCCATCAAAAACCTGACCACACGCAGTTTGGAAACAAAAAACAGACTGGACATTTCCTTTAAAGAGTAACGGTCATGGTTCCTGGTAATGGGGCTCCATGATAATACAACACGTAAATTCAACAGACTGCCATGCTGTATAAAGTATCGCTTGTTTTTTTTTCTGTCCTACAAAGTTGCGTGTGGTCGAAGTGGGGCAGCGGAAGCCTCTCACCAGCACTTGCCCAGGGGAACGAGGGAGGATTTCATTCGCCTGCTGGGACTGAAGATGTCCCTCGCTTCCGTCTCCAACCTAACACCAGGCACCTTAAAAATTGATACAGCTGGGAGAGAGAGGGAGAGAGAGAAGTCATGACAGAAGAAGACATGAAGAAACAAAGCCAGGCACACACACTGATTTCACAAGATGATGTGGACGCTAAGTGAGATTTCCTTTTCTTTGATCTCTGCGACAGGATAGGATAACCCTGAACGCTGAAGCTCTTGCGTAACTCTCTGAACAGAATAGTTCAGAAAGAAGTCATGATTTGCACGATTTCTTCCCTCACTTCAAAATGTAGTCAATCAGCCAAGTCATGTGGCGTCCAGAGTTTGCAGTAGAGCTACGAGGCTAATGTAGCTAACCAGCAATGGAAGCTACACTCAACTAATTATCACTGTGCACGATTCAGTTATTAAGATCAACATTAGGAGGGGTGTAGAATGGGCACTAAGGGGTGCTAATAACTTGCTAAACAAAGTTTTCCCAAACCAAAGCAGATCTTGAACTCTTTCAAGGCAACGTGGATCTCTTAAACGCTAACTCACTTACTTTTAGCAGTTAATGGTTAAAGTCATGGCCCTACTCTCTTAAAAAGATGGTTCTTTAAGAGTTTTTAGTAAAAAAAATGATCCTATATAGAACCATGAACTCTCAAAGAACCATTTGCATGATTAAGGATTCTTTGCATGAAATGGTTCTTCGGATTGATGAAGAATGTGTTATATATGGTTCAATATAGCACCTTTTTGAAAAGGGTTCTGCATAGCACCAAAAGGGGTTCTTCTATTGCTACAAGCTTGACATCATAACAACAGAAGAACCCTTTTGGGTGCTATACGGAAACCTTTCCAAAAAGGTTCTATAGAACCATTTATAGCACATTCTGCATCGATCTTCATCTAAAAATCTATATAAAACTATTTTCTTTACTAAAGAACCTTTGAAGAGCCATGTTTTTTACGAGTGTACAGGCTGGGGTTCAGATCGGGGTTCAGTTCCCCTCACTGGCAGAAGTACCAACAGAGACCCTTGAGGCCCTGCCACTCAAAAAGCTGGCATAGGCCAGTTTACAATAATTGATATGGATATGTTGCCTGATGCCTGAGACTTTGAGTCAAGGTTTTGGCCTAAAGCGTATTTATTATAATCTACTTATGGTGGAGATGTACATGCAAAGTGTTATAAGGGGAAACAGGCCAGAAAGAGTTTTCAGGTTTACTGGATATTTTTAAAATTGAATAAAATGGCTTTATTTGTGTTGTACACACCATGACCCCTGGTTCCTATCACCACCACTGTAAAGAGATGTGAGTCAGTAAGTTTCTCTACATTCTATTTCTCTTTAAAGGACTTTCAATGACTTTGTTTACATCACTATAATTGAGATTTTCAGATAAAATGTTGGTACTCACTATAATCTGAAATAGAATTGCTGTCTGAAATACTGAATACAGATTAATCAGTATTTAGATATGGTATTCATACAGTGCTAACTGGTAGAGGATTAGCTTCCATTACTTGTTAGGTACTTCAGTCTTGTAACTTCAGTCCAAAACCAAAGCAAACTTTAGTACGTTTTTTCTGACCGATTACATTTTGGTTGTTTGCTGATCTGTTCCTTTAAGGCAGGCTGTGCTATAGGGAAGACTCACTGTTAGAGCTTGAAATAACTGTCTGAACCCGACAGGACTACTCATTTCAGGATCGAATGTCGTTTCTCAAATATGTGCCAGGGATGGGTTACAAATTTCACGTTTGGGTTCTCACAGCCTGCCTCCCACTTTTAACAACAAAAAAAAATTACCCTGCATTTGGCCCTGCATTAGTTTTAATCCTTATTTTATCTTTTACTACTTTCACTACCTTAAATTGTTTTTTTTTTAATCTGGCACGCTGCACTCTCAAAGGTCCAAAGGCCTACACTCGTGAGAAAATAGGAGATAAACAGAGAATAAGCTAATAGGTAGGACATTAGCTTCCATTACTTGTTAGCTACTTCAATTATGTAACTTAAGGGCAAAACTAATGAAGCAAACCTAGACACCAATTATGTTTTTTCTTACCGATTACATTTTGGAGTAAGGGGTAAATTGTGTAAATGTAGTTGTTTGCTGATTAATTACTGGTCTGAGATCTGATGATGGCTATTACTGTCATAACACGGTCAAGTTTTCTTCCGCACTTTGGGAGACGATGGACTGGTTTGGGACAGAACTTTGTTATACTTGGATCAGTTTTAAACTCAAAACATGAAATTGTGGTTTATGTTAGGTCAACTCTCCAGGATTTCCCTGGACTGTCTAGGTCAGGGGTCAGCAACATGTGGCTCTGGAGCCGCATACAGCTCTTTTACTGCCCTGTTGTGTCTCCACAGCAGAATCAGATATTTAGGTAAAAATAAAATAATCCTCTTTTGCAGTAAAATAAAGCTCTGCTGATCGTTCTAATAAATGGTCTTAAACGCTGGAGTTAATATCTAACTGCTAATTCACCCTTTAACCCTGAAGATTGGCGTGCAGACTGCTGGTCACGCAGGCATAACAATGCAGATAACAATCTCACCTAGCTAGTAGATAATGAAACAGCACAGAAAAAGATTTAAGAAGAACATCGATAATTTGGAGATGAATGGACACATTTCCATTTATAATCACTCCAGCTGGTTTCCTGATACGTTTAATCTGCAACGAGAAACTGTCAAACACTAGAAAGTCACAAAGTTGAAATCAGTTTCTCATTCGAATTCTCCCGTTCCACCTTAACCCCTTAAAATCCCAGGCTTATTACATACTAAGGCTTATTACTGAGTAACTATAGAGACTTCAATGCGAACTACCTGAGCTACTCTTAGCTTATAGAAGTGTAATGTAAAACTTTGGGCCCGCCGGTGGGTCCTGGCCATTTAAGGGGTCAAATGGTGCAGCAGTCACATTCTGGCGCTTCAGGCACCATTTAAGGTGGAAAAATTCGGAAAAGAAGATGGAGAATGAGAAGCTGACTTCAGCCTTGTAAAAAGTCGAACGTTGAGAGACGTTTTACAAGAAATTTTTCAAGAAAGTTTCTTGCCAGGGATGTGAGGAAAGCGGCTACAGCTGAGCTAAAGCTTAAAGCAGAGCAAAGTAAGTGTGTTTTCATTTGTATTATATTTTTAGTCCATACTAGGACATTAGCACATACTGAGACATATTTACAGCCAAAATGGTAAAACGTTACTTCAATAAATGGACATAAAATGCTGTGATTCCCAAGGCGGATTGATTCTTGTTGAAAAGACAAAATGGCTCTTAGCATTTTCAAAGGGTTAAGTTGAACTTTAAATCGCTTCTTTTTGTGCAGTTGAACTATTTGTATACAAAGAATGGGTTTGAATAGTTCAGACTAGAGAAAATTCTGAAGCTAAACTTACATTTATCTACTTTAGACAGCATTGTGAGCACAGCTACCCCTCCACTGAATTTAACATAAAAATCAAGCTGCTGATTGAGTGCCCAGGAATTTTACAGAGTGACAGGTGAGGCAACCCTAGTTGGCTCAGGTTTGGACAGAATTTTTAAGGACTCAGGTTTGAACTCAAAACACGATGTGTGTCGGGTCAGGCTCAGGCAAAAAAATAGGCTATTCAGGTTCAGGCCAAATTTCCAGGCCTGATTAAAGCTCTACTCACTGTCCCGCAGCTGCATCACTGGGGGCGGGAGGGTGTTGAAGTAGGGGTGCTGCAGTGCATCCTGGGCCGAGATCCTGTCTTTGGGGACCATCATCAACATCTGCTGAGCCAAGTCTTCCGTCTTATAGGGCAACTGAGCGAATCTGAGCCAAAGCACGCACAGACACACACATACGCACATACACACACACAGAGGCCAAGGTATGGGTCAGGCTTTCATATGAGGGAAGTTGCTGTTGGGCTTGGGGGGAGGTGGTGGGGGTTCAGCTACACAAAGACCCCTCTGTTCAATCTTGGAAAAAGCACAGACACACACACACACATATATGCGCACACACACTCACACGTACTTATGTTCAGCTGAACTGATATTACCTTTTCCAGACATCTCTGAATTGCTGGGCTTTGCAGGGCAGGAACCATTCTGCAGGAACACACACAAAACAGCCTCTCAGTCTTCAGAGAAAGCTGAAACCGGCAGCCTCCGCCTTGAGCGTCTTCCATTAAAACACTCTCTCTCTCTCTCTTTCACTCTCTCTCTCTCTCTCTCTCTGTCTCTCACTATCCAGGCCTAGCATGACCTCGCACGCCCTGGAACCCACACAAGCTTGGCCGTCTCATGGACACATTCTCTGCCCGGCCTCTCTCTTTCCTCTGAGCGCTGAGCGGATGGCCACCCAGCCTCTCTCTGTCTCTCTCTTTCTCTCTCTCTGAAAGCTACTTTGTCTGTGTGAGGCTGTATTCACCTCCTAGCACACCTGGTTGTGGTTGAGAGACTGGCGTTGGGCCTAAACCTGACTCAGACAGTCAGGGAGAGAGAGAGAGAGAGAGAGTGCCATATACCCCATACAGCACTGTAATATCAAAAGACATGGCTTGGCATTTTCAGTAGGGGTACAATTTTTTGTCACAGAGTACTGAACCTAGTTGCTGAACAATATATCACCTAAACCAGTATACCAGTACTAGTGTCATGCAACAGTACTGAATTTCAGGTTTAGCTGTATTGATAGACAACAAAAACTTAAGCTGCATTAAAAGTTTTGGTGATTTGGTGACCTCTCTGGTGGAAATGTGTAATTGCACACAACATGCAGAACAATATTTTGTATCAGCACATGAATCTAATGAGCGCAAGAGTGTTGAAAGAGTATTCAGAGAGAACTCAGTTAAAACTTGATGAAGGACATGTCTTCCGAGGATATGAGTGATTAACTGCTATTGTCATCATATCTTTATCAGTATAATGTTAATTTTGCATTTGAGACCTAAACATCGAACCTTCTTTTTAAACCTGTGTGTAAAGATCTATGACATGGTCCAACTTTGTGACTTTTAAATAACTCTTTCAGGCTTTACGTGGTCGATTTGTAGCAGTGCATGCACACTATATATCAGCATGTTTTTATTCTACTCTCTTATAGGTTACTTCTTTGAATTTTAACAAACAATCTTACTTACTGCAGCTTTAAGTAATATTCAAATAGACTTGCTTATGGGCCAATCATCTAAGCGCTGGCCCTATCACTGGGAGACTGCGAGTTTGCTCCCTGCCCATGCCACATCCAAGAGAGCACAATTGGCCTTGCTCTCTCTGGGTGGGTAGGATGGCACTCCCTCTCATCATTCCTCAGTGTGATACTAGCCAACATGGGCATCTGTTCAATGACGCGACAGACTTGGCAGTTAGTGTTCTCCTCCAAGCGTGTTGAGCTGTCCAATGACGATGCATTAGCGGAAAACATGACTCAAACATAGGCACATACTAACTTTCACCCTTTCAGCTTTGTGGTATTGTAGCTAATAGGTGGGAATTAGCCATGACTAACAAAATTGAAAAATACATAAATATATATAGTTGACACACTTGCTTATGTGGCTTTTGACACTGTATGACATACTGGTACCCTATTAAAAAGAGAAAAGGTTTCATAGCCGGGGGATGCATTACTGCATTACCAGAGGCCTCAGACCACGAGGCCTGAGGCAGCTCAAAGACTTTGGACGGTCTACTGCAGATGCAAACATTGGATGAACAAATATTCCTTAAATATGTAATGACAAAATAAATTAAATAAAGGCCCCTCAGCCCAAACCCTGCCACCATATTTAAAACAATTAACAGCACCCAAAATAAGCAAATTTTCCAAACAATAAGTTTGTTTATATTACATTTTTTCCAACCCTACTCAAATCGAACTGTTCAGTACAGCTATTTTTCAGGGCTTCTTTGCCTTTTGTTTTTGGCATTACCGTCAGGCTGTGTGTGGGATAGAGGAGCTCAAAAGATGTTTGTGCTCAGGGGCCCCATGAAACCATGATCATAGCCGTCAAGTCTGTGATGTCACAGTCAGTTTTTATCAAATTCTACATGCTTTCCATCACCCACCTCCTTATTTCACTTGGGATTAAAGGAATATTTGGGCGAAAAATCAAAATTACATGATTTTCCACTTGCCCCAAATGCAGTCAATCTCAGCTAATACATGTTTGGTGACCAAGTTTTGCTTCTTTAGTTTAGAAATCGAGCTGCATGAGGCCTGTAGATTTAGTTCTGTAGTCACTGGACCCTGCAGTTCCTTACAAATACATTTGCACAGTAAACACACTGTATGAACCAAATACATCTATGTTATCTTACTATAAAATGGCTATTGCAAAGCTTCATTTGTTCATTCATTAGCAGCATTGTACTTAATCAGCTTACACTAGGATCACAGAAAATTAACAGTTATTTTATATCTTTACCAAGTTCATCTGTTTTTTCTAATAAAATATTAGACACAACGCGTCAGCTTGTTACACCCATCCTTTTAGTCAGCTGACAACTTGGAAAACATACCCTGATTTTGGCTAAATATGATAGATAAAAAAATAATTAACCTAGAAATAGAATTTACATAGAAAACATTAGCTTAACACAACAAATGTTGGGAAAAAAAAAACAATTTAATTATTTGCTTCACGGTCTAAAAACTGTAGACATATTTCCATCAAGGACCTGCCAAATCCTTTGACTACAGAACTAAAGCTACGAGCTGCACAATTCCTATGTTGCAATTGGAGCTACATTAGCCTCTGCATAACTTCCTGCTTTCCGGTACTACTCTGCCCTCAAACTCTAAGAGGATGGAGTGCAGCTTAAACAGGGCAGCAGTTACATTCTGGTGAATTAGGTGGAATGGAAAATTCGAATAAGAAGCCAACTTCAGCTTCATGCTGGTAGGTCCAGTATCCAACTGACACATTTCTTTAAGTGTATATCCAGGTTTAAACATACGTGGTCCTCAAATTTGTAATGAGACATTATATTGATTTTCTGAGAACACTTGCTCGGCTTCTTCAATTATGTCACCCTACGCTGTGCCTGTGTTGTGAATTCCCTTAGCCCCATCTTTGGTCATCTTGTGTGTAATGATACCAAACTGTGTTTAGGAAAGAAGTGATTCCGGTTGTCCTAAATGGCTGCCCCTTCTTTTAGCTACTTAGAAATGTATTTTTTCTGTTTTTATAATTCATAGTGAGTCATACTATGTTGTAAACCACATTGACGTATCCGTGCAACCTGAGTTTAGTCCTGGATGCAGTTTGAGTGAGTTGAGAGAAGTTTTGAGCTTGTATTTATGGAAATTATTGATTTCCAGTGTCTGTTAGCAACGATAGCCTCAAAGCTCCTGTTCTAAACTAAAGAAGCAAAATTAGAACACCAAAAATGTCTTGGCTGATCAACCGCAATTGGGCCAAGTGGAAAATCATGTAGATCTTATTCATTTAAATTGAAACATATGCATTATCTGTCTCTGCTCATAGCTGAATACATTTCAGCTTCCATTAACTGTTGGCTACTTTGGCCTCATAGCTCTACTTGATAAAGAAACAAACTTAAACGTCTTTTGTATTCTCAAATGTTTTGTATGCTCAAATGGCATTTTGAGTTGAATCAATTTAAATGAAACTGCACAGCTGTTGGTTCATTTCTCTGTCATTAATGCTGCTCAACAAATGTGTAGTGAGTGAAATTAAGTAAGCTATGTGGTTTAAATGAAATACAGTATTATGTTTGTTTGGGTAATATAATATTGCTGGGTAAAACTTCTTTCTTCCTCATTGGCACCGACTCCATCTATTTGCATACTAGATGTTTCTTTCCCCTTGTTTAATATACACCCAGGCTACCTGCCCTTAGGCGTACACTTTTCATGTTTCGCTAAGCCACCTGGCCTCATTTTTGCGGCTAAAAGGATGAGTTAGCATTCTCCCTGCTGCTGAGTGTGAGTGAATGTTGGTGGGAAACCACAGAGACCACATTCATACCAATGATTAACCCATCTGTGTTTGGCAAAATGGCCAATATTAGTTAATCAAAAACAGTTACATAGTTAGCTAATAAATCATTTAAGCAAACTGAGATTTGAAGTTTGACAAACTGAAAAAGTTCAATTAAAACAGTGAGAATTTATGAGCTGCAGAAACACAGATAGGATGTACATATCGGTTTCGCTGGCTTGATGAGGTCGGCACCTCGCTGACACTACGCCACTGCTGGTCCACCCTCAGACCACCCAGATTAATGTTCTGCATACAAGGTCTAACTCTCCTCAAACAGATTTTAAATGCACATAATTCAACTTTGGGAAAAAAAAAACATTTTATTTAGACAAACTTTACAAACGACTGAGAGAAAGAGTTACTGGCTAAGCCCAATATAAACTGATTTTGTTGAAAATGTTGTTGCGGACTGTGCTAATACTGTACACATCACTTACATTAAGTAGATGTTTTGTTAATATGTAACTTCCATTAAGGAAAACCTAACCTTACTCAACCTTACCCAAAAACCTAACCCTAAACCTGGTCCTAATCCTAACTCTAACCTCAACCCAAAACCTAATCCTAACCCTCACCCTGGCCCTAATCCCAACCCTAACCTTAACCTCAACCCAAAACCTAATCCTAACCCTCACCCTGGCCCTAATCCCAACCCTAACCTTAACCTCAACCCAAAACCTAATCCTAACCCTCACCCTGGCCCTAATCCTAATCCTAATTTTAACCACAACCTAATCCAGTTAAGATCCAGTTACAGAATGGTGTCAGTGTGTCTATAACAGCTTGTTGAGGATGTTGAGATGGTCTGTATTAAACCTGTTACATGTTCAGTTCCTCTCAGGTTAAACATCTACAGATATGAATTTAAGTGAAAAACAACTGAATTCAGCAGATTATAAACAAATTTTATTTATACAGTTAGAAGTCTCTTTATAATCTACTGAATGTATTCACTGCTGCTACATCATTGATATGTTGTTGATATGTTATCTGAGAGTCTGTTGAGTTTTTTCTTTCATAGATATATATATATATATATACCTAAATGCCGCATTGTCTGTTGTTCTCTATCTGACGCGATAATTAGCCGTCTGGACCAGCAGGAGAGTATTCAGTCTGCACCTGACGTTAAAAACAGAGTTTAGCGCTCCAGTAGGAACATAATCTCACACACATCAGCAAATACATCAATGTGTGAATCACTTCTAATCTTAATTCTTAATCCTAATCTTAATACACATAAAAATAGAATAACCCCCCCAAAACACAGCAAGAAGGACGAAGCTGAATTTGCCAGCTTCTTGTTCGAGTTTACCCGTTCCACCTTAAATGGTGCAGCGGTCACTTTCTGGTGCTTGAAGCTGGACCATTTATGGTGGAACTGGAAAATTCGAGCTAGAAGCTGGCAAATAAAAAGATAATTTCAGGTTCGTGTAAGAAGGTGCTAACGGTAATCTATTATGAATATCTATATGGATTAAGGAATGCTATAACTTACCAGCTAAGCTTTAACCATCACTGTACATAAATAACTACTACATAAATTTAGGATCCCCTGAATAGACTATTAAATGAAATAGGCTTAATACGAAACCAGAGGAAAAACACTTTCTGCATGTAATATTCTTGAAATAGTAGAACTTTGGATAGTATATTACTTAAACTGCTGCTCTGTAACAGTACTGAATGCAGTCCAGCAGCAATGTTGACCGCCCCAAGATGGCGGCACCATTGACGTGTGTTGCTGGACACAACGCGGCATCTAGGTATGTATATCTATGGTTTATCATCTAAAGAGGACCACTCAAAATAAAGCGTCACCAAAATATTTACTAATTCACAAAGGACAATGAAATAAAGAAATGATAAGGTAATTTACTGGTTTGTTTGACAGTGCTTAATTTTTAGTACTTCATTTTTGTAGGGCAGTGTGTTACTTCTTAAGTTACGTGAACTTATTCAGACTTACAGTGTATCTGTCTCAGCACTAAGAGCGGTCTAGTGCATTTCTAATATTTTTAACTGTGCTAATGTTTTTAGCATGCACTACAGTCATAATCCATTGTAATGCTTTGTTTCTTATCATCTGGCCCTGCGTGCTGGTTCTGCGTGGTGGATTCACGGCTGTTCTTGGGAAAGCTTTCGAAACCCCCCCCACACACACACACCTTCCTGTTTCCAGTGTGTGAAGGTGTGTGTTTGTGTCTGACTCAAGGGTGTGAAGTCAGCGTGTAACGTGTTAGCTCAGCGCTAACCTGCAGTGCTCAGACACACACAGTCACACATACAGGCACCACTCTGTGAATTTGCTGCTGTGTTAGACATTATATATATTTGCACACTTTATATATGTTTAATGAGAAGCCACAGCTGGCTAAGATCCCCTCAAACATAGCATACACCCCCTCACACAGCCTTCTTCACACACAAGCTTACAAGTCAAGTTAATTTCCAGACAAAGTGCAAGTTATTTATTTTTAAGCTTCAGGAAAAAAAAACAGAAAACAAATATTTAAAACAAACCTCAGCAATAATATTCCAGTCCATTGTTCTGAAAGTACCAGCAACTTCTTTGTTTGATTATTTATCAGATTTTTTATTTCTTTTTTCTGCATTTGGATGTAATAAATGTACAAATGGCTGGTGCACAGTTTAAAGGGGAAGTCCACTGTTTTTTTCTGAATTTCTGCGTAATTTAATCTTTGAGTCTGATAAAGTCAGTCAGAGTGGTTTGATGTGAAATGGTTCACTGTAGAGAAACTTACCAACGTGGATTTCCTTACAGTGGTGGTGAAAGGAACCAGAGGTCTCTACAACAGTGTATATAGCCATTTCATTTAATATCCAAAATGACTCAACCTACATGAGTCTTCTGGGTTTTGCTATGTGATGTTGAAAATGGTGAAATAGTAGTAAACCTGAAGAAATTTGTTTTCTTTGGGATTATTTTGCCTGACGACGCTCTGCATCTGCATGAAAAATTGTTTCAGGCCAAAAGTTTATCTCAATATTATCATAAACAATGTCTCAGGTATCAGGCAGTGTATTCATAATCATTTCATGTAAAGACTTTCTGTGATGTAGCTTTAAGAGACATTAAAAGCCTAAGACGTCTGGTTCCTATCACCACCACTGTGAACAATTCTGACTTTGTACGTTTCACATTAAAAACCACTCTGATTGACTTTACAACCACTGAACTATGCAGGAGATCCTGAAAGATTGGTGGAGTTCCTCTTTAAGATATATATGTGTGTGAGGGTATGCGTGCACGTGCACGCTGGGATTGTTAATCTCCGAATATATAAACCAGTAAATGTTCCTTACGGAAAACATGTTAATAGGCAAGCTGAGTCAACGGCCCACCCCCCTTTACAGTGTACAGTGGGTTTAAAGCATGGCTGAGTCAGAGGATTTAACGGGTAAAAGGCAGTAAAGCATAAAATTGAGCTCATCATTAACCCTTACAAACACCGCAGGGCTTGAGAGCGAAAAAGAATGTGTCAACTCACCTGGTTTATAGTTGGGCAGCTCACTCACACCCGGCCAGCTTTCTTCTGTGGGCACCCCCAGAACCTGGACAGGAAGAGTGGGAGGGAGGAGAAGAGATGTGTCTGAATGCACTCGCACTAATCTGGGCACTAATATGAACAGATGTTTGTATGTTTGTACACTACACTGAAAACACACTTTTTACAGTGTAGGGGTAGATGGATAGATGCATAGATGTGTAGATGACGTAAGGCATTATGTACACATAACACTCATAATTACACTTTGCATATTTAAAGGCCTCAGTGCAAAAACATGACATAAAGCGTAGAAAACAAAATATCAAACAAAAACATTCATATTTAGTAGAATGCAAAAAACAACAATCAAAGTTATGAGAGGAAATCACAGAGCACAGAAGGAATAATGTAAAAGGAATAATAACTATGTGATGTTCCTAAAAGTTGGTTATGAGATGCTGTTTTTTAATTTAAGGTGAATTTTATGCACTAAGCCATTTTTGATACTATATATCACAGGCATACAGTATCATATTACCAGCAGCTTTAATGCCGTGATCTGAAGTGCTGAAAAAGTTGCTGTTATTTACTGCTGTTACTTTTCTCCATATTGCCAGATCCTAACTCACTGGCAGACATGGTTGTAATTCATACTGAATACACGCTTACTGTCCAAATCTTCAGCAACTGCTCAAAGACATCAGCCACACCAGGGAACGCTGGCGCCCCCTGTAGCATCTCAATGAAAATGCAGCCAGCACCCCTATAACAGAAAACAACCGCTAGAAAAGACTAGAAGTTAAAAAAAATTGTCAGTAAAAACTTGAGTTGTGTTGGTTAAGGACTTGTGAAAAAATCACTGCATCTGTCTATAATTTTGGCCTGTACTGTGCCTCACCAGATGTCCAGTGCTGTTGAATAGTCTGTGGAACCCAGCAAAACATCAGGTGGTCTGTACCACAACGTCACAACTTCTGCTGAATATGTTTGGCATGGGATAGACTTGGACCGGGCCAGACCTGCTCAGAGAAAAGACACCACAAGGCATTTGAAACAGTCGAAGAGAAGAACTTTGTAATTAAGTAATTATATGAAATATATAATCTAGCACATGAGACATATTCATTACATTTAGACACTAACATACTCTGTAGAGGTTGTGTTAACTTACATGATTTGCATATCATTGCATCATACGTATATTATATATATATATATATATATATATATATATATATATATATATATATATATATATATAATGCAATGATATGCAAATCATGTAAACCATATATTTAAAGGAAAATACTACAAAGACAACATATCAAATGTTTTAAATGAGAAATTTATTGTTTTTTGAAAAATATATGCCCATTTTTAATTTGATGCCAACAACATGTTCCAAAAAAGTTGGCACGGGGGCATGTTTACCACTGTGCTGCATCACCTTTTCTTGTAACAATACTCTGTAAGCATTTGGGAACTGAGGAAACCGACTGCTGTAGTTTTGAAAGTGAAATGTTTTCCCATGCATGTTTGATATAGGATTTCAGCTGCTCAACAGTTCCGGGTCTCCTTTGTCAAATTTATAATTTCTTAATGCGCCAAATGTTTTCAGTGGGTGACAGGTCTGGACTGCAGACAGGCCAGTTTAGGACCCGGACTCTTTTAATACGGAGCAATGCTGCTGTAGTACGTGTAGAATGTGGTTTGGCATCATCATGCTGAAATAAGAAAGGCCTTCCCTGAAAAAGACGTCATCTTGATGGCAGCTTATGTTGCCAAAACATGTATATATTGTTCAACATTAATGGTGCCTTCACAGATGTGCACGTCACCCATGCCATGTGCACTAATGCTCCCCTATACCATCATGAATATTGTCTTTTGAACTGTGTACTGATAACAAGCTGAGTGGTCTTTAGGACACAGTGTCCATGATTTCCAAAAAGAATTTCAAATGTTGATTTGTTGGACCACAGGACACTTTTCCACTTCCCCTCAGTCCATTTTAAATGAGCTCAGGCCCAGAGAAGGCGGCAGCATTTCTGGATCCTGTTTATATATGGTTTCTTCTTTGCGTTTTAGAGTTTTAACTTGCATTTGTAGATGCAATGATGAACTGTGTTCACAGTTTTTATTTACATTTTGCCCAGCGTCGCCATTTTATTTGGAAATGGAGTTGTGTATATATATATATATATATATATATATATATATATATACACATATATATATATATATGTATGCCCACCAAAGTCAGCCAGTTTGAGCTCTCCCAAGTAGCTGATGAGCAGGTTCTGAGGCTTTAGGTCCCGATGCAGGATCCTCCTACTGTGGATATATGATAGACCTCGCAACAGCTGGAACATAAAGATCTGATGGAGAGATAGAGAGAGAGAGAGAGAGACAGAGAGTGAGAGATTATTTCCTTTCCTCTGCTTTGAACTGAAGCCATGTGAAGCCAAAGGCAAAAGCAGATTGTCTTACTCGAACATTGTACGAGTGCAGTCCTCCTGGGTGCTGTATCATATACTGGGCCAAGTCTGTTTGCTGACAGAGAGAGCGAGAGAGAGAGAGAGAGAGAGAGAGAGAGAGAGAGGGAGAGAGGGAGACATATACACATTTATACACATACTGAGATATTAAGTACTGTAATACTGTTAATATTAGTTATTCGATACTATTTAAGACTATTAATACTAGTGTTATGTTATTATAGGCATTTGATATGTTATTATTATTATTTTATACGATGAGAATTGTGATGTGACAAATGTCTTAAGTTAATAATAAGTTATAAGCCCCAATGCTAATGTGTTTATTGTGTATTGCCGAAGGCTGGAGTCCTGCAGAGGTAGAACTTGGAGAAAATGGTGGCCTGTACTTACCACATACTCAAAGACGAAGGTAAGAGACTCGCGTGTGTGGATGATATCATGGAGCAGAACAATATTAGCATGCTTCAGGCCTTTCAACAGAGAGGCTGGGAACACAAAAGACATACAATGTATTTGCAATGCATATTCTGAGCAGCAGATAAACGCACTAAATCAGTATTTTTCAACTAGGGACTTGGAGAATCCTAGTTGGCCCATATTTCTAGTTGGCTCCATATTCCATATCTCAGGCCAAAACACAAACTCACTGTCAAACACCTCAGAATAAGAGTGCTGATTGGACATTGCTCTTGTGAAAAAAGGAAATTTACACAATTTTCCCCTTACAGCCAATGCAGCAAATCACCCGATGCAGCTAAAGTTTTATATGGGCAAAGTCTTTGGTTTGTGACACTGGATGATATTCTGTTATCTATAAAAATGGACAAAAGTACAGATAAAAGATTAGCCTTCAAGATGGCCGTTACTACTGTTTTTAGATACATGATGTATTTTTGTCCATACTTTGACTGATTTGAATAGATAATAGTATGTTACAGTTACATAAACATCTGAAATTAAGTAAAGGCACACAATGACCTGAAAAATGTAACCATCTGCTGTATCTGTTGTAAACATGTCTACTTGCATCCTACAGCACCGCAGCAGAGTGAGATTTTCCAGTTTAAAGATTTGGAAATCCCCCTTTTAATGATGTATCCTGTTGGGAGGAACATTTCAAAAACTACAGCTGCTTTGAGGCTGGATTTTGGGAGGAACTTGCTTTTTTCTCTCTTTAGCTGGTGTACATGGAAGGAAGGTGGATAGCTAATGTTACTACAAGGAAGCTGAAAAGATTATTACAGCTGTATAATTACAGTCACTGTCTTTAGATCATCATTACAACGAAAAGAAAGGATTATTCAAACAACAAAAATGGCACGTCAGATGATGAGGATAACAAGCTACCCGGTTAGCAAAATTTATCTAGACTCCTTGGGTTTGTTCTGGCCTAGTATACGGCTAGGTACTCAGCCCATATCTGGCCCCCACACTGCAAAGAGAGTAGAACTAACGGATATGGTCCAAATCTGGCCCGACCACATTGTTGGTCCATGATAATCATGGCAGACTTGGCGCACAAATAAAAAACACAAGGCAAAACCATATAAAGCTGCCCACCATCTGGCCCTATTCTGGCCCACATGCCTAACATCTGCCTGACAGCTAACCACCAATTGCATACGAAAGCCTGAGTCAGCCCAAAAAGTAGCTGGCTATCTAGATATCTCTTTTCTCTGACTGGTAGAAAAACATTCATGTTGTGCTGAATAAAGACAAAATATCTGTTTTCTTTACAATTTGTTTGACAACTAAGGTAAGAGTGACACTAACGCTAGCTCGGTTGTATTTGTAGTCTATAGATCAGTGGCTAGGCTAGCAGTCATTGGTTGACACCACAGGGATTCCCAATGATTATATGATGTATTTGCGTAATGCATGCTGGGTATTGTAATGAGAGAACAGTGATGAATGGAAAACATGAAAATGATAAGAAGGATACTATGCTGTGCGACAGAATTTCATATTAAACTTAATGTTTTAGGCAAAAATGCACATTTAACCCAACACAGTTTGAAGCAGTGTGCAATGAATCAGGCAAAACAGCAAAGAACTTCAGGGTGGATGGCGCTGGTAATGCTGCATTGGTACTACAGGATTTTGTACTAATCCTGAGAGAGTCTTCATAACTTCATGTGGTTATTTAATTTTTTTCCATCATCGTAAATCGTAAACTTGCACTGGCCTCACATTTCACTGGGGGCGTGCTACATTAGCATTGTAGCTCCAGTGCAAATTGAAGAAGCAAACATTGCATACCAAACATGTCTCGGCAGAATGAGTGCATTTCAAGTAAGGGTAAATTTGTGTAAATTAAAATTTTCAGTGAACTATTCTTTTATTGCAGCAGTATGGAAAAGAGTCGGCCGATGGGGCTTGACAAACAGGTCCTGCTTTCTCTTACCCTCTCTGATAGCAGTGAATGGAACGCCCTCTTCAGTCTTCATACGGATCACTTTTAGTGCCACCAAGTGGCCATTTATCCTTCAAGCACAGCAGAGACACACATCACATGAGCTGAACCACAGAAACTAAGCCATTAAGAAGGTTTTGTGTTAGTGCAAGCCTCTACATCAAGCTTTTATGACAAACCTGATTTCTCAAAATGTCTGCATAATTCAACAGTTGTGATGTAAACAAAGTCATTCAGAGTGGATTAATATGAAATGGTTAACTGTAGAGAAACTTACAGACTTGGATTTCTTTACAGTGGTGGTGATGGGAACCAGTAGTCGCGATCTCTTCAACGTGTATATGGCCATTTTATTTCATATCCTAAATGACAAGTCAACCTACATGAGTCTTCTGAGTTGTTATATGTGATGTTGATAATGGTGAAATAGTAGTAAATCTGAAAAATATGTTTTCTTTCTTTGGAGACTGTTTTTCATTACAGTGTGCTGTACATACTTCTCCACCAGGAATGGCTTCTAAAAATCAGTTTAAAGGCCAAAATCTTATCTTAAAACTGTCATACAACAGTGTCTAAAGTAAGAGTCAGCATATTCGTAACCATTTCACGCAATAACTTTATTAGATGTAGCTTTTAGAGGCATTAAACTCTTCAGATGTCTGGTTCTTATCACCACCACTGTGGAAAAATCTGAATCCTTCTTTAAAGCATGAGCATAAGAGTAAAATGAGTGCATTCATTTGACTTGGCAGTGTGTCGTTGGCTTTCACTGAGACTGGTTGCTGTTTTGGTCAATGTACCACACATTTCAGCACTGAAAAAATAAACATATAAATGACTTCAGAGTTCTTATTTGAAGAATTGGCTGATGATTTATGTTTACATTACATAAGGACACTCGTACTGACGAAGGAACAGCTCACATTGTCTCACTTCCTCGAAGAGCTACTTCTCCAAACTGGAGCAAGTGGCAGTCGCCACAATATGTATTCACACCGACTGGCCACTTCATTCAGTACTCATATATGTATCTACACACTTTGTCCATTTTATTAGCTCCATTTAGCATATAGGTGCACTTTGTAGTTTTACAATCACAGACTGTTTCTCTGCATACCCTTTCACCCTGTTCTTCAGTGGTCAGGACCCCCACAGGACTACCACAGAGCAGGTATTATTTAGGTGGTGGGTCATTCTCAGCATTGCAGTGACACGGACATGATGCTGACATGTTAATGTGTGTTCCGGTAATATGAGTAGATCAGACACAGCAGTGCTGCTCTAGCCAACAGCGTCCTGTGGGCAGCATCCTGTGACCACTGATGAAGGACTAGAGGAAGACTAACTCAAACTGTGCAACAACAGACGAGCCACTGTGTCTGACTTTACATCTACAAGGTGGACTAGCAAAGTAGGTGTGTCTAATAGAGTGGACAGTTAGTGGACACAGTGTTTAAACTCCAGCAGCACTGCAGTGTCTGATCCACTTGTACCAGCTCAACGCACACTAACACACCACCACCACATCAGTGTTACTGCAGTGCTGAGAATGATCTACCACCCAATTAATACCTGCTCTGTGGTGGTCCTGTGGGGGTCCTGATCACTGAAGAACAGGGTAAAAGGGAGATAACAAAGTCTGCAACTGTAAAACTACAAAGTGCACCTATATGATAAATGGAGCTAATAAAATGGACAAAGAGTGTAGATACAAAGATGTGTACTGAATGAAGTGGCCGCTCCGCGTGGATATGGTGCCTGCCATTCGCTCTAGTTTGCAGAAGGAGCTCTAGAGGCATGCCATGCAGAGTTGCACTGCACACCCTGCCCCCCTCCACCAAAGGGATGTTAAATGTTGTTGTTTGTTTGTGTGGTTTTTCTTTGGGTTAAAGGTGTGAGTATGTGTTTATTGTGTCATTTTGTGTTGCGCTGTGGGGTTAGTTGGAGTGGATTTGCATCTGCTGTATAGTACTAGTTATAGCTCTTCAGTGACTTTGCCTGCTATCCCTGGCAGTGTCAAGTGCCTTTCCAGTGCCTTCCACTAATAAAAAAACACCAGTTCTTGTGGCAGAAATCATGGTCTCTCCCATATAACATTTGCAAACCAAACCAAGAAGCTGCTGATGTTCTCAGAACAATGAACTAACCACCCTATAGTCCAGAGCTCAGTGTCACTGAATGTGTTTGGGATTATGTGGTTCATATATATATATATATATATATATATATATATATATATGTATGTAGTAAAAACAGCTGGGCTCCATATGGCTCGGAGGGCCCTAAGCAAGCACTTATATCACTTGTAGCAAAGAACAGCCCTGCCTGTACAGTAAGCACTGGATGTCACTCACTGTGAGGGCAAATGATTTTTTTGTCAGTGTGAGAGAAAGCAGGATTGATTGATATGTCATTCAGCCAGCAGAGGGCAACCACAGCACTATTCTGCAACTGACTAGGCCACAATACTTCTACACAAACTTTGATCGATGATGTTTCAGCCCTGTTTCAGTCATTTTTAACATGCCCACCCCAGCTTTGGCTTACCATTAAGAATGGCATCACACCTACATCACAGTACAAGAGGGGTCGTGGACAGTGAAGAGTGCACTCGCTCTTCGCTAGGTTAGTTATAGCAAGCTATATAGCTAGCCATGCAAAATTTGTAATGCGTAACTTTTTTCAGACGTTTGGACATAATGTACATTTATTCTGTGAATAATTGCTTTGTTTGGCTGTTAACTGGAGTTTAGAACTGTGTCTTGTCTCATATGTTATATTGTTGCAACCTGTGTAGACACATTTCACTTAAGCTATTGAAGTAATAGAACGGCTCTTACAGTGTTGTGGGAGATTCAGTTGAGAGGAAATGGTGAGGCCAAGTGTGAATGTTGTAATTTGGTGTGTTAAAACTGGCACTGTGGTGTGTCAGTTTTCAGAACGGTGCTGAGTGACTTTATTAAAACAGCTTAATTCATAGTAGACTGGTGGGTTAGATAAGCCTGTAGATTAGCCTGTTGTGCAAGTGTTCAGACATCCTATCTGGGGTGTGCAAGTCGTACCCCATAATTTCCAGTCAAACTGGCAAGTCCATCATTTTCCAGGAAATATTTCTGAGGAGATTAAATATCAGATACTCCACTTGCATAAGGAAAAGAAAAGTCAAAGGACAACAAGTGAAAAAAGTTCCAAAAATTATGTAGAGAAAATTGGGCTCCTAACAAATGTGCAAGACATATGGCAGACCTCCAAAACTGCCACCATCAGATAAACTTTATCTTTAATCTTTAAGAGATGAAAAGTGAAGGAGAAAATCCAGCTTCACTCTTACTTCAGATCTAAAAAATCCGATTTCTATCCATCCTTCCACTGTGGGAAGACAACTCAGCCAGAAAAGATGCACATCTGTCAAGAAGCCCTTACAGAGAAAAGGAGACAAATGAAAAAGAACATTTGCAAACCTGCTGAGTACCCAGAACAATGAACTGACCACCCCAGAGTCCAGAGCTCAGGGTCACTGCATGTGTTTGGGGCTACATGGTTCATGAGAAGCAGATTATTTGAAGCCTTTGTTTAAATTTTTGTTAAACATATGTTTTCTGCTTTTTCCCCACACTGAAAATGAACACCTTGTACTAAACGGCCATTCATTAGAAATTAAATATATGAAAGGTGGTCTCTGACCTTTGCACAGTATCGTTTGCATGCCTATGTGTCTGCATGTACGTGTTTGAGTGCAGGTACTAACCTGCTTATTCCTTTGTACACAGTGGCGTAGGTGCCCTCTCCTAGTTTCTCCAGGTTCAGGTAAGAAGTGGCTGTTCCAAACTGCAGCCCTGTGTTCTGTGAACACAATACAGAATATGTGACTATTGTTTAGACATGATACGATTATGTGTCTTCAAAATGCCTGAGTCTGTGACTGTGTGTGTGCGCTCACCCACTGGAACTCCTGCTGGAAGCTTTTGCCCCCCAGCGGGTCGCTGTTGCTGCGTCCTCTCTGCACCCGCAGCCTGCGCACCTGCAGGGTGTGGAACCAGTGCGGCTGAGGGGTTTCAACGCCATCCAACTCACCCAGCTACAGAGAGAGAGAGGCAGAGAAAGAGAGAGAAGGGGGTGGTGACAGATATGACAGTTTAAGATTATCTGTAAATACTATGATCAGTAAGCCCCAAATTGGCCATCTATCATCTCTGACATAATAGGATGCGATGTGTGATCATGTGATTCTAAAGGCTTTATCATCAACAGGGAACTGAAGTCTGAGAAGAAGAGAGAAGGTGAGAGACGGAGGGTAAAAAACAGAAACACTGATAAAGAGAGAGATACGGAGTGAGAGAGGTGGGTAGACAGAGAAGAAAATCCACGAGTGCTATAATATAACCTTTGCTTTACAGGCAAACTACAGTGACTCTTAGACCCCGTTTATGGCAAGTTCCTTCTGTGCTGGACACAGCTACAAACGGCCAATGACAAGAGGTAAGATTTGAAGACCCTTCTGTGCTGGACACAAGTACATGTGACTAAAGGCAGCAGGAGCTTTGGTGTGACCCAGAGTGGATGTGATGGACACAATGTCTGTCATTCTCCAGTCTGACTGTTTACATGTTTAACGTCTTATTATGACATAATAAACTATAGGAAAGATGTCTCGTATGACTATTTCCATGTCCTGTTATGACAACATAACCACAGGGTGACTGTTTGTATGTCCCATCATAACACTCTAATCTATAGGAAAGACTGGACTGACCGTTTTTGCCTTATTGTGACATCATGATATATTGGAAAAATGACTATTACGAATGCTTGCATGCCTTATTATGACATCATAATGTATAGGAAAGATGATTGTTATGACTGTTTTCATGCCCTATTATGACCTTATGATATATTGGAACTCTGATTTTCATTAGAGTTTCATGCCCTGTTATGACATCATAATCTATAGGAAAGATGATTGCTATGACTGTTTTCATGCCCTGTTGTGACATCATAATCTATATGAAAAGTGATCGTTATGACTGTTTTTTCATACTGTATTATGACATTGTAATCCATAGGAAAGATGATTGTTTTGACTTTTCACGACCTAATATGTCATCATAATCTACAGGAAAGATGACTGTTATGACTGTTTTCATGCCTAATTATGACATCATAATCTATAGGAAAGATGATTGTTATGACTGTTTTCATGTCCTATTATGACATCATAATGTACAGAAAAGACCTCATCATGTCCAGCTGTAGCTTAGCCTGGGCAGGTACGACAAAAAGAAATTTGTAAAGATATTTTAAATCAAATACAAATATCCCAGGAGTTTAAATGGGGAGTGAAATTTTACTGCTTTTTTAGACACAAGAGGACACATGTTGGACTGTTAGCATATCCTGCAATGCTCCTACTGTTGATACTCAAGTGCATTTGACTGCAAGTGCTTTGAACTTTAACTCAAGTAAAAATGTAAATAGAGCACATATATTTTCACTTGAGTAATATTTTACTGAGGGTATCTCGAGTATGACATTTGTATATTTTATCTACCTTTGCATTTTGTATGCCTCCATCAGCCAAAAGAAAGCAGGCAATTTCCCTATGGTGCCATACAGCCTGTTATGTCTTCCTACCATTTTCCAGTCAAAAAGGCAGATCAGTTCATCTACATTAGATGTTATGGCTCATTGATGAGTGACAGCTCCCCTTCTCGCTACACATTACCTCCGTGATTGGCAGGGACGACACACTCCAGCTCTTCGAAGGCCTCTCTTCCATTTCCACCTCCTCATCTTCCTCTCTCCATCTATCCCTAGCCTCGGCCACGCTTTCCTGCCCATTCCTGACATCTTTCTCTCGTCCACAACACCAACAGCATTTGCTCACACACAGAGAACCCCAGAGCCGGAGCCTCCATAGCAAGTCCTCCATTACTCTCTCGGTCTGGCTGTGGGTCGGCCCTGTCGCTCATATGACCAGCATAAGTGTGTGTGCGTGTGTGTGTTGTACGCAGCAGCCTGGTCTCATGACCATCTCTCGTCCTTAGGAGTGAAACAAAAACAGCCATGTTCTCTTTCCTAGTAGGAACAAGCATGTCCATTCAAGCAGGCTGGAGAAAAAGAGGAGAGAGAGAAAGCAGAGAATGGCAGAGAGAAAGAGGATGCAGTAGAGAATGTAAAGGACATACAAACTGAGAGGTGCTGGTCAGTACAAAATCAGTCCAGTATTTGGAGCATGTACTTTATAAAGGGCCTTTTTGTGGAGGCCTGATTGCGGACGGGGTGATTCATGCTTCAGTACTGAGTAATGATGACTGGTTTTGCACAGAGGCTTGACGAATGGTCTTAAATGTGACAATCCCCCCTAAACTATTCAGCCGGTGGTGATTGATATTGTGGCTGAATGTAGAGGAAAGAATAAGCCATCAACATCTGGAGTGGAGTGTTAACCTCTTGAAATCTGAGGTTTATTACATACCAAGGCTTATTATTCAGTAACTCCAGAGACTTCAAGGCCAGAGGAATTTCACAGAATTTTCAAAATTTGTACATAATTAAATAGATGTAAACAAAGTCATTCGGAGTGGTTTGAGGTGAAATACTTCACTCTGAAATCATGCTGGTTTGATGTAGAAAACTTAGTCAGAACGCTTCACAGTGGTGGTGACTGGAACCAGACGTCTGAACAGTTTAATGTCTTTGCCTCCATCACAGAAAAGTATAAGAGGAGATGATTATGAATATACTGCCTGATGTCCAAGGCCCAGTTTTATAATAGTTTTGAGAAAGTTTGGCCTGAAACATCACCCAGAGAGTTGTAAAACAAAATATTCCCCCTTTTTTCAGATCACCATTAGTTTACCATCATCAGCATTACATATAAAAACTCATAATACACATGTAGGTTCACTGGTGGTTTTGGATAGTAAATAAAAGGATTATATTTGCTTTTTTAGACATCACATCCCCTGGTTCCTACCACCACCACTATAAAGAAATCGCCTGTTTCTCTACAATGAAGCATTTCCCAACAAAACAGTGTGAGCAGTAAGGGAGAGAGAAAGCGGAGAGAGTAGGAGGAAAGGAGAGGCAGAGTAAGAGGAGAGAAAAAAAGGGGGAGAGAGAGAGAGTGAGACAGAGGGCGAGAGAGAGAGAGAGAAATGGATGTGGTCCATGTTCTTTCTTAGTCTGTGTCCAGATTATGAGCCTCATAGCTCAGTTAGAAAGACTGCGATCTGTAAGCTGTGACTCGTATGTCACTAATGTGAATGAAAAACAACCTGCATGCACACGTCCAACTCAGTGACAAATCAGATATGTATCTGATTCAAGGCCCACGTGTGAGATCTAATTGGAAAAGATCGTATTTGTGTGTTTACACAGCTCTGAGTCACAATAAGGTAAAAAATCAGATTTGTGCCATAACCTGGTAATGTGCACGTAGCCTGACTGCATAATGTGTTTGTGTTCGTCTATGTGTGTGTGCGTGTTTGTGTGTGCGCGCACGCGTGTGTGTGTGTAGGGGATACATGGGCTGAAGACCAGAAAATGAAACGCCAATCAAAACTAGGACAGCAGTAGAGAAAGAGCCCTCAATAGAAGGAGACAGAGACAGAGAAAAACATTGTGTGGCTGCTTCCAGAAACCCTAAAAGCTACTGCCTTTTCCCACCGATCCTCCTTCTGTCCTTCATGACCCAGAAAGTGATTTCATGATGCCATCTTCTTGAGAGAGACTGTTCCTAACGCCTGCCGAAGTGGCTTGCAACAGAGGACACACTGGCATATACTACCTAGGAGGTTTTTGGAGTGACCACTGCACACACAGCAGAAAGGATGGACAGCACAGAGGATAACCAACTATAGTTTTCATTTTGTGTTTTGCTTGTATTCCTACAATCCAAGTAATCTGTGTATTAAGGGTGTACTTTCAAGCAAACGCTGTGATAGGCTTAGATTTCGAAGTAATTGAAGTAAATTAGCTGTCTCGTTCCTCCGGTCACTGCTCATTCTTTCAGTTCCTCCTGCTCCTTTCCTCTGCTAGACTCCTCCGCAGTCTTCCCGGGTAGGAGAGGAGAAGTAGCAAAGGTTTCTGGATGCAGCCCCTGTGTCCTTTCTCCCACTCTTCTTTGCCCTTTCCCCTCTACGCTCTCTTTCTCTCTGTCTCCTGCAGGTGGCAGTGCTGTGTTTAAAATCTCAAATTAAATTTTGTTCTATGAAGAAACACAGCAGTAAAATCTGTCCTCCCCTCAGCTCTTCCTATATGATAATGCTGATATTGTTCTTCAAGGCTGTAGAGACAGCAGGCTGCTTACCTCCTGATAGCCCAGATGTCTCTGCTTCAGACCTGGGAACACAACAAAAGAGGATATTTCACTCAGGACAGTTGTAACCAAGAAGATGAACAGACACATTCTTTTACATATGCAAGAAAACTGTACAAGTAGGAGGTGATATATAAAATAAAAAGGACAGAACAGTAAAAGTTGGAAGGAAAGAACAAGACCAGCCAGGAAAGGAAAAGACAGGGTGAAACATCAGGACAGGACAGTAAAGAAGATGGCAGGTCAGGATAGGACCAAAAAGGTAAAGAAAAGAACAGGGAAGGAAAGGAAAAGAGAGGGAAAGGACAAGATGACAGGACAGGACATGGTGAAAGAAAAGGACAGAATAGGACATGAAAGGATGAAAGGAGTGAACATGATGAAAGGACAGAACAGGACAGCAAAAGAGGAAAGGAAAAGGAGATGGCGGGTAAGGAAAAGACAGGTTGAAGGAACAGGACAAGACAAGGGAAGGGAAGGGAAGGGAAAGGAAAGGAAAGGAAAGGAAAGGAAAGGAAAGGAAAGGAGCATGGAAATAAAGGAAAGGACAGGACAGGAAAGCACAGGAAAAAGGAAATTGCATGATCAAAGGAGACAACAGAATAGAACAAAAGGACAGGACATGATAAAAGGGAAAAAGAGGACAGAACAAAGCAGGACACTAAAGGACAGAACAGCCAGGTCAAAACACAAAATGACAGCACAGGACAAGACAACACACCAAAGGACAAGAAAGGAAAGGAAATGACAGGAAAGGACAGAAAAAGAAAAGGACAGGAAAAGAAAGAAGAGGGAAGGAGGAGAGCAGAGGGCCAGATGGTTCACCTGTGACACTCAGAGAGAGAACAGGTGTCACAGCACAGAGCAACCACAGGACATGTGGAAAACATGAGGAGAGGAGAGGACAGGAGAGGACAGGAGAGGTTAAGACAGGCGAGGACAAGAGAAGAGAAGCGGAGAGACAACATGAGAGCAGATGAGGGGAAAGAGAGGAGAGTGTCAAATTAGCTTTTCTGCAAGAGCGTTAAGACCTCATTCGAGAGGCTAAGAGAGAGGCTAACTGAAGTAGAGAGAGAGAAATGTAGGTATGGAGTCTCACTCTCTCTCTCTCTCTCTCTCTCTCTCTCTCTCTGTCTTTGCAGAAGGCCATTAGATACTCTGGAGCAGGAGAGATATGTGATGAGATGTGACAGGTGGGAGCACTGAGACGAACTGCCTCTGGAGAAGAAATCTTAAATCCCACTTTTTAAAACCCACTCTGAGTTTTTATACACCAGTGGATGGCATGACCGCTGTAACCTTATTCAACAGTGCCGGCCCACAGTGGGCCCAAAACCTGCCGTGCCTTTCACATCCTGAGCTTGCACAGTAAATTCATGCTCCCATGACCAAAACAGGCATTACAGGGTTCACGCAAGAGCGATTTATAATCTTAGTGTGGAAGTTGACATATAAACGAACAGGTCAGGTGACTAAAGCAGCAGCAATTAACTCAAAATAATAGGGTTCCGGTGGGACCGCTCCAGATTTAATTTACTAAAAGCTCTTCTTGGCTCAGCACTGGCAGGACAGCGAATGCCACTGAATTAGTGCCACAGTGGATGTCTTCAGGAGTGGTAGTGCAGGGTTGGCTGCCAGCAGTGGCCTCCAAGGGCATTTCTAGGCATTTTTAAAAACAAAGCTCATTTGCATTTGTATAAAACCATTGTCTCTTTGAAACAACGGCTGAAGATGCAAGCAACACAGTGAACAATCAAGTTTATACAGCTTTCCTATTACTCCAAATGTAGTTGATCATCCATGATCATCCAAGTTTGCTTCTTTAGTTTTGAACTGGAGCGATGAGGCTAATGTACAAGTAATGGACATTTCTAGCCATCAGTTAGCATTGTGAAAACAAAGCATATGTAACACAGCTGCTCAATAAGCTTACATAAGACTGGCAACATCACCAAAGTACCCGACACAAACCAGCAGACACTGTCAGGTTGCTTTGGCAGTAGCGGCCTACAGTTTGAGTAGCTGGTGTTGGTGTTTAATAGTAGATTTACTTTCATGCAACGTCATTTCAGTTCGCCGTCAGTTAGCATTGCAAAAATTCCTCAGCATCATCTCAAACCACATGGTTAAGTAATCTCAAACAGACTGTATTCTACAAATGGACAAAGGTAGATTGCATAGCTTTAGTAACAGCCACCTTGAAGGAGTAGCAGACACTATGGCCAAAAACTAATATCACGGTATGGTTAACATTTCTGATGGTTTCAGTCCATAATCATGGTATATATAGAAGCTTAAGTAAACCTATTTTTGTACGTTAATAGTGGCTTCTCTTATTTTGGGAAACATTTTTTAACAACCAAAGTAAACCTGAAAAATGTATTGTGCAAAATAGTAAAAACAAAACTGAACAGTTTATTGTGACGTCAGCAGAGCGTAACACACAGGGGTCACCATGATTTGGCTCAAAGAAGTGCTCTTTATTGAACACACCGGCAGAAAGGGCACATATGGAGTACCAAATAACCCTGATGATGATCAACCCCCAACACAAAACAACACAAGTAACATATACAGATAACTGTAACTAACAAACCACAAACATACACACAAAGAGTCCCTTTGCCGGAGGGCATGTGCATACCATGAGCCTTTGCGTGTGGCCATCTGCCTAGCCTAGCGAGTCTCTCGGCTCCAGTGTCTGCCAGTTACAGGACGTTACAGATAAATCTATCCCAATATTACTATCTAATACTAGACCCTGAGGCCTGACAAAAGCGAGAACCCAAACAGAGCATCGTCAAAAGTCATTTATCTCGTATGTGCATCCCAAACACTCTTCTGAACATCAGAAACTGCTGGAATTTGGAAATTATTACAGTCATTCATGCTTCATCACGGCTTGTTTTGTGAACGAAGCTCCAACCGCAGCATCATCTGATGCAGCTTATCGAGTCAGGCAGCTCTAAAACCTATACCTGTGAAATAGTTCCAGCAAGTATTCCGGACGATGTTTTTGTCCATGTTTCTCGATAACAGTACGTCATACAGTGTAAGAAACCAAGAGTAAGCAATTCTAATTGAGATTATTTAACAACTCAACTTAACTGGTTTAAGGCAAGTGTGTGATTTAGGCATGCGGTTTGTGCAGCGCTGGCAGGATATAACTTCCATAATGTGGTAATCAGGGTTAAATTACATATTGGGTAAAGGCAAAATTGTGTAAATTTGATTTTCTTTGCCAAACCATCGATTTAAATACTCTGTGTAGGTTGATAAGGACATCCTAAAAAGATGCATTTGAATGGGCCTTTTCTTGCCTTACTGATTCTCGTTCAGTGACTTTCTGCGTCAGCATTGTGTTCTTCACTTTTCCGCGCTGTCTGTCTCTCCTCTTCCACTGCAATGATATTCATGAAAGAGGGAGACACAGAGAGAGAGAGAGGCTCAAAGTGCCCATAACTCATGCTCCAATGCACCCTAGTGCTCAGAAACTCACTCTCATGCTTTATTTCCCTCTTGTTCTTCCCTCCATCCTTCTTCTACTCTTTTACCTATTTCTTCTCTTTTCTCTTTCCATCCATTTACCTAGCTCTTCCCATCACTGTCTATCCATCTTATCGTTCATCCTTAATCAAATCCTGCATGTCTATATTCTGCGTCCTCTGTGTACTGTTTATTTCAGCAGTCCTACAGCTCTCTCTCTCTCTCTCTCTCTCTCTCTCTCTCTCTCTCTCTCTCGTTCTCCTGTTCTCCTTTATGGCCTGCGGGGTTTGCAGGCTGATCAGCATTCTGTGGCTGTGGTGTGTGTAGGCTGGTGAGAGACAGTAACTGGACAGCTCTGTGTGTAGCCGGCCGTCTGTCACTGCAGGCCAGGACAAGAGGAGTGATCTCCAGGCACAGAGCCAGGAGTTCCCGCACACTGTATACTTTCTGTGTATCTACTTGAACTCTGCTTTATGGCCTGAACAGTGTCTCTGTATTCATATTGCTTTACTATTGAGAAGCTGGTGGCTAGTGTAACTGTTCTTGTGAGCAACTATTTTTAAAATTTTGTTCGTCAAGGCTTATTATTGGGGTCTAGAGTGACTATTAGAGCTAGGCATTCAGTTTGGGCCATAAATGTCAAAACTCTGTCAGAAAGGATTGTAGTACTATGTTAGTAGTTTGTTAGTATGTTAGCTGGTTTTCATGTTTAAATTTTTTGGCTGTTCTAAATTAAACCTGGACAATTGAAGCTGGTAAAAGATACTCAGAGGTTTTGTTTGCAGCTTGTATTAACTTATATTCTACCTTGTAACAGTTTTACAGTGACTCTTTAAAAGCCCTGACATAGAGCCATTGCTGTGTTCCTTTTGACTGAAATGCACTCGTACTTGCAGTTAGAGAAGTATCTAGAAGGCCTGGAGTGAAGTTTTTCTTATAAATTTAGCCCCACCCATTGTAAATCAAAACATGATTTTTTAAATTTCACTGTGACTTCCTAATTATGTTAGTGGTGAATGTAGTGACATATTATGCCATCAATCCAGCTCCTGAAATCCTAAACAATGGGTCGCTTAGTTGTATCTACAAAATCTAAAAAATTTCATTGGCCATTTCAAGAATTTAACTGTTTGTTTCCAACCAAAACTTAACAATGAAATAAGAGTTTTACCCCAATACTTGCAGAGTTTAAATACGAGTGTGATGATTATATTGAACAAAAAATATTTTTTGCTGCGCCCATAAGCAATGTTGCTAGATTGGGCAGGTTTTTGACAACCAGTTTCTTTTTTTTTTGAAATATAAGTAAACCCTGGGTGAAGTATTAATATTTATATTGTATGCTCGTTAGAATATAACAGTTTTAATTTTTCTGCAACGTAATAGAACATTAGAACCTGGAACATTTATGTAGATGTAACATCTAAACAAACGTGTGAATAATGTTACATATTCTACATGTCATTGATCATCATATTGATTGGTAATTTTGCCAGCATTCTGTAAAGCTTCTTCAAACATACAACAGTAGCTATGAAGGAATGCATGTGTGGGCGGAGCATGAACAGCTCGAATGAGATGGAATAGACAAGCTAGCAATTAAAGTAATTAAAATAATTAACAATGACTAAATATAATGTCAACAGAAAAGAATGTTAATATTGTATTGAATGAATGTATTAGCGTAGTATTAAAAAAACTCAACCAGTTTGCACTGTAGTTACTAAATAATAAGCCTTAGTATGTGATAAGCCTGGGATTTTAAGGGGTTAAAGCCTTGTCATCTACGGACATTTGAAAAATATTGATCCCCTGTTGGGGCTGGTTTTCTTTTCCGTTCTGATTGTGGACTGAAGTGTGAACACACCAGCAGGATGTGGCAAAATGCAAGTGCAACACACCCTGAGCTGAGCTGGAGATAAGACTCCACAGGGAGCCTGGGCCTGAGCAGAATTTATATCAACACAAAATTGAGCAGATACACGCACCTTCATAACAATCCCCCACCTTATAGACCTTATAGCTCCACCATGCTGGTGTATAGTTAGAGACTGGAGCTCAGCTCTCAGCGCAGTTTGTGTTAGTTATCAATAGTCAGTTACTGACCAAAGAGCTGCCCTTGGCTGGATATTTCTGGGTGGTGGACCACTCTCAATCAGGAGTTTCCAAAACTAAAGTTAAAAAATTGTTAATATATATAGAGCAGGGGTTCCTGACCTTTTGGAACACAAGCGACCACAAAAGGTTTTGCGGCCCTCAAGAGGATTAATCCTACATGATCTTTTGAAATGCAATGAAATATAACACAATCAGTGCAGCCTATCGGATCTCACTTGACTGAAAGGAACACCAAAATTTTCCTAGAATTTTCTGTTTGTAGTAATTTACTAATCATAAATGAGTGCCATGGTCATGAGTCATTACGTTGACTTGCACTGAATATATTTATCTAGCTTTATCTAATTTTTTAATTATTCACTGAGCTTAACTTATATATTTAAGCTTTTTTGATGTTTTATGTATAAAACCTGTGGCACATTCAGTCTTAAAACGCTGTGCACCACTTTGCTACTGTTTCTGGGCTGAACAATATGTTTTGTCGAAATGGTGCAAAACGGTGTGAAATGGTGTGCACAACACATCAGCAGAGATGTGCACATAAACCCCGCCGTATTACAAAGGCAGCGCACACAACAGATTCTAATAAAGTCCTCTACAAATGCGGCTGCTGCAGCTTGGTGTGCGCAACAACTGAAGATATTAGAAGACGTTTGTCGTAAGTATTTTAGTGTAAAGTTTTTTTAGAGAATATGCTCAAAAGACACCAAGAATGGCCTTCTCAGCTGCCATAGGTGCGATGGTACGTTTTGTCGGGGCTGAATGCAGCCAAGTTAGACCATCAAAACTGTCCTTATCAGATGAACAGCACTTAACCCTTGTGTGGTGTTGAAGTTGTTGCTCAGTGGTCTGGTGACCCACCGCATTATTGATTTTTAAATCAATACAGCCATAACAATTTATGTAAAAATACCAGTGGCCAGCGTAGGGTTCTCCTTTAGCAGCTGTAGCCAGTCAGCAGCCTGTCCATGTTGTCTACCCTCACACGCACACACACACACACACACACACATATACAAACAAATACACACACACACACACACACACACACACACACACACACACACACTAACAGCAGGCCATGTAGGAGGAGAACAGAGTGAAGGGACACAGCACCTCCACACTTTTCCTCCCCGCGGGTTCACCCAACACCACATGTAATATAAATGTGTGGGGGGTGTACAGAGTGAAGGCACTGAAAATGTGTTATTTTATATGTTCTTCGCAGGAAATGAGCAAAGGCCAAGGAACCTGAAGTTGAAATAATAATAATAATAATTTGTATCATTTTTTCTTTTGGTAAACATTGAAAATGGGTCCCACAGACCTGAACACCACACAAGGGTTAAAGCTTTCATCTTTAAGAGAGAGGAGAAAATCAAGCTGCTTCAGATCTGAAAAAATCATGAGGTGTTTCTGTTCATCCTTCTACTGTGAGAAGACAGAAGGTTGTGTAGCTGTCAAGAGGCCCTTACTGAGAAAAGGAAATAAACAAAAAGGAAAGTTTGCAAATCAAACAAAAAAGCTGCTGTTGTTCTAAGAACAATGACCACCCCAGTGTCCAGACCTCAACATCACTGAATGTGTTTAGAATCATTTGGATCATGAGAAGCAGAAAATACAAACAACTTCTAAGACTGAACTTTGGAGGTGTAAATAGACATTGTACTTAGTTGTTAAGGCCTGTTATTTTCCTGTTAAATATATGTTGTCGGTTTCTTTTCTTGATTAACTTGTACTTAACATCCGTTTTGACTGGAAATGAAATGACTAAGTGGTCTCTGACTTTTGCACAGTACTGTACACAAGCAGCTCCTGTTTACTCATGTTATCTTCACTATCTCTAACAATGTCTTCTCCGTTCACTCCCACTGTGTTTAACTCTCCTTTGGAAGGACGGCAGACATTATTTTTGTCAGCATGAACTGTTATGTAGGACGTCATTCACACGCACTTTGAGCTCATGGCCTACTAAAAGAAAACAGGTATTTTCTCCCCTCTTTACAACAGTTAAAGGCAAATATTAAAACCCTGCCAAAGCCTTATTGCCAGGTGTGCTGATAAGCTGCAAGGCTGCAGTTCAGGAGAGCAGTGTGTACTTTGTTTTGAAAGAGCTAAACGCTATGAGGAAGTTTCAACAGCAGTGAAACTGGAGCAGGAAAATAAACACTTATGTCAGTGTGAATTCTTCGGCATGTTACAGTTTGCATACTTACCAGCCACTTTATTGGAAACACCTACTATGTTGGTATATGTTGTAGGTGAACAGGTAGAGACCTCAGCTCATCTCTTTCCACACAAATTCTGATTTTAACCCTTAATCAGTGGTCAGATTCTGACCAAGCTATTCACTGGATGTTTTGCTGATACTCAGGTGTTTAAAACCTTCGTACTGTTCATACACTCGTATCGCTGCAACACTCCACCATTCCGCTACCATGTCAGTGTCACTGCTGTGCTGAGAATTATCCACCAGCCAAATAACATCTGGTCAGTGGTGGTCCCAGAGCAGAGGGGGCTAATAAATTGTGCAGCAACAGATGGACTACAGTAATTAACTGTAAACCTACAATGTGCACCTATATGGTAGGTGTTTCTGATGAAATGGCCAGGAAGTGTAAGTACAAGGTAATCAAATTGCCATTCACTGTATACTCATGTCTTGTGTTTACATGTATTATTTACTTACTATTTATATTCTGCACTGTCAATATATGTAAGCATCACATCACGTTCACTGATCCTGATTCAGAGTTTAATTAAAAGGAGAAATTCACTGATTGAATCATTAAGATGTAAAAGTCATTTAAAGTGGTTTGATATGAAATTCACCTTCGTAAGGAGTCTTACCAAGTCAGAATCGTTTACAGTGGTGGTGAGAGGAACCAGACGTCTTAGGTCTCACTACATGAAATGGTTATGAATACGCTTTATCACTATTTTCCCATCAACAATATTGCATATAAAAACTCATATTTTATGTAGGCTTACTGGTCCATGTTGAATAGTAAATAAAACGGCTATATTTTCGCATTGTAAACATCAAACCCTTTTATTCCCTTTACCACCATTGCAAAGAGATTTTACCTAATAAGTTTCTCGACAATAAACCATTTCACATCAAACCGCACTGAATGACTTCACATCTCAATAATTGAATCACACAGAAATTTTGACAAATGGGTGGAATTCCCCTTTTAACTGTAGCCATAGGGACAGATTACAGTGTTAATAGCAGAGTGAGCGGTGTTGTATTAGATTAATCAGTAGTGTGCACTCACCCAGGCGCTGGAAGGCTTCGGTGGCAGCGTGCCGGAGGTTCTGCATGCTGATGGTTCGGCTGGACGTTATTGCAGCCAGTGGTATCCTCACTATAAGCTGGACATCACCAAAGTGGCACCGGACCTGGTCAGTCAATCCTTATTCTGAAAATCCATCTCACGCGCAAGATCCACACCAACAAGTTGTGCTTCTCCGTCTTTCCTTAGGCACTCTCTCTCTCCTTCTGTCTCTTGCAGCTGCCACCGCTCTGTGTGCGTGTGTGTATGTGTGTGTGGTCACCAGCCAATCAGAACAGCCGGATGGGAGTCACCATGCAATTGGCTGGACCAGGAGCAAGGCTGTGGGCTGCTATTTGTTTTGAAATGCTGGAGCGCCTCACTGAGGGGGCCAAGTGCGCGTGTGTGTGTGTGTGTGCGCGCGTGTGTGTGTGTGTGTGTGAGAGAGAGAGAGAGAGAGAGAGAGAGAGAGAGAGAGAGAGAGAGTCATTAAAGGACTGCTGCAGCATTTGTTTATATTCCTGTAAACCACTCAGTGTTATCTCTATAATTCCACTCACCTTAACGATTACCTGATAAAACTTTAAAGGGGAATTCCACCCATTTTTTAAAATCAAATTTTCTGCAAACACAAACAATATACATCAATATGTATCAATATTTTCTGCATTTAGTGTGTGCACCCTTCACCTCTATTACAGCTACCAAACTTTTTTGGAGACTTGCTTTCAGTTTTCCAAAGAAATCTGCAGGGATAGTCCTCCACACCTCCAAAGTTCAGTCTTGAAAGTTGGTTGGATTTTTTGCTTCTTGTGATCTGCAAACTGTAAACAAAGTCATCCAGAGTGGTTTGATGTGAAATGGTTTTATGTACAGAAACGTATAAACTTGATTTCTTTACAATGGTGCTGACAGGAACAAGGGGTCGCCATGTCTACCAGCACAAATGTAGCCATGTTATTTACTATCCAAAACCACCAGTGAAGTGTTTTATACGTAATGTCAATAATGTTAAAATAGTGGAAAATCTGAAAAAATATGTTTTTTGGGGGGGTGTTTTGCAGCACAACACCCTACATGTACCTCTCCTCCATGAATGGATAAAAAGACAAGGCCGAAATCTTCTTAAAACCATCGTGAAGAAACGTTTCAGGCATTAGGCAGTTTATGTGTATCTAATCTGAGTAGACTTTCTGTGTGGGAGCATTTAGAGTCAGTGAATGCTTCAGACGTCTGGTTCCTATCACCACCACTGTAAACAACTCTGAGACTGTAGATTTCTCTAGAACGGAGCATTTCACACCAAACCACTCTGAATGACTTTGGTTACATCTTAACAACGTAATTATGCAGAAAGTTTGAAAAGGTGGGAAATTTTTGAGGTAACTGCAAACAAAAATCTAGAATGTAGATAATAAATAATAAAAATGAACTGGTATTTCTTTTCACAGCTTTTCAGACAAATTCAAGACTTATTTCACTTGTTTACATTGGACTCAGTAATCTTCTCAGGTGCAGTGATTTTAGTCCACTAAAGTTGATTCTGCTTCCTTCAGGCTTTTATTTTATTATTATTTTTTTAACATAACGATTTTCATATATTTAAAAAAACATGTTTTGGACTGTACACCTTACCTGCCTACATCCCCTTTCATCATTGCCCTATATTGATTTCCCCCTTCAGTTGTTTATCTTTCCATTAATTTCCTCCCCGAACTGTTTATTTTTCCATATGCCAGTGTTTCCCTGAGTCACATCAGTGTAATTGTGGAGTTCTTCATGAGTTAAAGGGCTAAAGAATGCAATGTGAATTTGACATCTGGCCTGGTACATGCTTCAGACCACCTCTGTGTAACTTAGAAAATAATATTTTGAATATAGGTTTGGATTTCACAAATATGTAGGATGTGCTTTTGAAGAATTGCCAAAGTGTCTTTCCATATATTAACACTGAACAGTTCCTCATCTGAAAGTCCAGTTTATAGGAATAGACACTGGTTATGTCCGAATCGGGGTGGGGGGTTGGCACGGGGGTTAAGAAGAATGGTTAATGGACAAGTCTTGTGTTTGGCTAAAATTATTCAAATAAACTTTAAAAATGCCTCCGGACTGAAGGTCAGAATAGGGGCTATTAAAGGGCCCATGATTTCACTTAAAATATTTGTGTGGTTTTATGTATCAAAAACTCATTTTAAGTCATTTTTACATAACCATTTCCACCCTCTATTAATCCCTTAGAATTAACCAACTTGTTTTTATTGCTATACCTTTTAAAATGTATGTATGTATGTCAATGAGCTCTGTTCTGATTGGCTGCCCTGTATTGTGCTTCATTCAAAAAGCAGTCCAGCTTGCAACACTCCTTTTAACTTCTCATCAGTGGGTGGGGCTAAACTCTTCTAGCTGCCTGTGTTTTTCTCTTCTTCTTTTTCTGGCAGTATTTTGTCAAAATTTTGACACAGGCTGCGTCCAAAACCACACACTGCCATACTAAATAGTATGTCAAAAATAGTACACCATCAACAGAAGTCCATTCATTAGTGCAGTATGTGTAGCAAAGTAAGTACTATACGGTTTTTGACACAGCTTTAGTATTTAGACAGAACAACTTACTATGTAAAAGTAATGACTTCTTTTCTTGAAATTTTGACTTAATATCTCGAAATAATGACTTACATCTTCATTTTTTTTAAATTATAATTATCTTAAACAGTATTACTTACTATCCCAAAATAATTACTTCAAATTGCTTTCTTGAAATTCTTAAAATTATAATTACTTTGACAGATGAAGGCATTTTTTTAGACAATAAATCATTATTTTGACATCTAAGTCATAATTTCAACATAGTAAGTCATTATTACGAGACATTAAGTCAACATTTCCAGAAAATAAGTCATTATTCTGAGATACTAAATCAATTTTTTTACATAATGGTGGCACAAACAGAATAAAACAGGGGATGTTTTCTCCTCTGGTGGCGGGAACGGGCTAATATAGAAGACGAACCATGTTTGCGTGACGTCCATTACCTGTTAGCTACATTAGCGTCGTAGCTCCAGAGCAAAACGAAAGAAGCAAACTTTAGACACCAAACGTACGTCAGAGGGGAACTGTGTAAATTTGATCTTTTTGGTGAACCGTTCCTTTAACAGTGTGGCAGCTGTCTTCTCTCTCCTCCTCTCTGGGTTTCCACAGAAAGCGAAGCGGTAACTAACCGTCCGTGTTTGTCCCTTTTCTCACACGGTTGAAGAAAGACTCCCAACAACAGCCCCGTTTCGCACCGCCGAATTCACAAACTTCACCGGGCGGCGAGCCTCCAGCGTCCCGGGCTGCGCACGTTTCGCCTCATTTCTACCAGTATCGGTTAGCAGTCTGACGGGTAAGTTCACGAAACGTATACACGTTAACCTTCAGCTAGCTGCACTTAGCCGGGGATAAACAGACAGCTCGGACCTTCAGCGCTGACAGAAAGGCGCTGTCATCATCACCGCGTTAGCTGTTCAGCTAATTAGAGCTTTCGCTTTAACATAATCTTTGTTTCTCTCCATTCTTGCTTACATTATTTATTAAGCTTTGACATTTTTCTGAATCTCGTTCTCTGTAGCGTTAGCTGTAGGACTGTCCGCCGGTTTCTTAAGTGAGGCTGTGGTGAAGCTGTGGTGCTGAGAGGAAACAGGGGAAACCGACATCTGAGTGACAGTTTTGACAGTTGGTCTCTCTCGATCTCTCTAACGGCTCTGCAGAGCTTTGTGTAAAGATGTGTTAAATATAAGAGATTAAGATGTTGAAATTGTGTAAATATACATGAACTAAACCCTGTTGGTTGTTTAAACGGGAATTCCGCCTTCTCAAAATTTCTTTATAATTAAATCATTAATATGTTAATAGAGTCATTCAGATTGGTTTGACTTGAAATGGTTCATTGTAGAGAAACTTAACCTACAGAGTCAGATTTCTTTGCAGTGGTGCTGATAGGAACCAGGGGTCTCAATGTCTACAATACGAATATGGTCATTTTATTTGCTATCCAAAACCACTAGTTGACCTCTCTGTGTGTCTTCTGAGTTTTTATATGTAATGTTCATGATGGTAAAATGGTCATAAATCTGAAAAAAATAAATTTTCTTTGGGGACTGTTTTGCCTCACAGTGCCCTGCATGTAACCCTCCGCCATGAAAGAATTAAAATTAATGGATTAAAATACATTTTAAGGCAAATGTTTATCATAAAACAATGTCTCAGACGTCAGGTAGCGTATATCTAGCCATTTCATTGAACAACCTTCTGTGAGGGAGTTCAGAGACATTAGACGTCTGGTTCCTATCACCACCATTGTGAGCTATTCTGGCTCAGCAAGTTTCTCTAGAACAGAGCATTTCACACCAAACCGCTCTGAATGATTCCGTTTAGTTCTTAACCACTTAATTATGTAGAATTTTTGAAAAAGCAGTGAAGTTCCCCTTTAACAAGTCAGAAGAGTTCACAGTGGTGGTGATAGGAACCAGACGTCTAGAGCTCCAGCATTTGAGCTCTCTAAAAGCCGAATCAAATGAAGTTATTTCATGAAATGCTTATGAATGTTGCCTGATGCCTGAGATATTGTTGTATGACAGTTTTAAGAAAAGCTTCTGGTCTAAAACATATTTTTCAAGATCTGTTCATGGCGATGAGGTACGTGTAAAGCGAAATATTGGTCATTTTTGGACCATTGTAAACGCATTGGTTTCTCTACAATAGAAATTTTACATCATAACACTCTGAATTACTTTGTTTACACTCCAACCTTTGCAGAATTCTTTTAAGGATTTGTAGAATGAAGTTCTCTTTTCATTTTAAGGCAGCAGTGAGTGATAATGTTAATTTAACTGTCTTGGACCCTTTTAAGGATTTTGTGGCAGCTCAGTTTTCATTATGTGTAATGATATTTGGGCAATATTCCGGTAGGATTTTAGGATGGTTTAAAGGTTTAGGCTGCTAGAATAGCCACTGGTTTCGGCAATGTTTACAGCAAACATTGCTTTGTTTACTTAGTGACGCAGCTGGGGCCGAAATGGAAATGATAATTTAACTGACAATAGGCCTGTCAAAAACTTCATAACAGCCATGTGTAGCTTGGAAAACGTTTATTTTGAGTGTAATGGAATAAAGGTTTTAAGTTTTTTTTTAAAATAATGATTTAGAATCATTTTTAGTACAGTTGTTTAAATAAAATGTCTCAAAGGACTGACTTGCATTTGTTTAATTTTCTCAGGCCACTGGAACAGACACTGGTTACATCTCATCTTGCCTCCGGTCACTGAGGTATACATGTTAATGTTGCCTACAAAACTGTTTACAGCTTTTCTTGAATGTCCCGAGTGTTACATTCATTCTTCCCACCTTACTAGTAATCAAAGCAGTCTAACTGTATTCTTTCATAATCTAAACTCAGTAATCCCCTTACAGGGGAATTCCACCAGTTGTTTTTGCACAATTAATTCGTTGGGATTCATACTGTCTCAGATTTCGCTACGGTGGTTGTGATGGGAACCAGGGGTTTTGACTGTTTAGATGTAACGTTGATAATGGTAAAATAGTGGTAAATCTGAAAAAGTATTGGGATGTAATTTGCTTTAGAATACTCTGTCTGTACATTTCATTCATTAATATATTTTTAAAATATATTTTTAGACCTCAAAACTGTTTACACACAAACAATGTCTCATGCGTCAGGTAACATGTTTATTAATGTTTCATGTAATAGCTTTCTGTAAGGGAGCTTTTAGAGACATTAAAAGCTTCAGATCTCTGGTTTCTACCACCACCACTGTGAACAATTCTGGCTCAGTACATTTTTCTAGAACAGAACTTTTCACATCAGCCCACCAAGAATGTCTTTGTTTCCAATTGATGCAGAATTTTTGTAAAGATTGGCGGAATTTCCCTTTAAGCATATGGAACCATTTATGTGCTGTTTTGTAATATTGCACATATGCTTGCACACAGGCTGGCTATCTAATCACGGTCATCTACCATGCTGGTTCACCTTCTGTGATATGGGGGAAGCTTAGAGATGGATAAACTGAAGAGGTAAGTTGAGAATGTGGCAACAGGCTGAAATCATCACAAAGCATGTGAGCAAAGAGTCATCACTTCACTTGTTATTGAACAGAAGGAGCTGGTGGTTCTGCCTCTGAGGCGCCAGGCAGTGGAAGCTCAGTTCTTTGAATGTGAGACATTACAACTTCTGTTCAAGGCAAAATAAGGGACGATATATGGCAAAAGTCATATAATGATGCTTGAAGACAATAGTGTGACAATAGACAATACATATCACAATATTTAGTTTTGATGAGTTGAAACAGATGCAGTGCATTAGCACCACATTAAAGAAATCCTATCATACAAGTTAAAATACTGCACGTCCCCACTTCCGTATAAAATTTCGGATGGGATCTGAACTCACAACCTCCTGGTGATACAGCAAAACCTTAGACAGCTCAGAGAAAATTGCTAAACTGTGCCTTTTAGGGTCCATCGCTTATCACTGGTGTGGTTCTCCCAAGGGAACATCTTCAGTACCTTTACAGGGGTTGACATTGCCTGTTGCCTGGTGGCCTTATTTACAACATTTCTCATTTTAGCCACTGACAGTGCAGAACCTGTGGCCTTTTTTTTTAAATTTTCTTTGTGTTTTGTCCCTTTTTAAAAAAAACGCCAGACCATTTGAATTTTTACACATTCACAAATATCCACCACATAATAATTTGCTAACTGTAACCACCACAATTGCTAATGTGATAGAAGTTTTCTTATTAATATGAAGTTTTTAATATTTAATTTTTCAAAGCGACACCATACAGATTGATTGCAAATACAATGCATGTCTCTATAACTCAGCCAACTCTTAATTTTGGCTTGGTGGTCAGTGCAAATTTTTTTTCTACCCCTACCTTTAGTTTGGGAACATATTTCCATTACATTGTATCCATAATTCACTGTGTTTTTGTCTTGACCCCAGTTTTTTTATTGAAGTTTTTTAAACTTAAAGAAGTTATGGAAAGGTATAAATATATACCTTTCCCCTATGGAAGTGAATGTAGTTTCCCTTTTAAACGCATTTGATGTATACACATGGACCAAAGGACTTGAGGGCACCCTTACATTGTTTGTGTCTTGGGGTGACAAAGACATACTTGTATGGTGCCCTTTTTCTGACAGTGTAAAACACGTGAGAGCTCTGCCGACATCTGTTTTTAATGAAACATGCAGCTGGTCAATGTTCTTTGTGCCCGTAAGTGTTGATGATAGCGATGTTGCTGGCAGCTCACTCACACCCGGCCAGCTTTCTGCTGTGGGCACATCTCTGCATACTTTGTTAGCCCCCTTTTACTCTGTTCTTCAGTGGTCAGGATCCCCATGGACCCTCACAGAGCAGGTACTATTTGGGTGGTGGATCATTCTCAGCACTACAGTAACACTGATGTGGTGGTGGTGTGTTAGTGTGTGTTGCGCTGGTCTGAGTGGATCAGACACAGCAGTGCTGCTGGAGTTTTTAAACACCTCAGTGTCACTGCTGGACTGAGAATAGTCCACCAACCAAAAATATCCAGCCAACAGCGTCCTGTGGGCAGCGTCCTATGACCACTGATGAAGGACTAGAGGATGACCAACACAAACTGTGCAGCAGCAGATGAGCTATCGTCTCTGACTTTACATCTACAAGGTGGACTGACGAGGTAGGAGTGTCTAATAGAGTGGACAGTGAGTGGACACAGCAGCACTGCAGTGTCTGATCCACTCGTACCAGCACAACACACACTAACACACCACCACCACGTCAGTGTTACTGCAGTGCTGAGAATGATACGCCACCCAAATAGTACCTGCTCTGTGAGGGTCCATGGGGGTCCTGACCACTGAAGAACAGGGTAAAAGGGGGCTAACAAAGCATGCAGAGAAACAGATGGACTACAGTCTGTAATTGTAGAACCACAAAGTGCACCTATATAGTAAGTGGAGCTGATAAAATGGACAATGAGCTTAGAAACAAGGACATAATGTTCTGCCTGATACGTTCCACTTGACAAATAAATTTGTTAACCTTTTAACAATTTGCATGTGTCTGATGTGTATTTTGTCTTATTCTGTGGAGGTTTGTTGCATCCTAAGGGGAACTGATGTTCTTATACTTTCTTTTGTGTGGTTGCCCAGCTCGGGTGAGGAGGAGAGCTCCGGGGAGCGAGGAGTGCTCCACACATGGAGGGGCTACTCCTGCAGCGTCACTCCTGACAAAGTTCTCCTTTCCCGGCCTGTGCTCCAAGCTGCCCTGGGGGCCAAACATGGGGTTTTGCTGGTGGAGGGTAAGCATTCATTTGTACTCACTAGAACATATGAAAACATCCGATTTGTTCTCATAAATAGGTCACTGTTTAATGAGAAGGGTAGGCCACTTTCCTCCTGAAGTGCCAGAGGTCACAAATGCTTTTTTGTCAACACAAAGATAGTATTGGGATTGTAGGGAACTAAATCCCACAGGAAGAGAATCGCCTACCACTGTTTTAGATTACCTTAACAAACATTACGAACCAAAAGACATTATAATATAGAGCTTCTCTTCTAACAGATCAGGTGATGTTGTTGTGCGAGAGGAGTTATTCCGAATGTATGTTCAACCTGTTTGTTTGGTCAGATCTGGATCAGTATTTGGGATGGCTCTCACTAAAGATTAATAGTGCTGTTTAAATGTGTTAAGTACATCAGTACATTGTGATACGTTGATCTGAAAGTAGATATTCCACTGCATCGATTTTGAAATGTTAGAATGCTTGTATACTGGTTTTTTAATGATCATTTAACATCTGAGTTTTTCCAATAGGAATGATTGAAAGAATGATCAAATACTAGTTGTGCTCTTAAGTCACATGATACAAGGACACTGGCAACACCCTAGCAACCACCTGGGATACCGTAGCAACCAGCTAGCAATATCCTAGTCACCACTTACCAATACCCTAGTGATCATCAGCACCACAGCAACCATGTAGTAACATCCTAACCACAACCAGATACACCATAGCAACAATCTGTAATCCACCTGGAATACCATAACAACCACAACCACCTAACAGTACCCTAACAACCACCTGTAACACCGTAGCAACTGCCTAACATTGCCCTGCAACCACTTGGAACACAACAGCAGCCCCCTGGTTAAACCCCTGGCCACCACCAGCAATGAGAGCAACCATCTAACAACACAATTCCAACTAACTAGGATAACCACCATAGCAACCACCTCGTAACACCCTCACTCCCACCTTGGATATTTTAACAACAACTTGGCAACCACCTAACAACTGCCTAGAATAACATCGCAGACATTTAGCAACACCCTAGCAATATTTTAGGCAGGCAAGCTGCACAATCACTCTTTATTTTCTTCAGGCACTTGTCTAGTGGATTATAATATAATAAGCATTAAAAAGAGTTTGCTATATTACTGGCATGCTTTTAAAATGCTGACTTCATTCCTGTAACTACCAAGTGGTGTGATTTTAATTGTGGTTACTGTAAAGAGCTGTTTGTGACCTGGTATACTGTATGCTGTACATCAAAGTATTTGTTTTATGCTTTTATTTTCTTGTATTAGGTGGACAGGTGTATAGTTTTGGAGAATTGCCATGGAAACAGAACCAAGCTTTATCAGGAACCACAGAGCCTATTCTGGAGGCAGGGCTTAGCGAGCAGCACGTTGTTTCCGTGGCGGCAGGTGCCTGTCACAACGGGGCAGTAACAGAGGATGGTGTAGTGCACATGTGGGGAGACAACACCTATGGCCAGTGTGGCCTATCAGGTCTCTGTGTTGTCCCTAACCCCACCCCTGTGGGTGTGGTGGACTGTGAGGCCACGCCTCCTCAGCCAGTGAGGATCTTGGAGGTAGCATGTGGAGAGCAGCACACGCTCGCCCTCTCAACCCGGCACGAGGTATGGTCCTGGGGCAGTGGCTGCCAGCTGGGCCTCCTGACCACTACCTTCCCCGTGTGGAAGCCCCAGAAAGTGGAGCACCTGGCTGGGAGGCATGTGCTGCAGGTTGTTTGCGGATCCTCTCACAGCCTGGCTCTTGTGCGCTGCCTGCCCCCTCCTCACGAAGCACGCAGACCACCTCTGGACAAGTGTGGCCAGTGCAACCAGTCACTCTACACCATGACCGACAAGGAGGACCACGTCATCATCTCAGACAGCCACTACTGCCCCCTAGGGGTGGAGCTTGAGGAAGGCGACAGTAAATCAGGATCAGAAGGCAGCTTATGTCATGGCAAAGTCAGGATTTCCCCATCTGAGCCAATTCTCTCTGCCCAAACCCCTAAGTCACCAACTGCCTCATGCTCCAGTGGTGCTCCAGTTTCGGCACCTGCGTCTGTCTCAGAACTTCAGGACCAGGCACCTGTCGCTGAGAAAGAGTGTGTTCAGTCAGCCCCTAAGGGCCAAGAGGAGTCCCAAACTGCAGTGGTTGATAGAGAGGTGCCTGAGGCAGCCGCAGAGTTGGCTGTGGTTGAGACGGACGGCACAAAGGCTTCAGGAGCGTTGATGGCAACAGGGGTGAAATCCTCCCCGTACCCAGATGAGCAGGCACTCAAAGACTACCTGAAGAGGCTTTCAGATCAGTCTCTTGCTGAGCATGCATCCAAGAACCCAACTACAGCGCAGTGTGCTCAGGTCAGTAATACTAATTCATAATTTTTGCCACAAGATTCAGTGGCTTGCCAGTGCAACTGTTTACAGTCGTATGCAAATTAGCAAATTTTAGTGCACAATTTCTAGTTATTTACTTAGTTTATTGGAAAAAATAAAACTTTAAATATAATATGTGCTATACATTTTGCACAGGCCACATAAATAACCTGTGCTTATGCATGTATTTCTCATTTTCATTTAGAAAATCAACAAAACTGACCATTAAACTGCTTAAACATTTGCATACAACTATATATTTGTGAACCCCGGCAGTGCAGTGGATGGAGCAAAGTGAGAGGAAAGATAGGAAAAATAGTTTTATTAGTCACCTAATCAAATAATAGTTGAGAGATTAACTATGTATGCATACACTGTAAATACTCAAAAAACAGGCTGTCTGGTCCAGTTCCAAACAGGCATTCCTCTTTCAAACCACAGGAGATTCCTGTTTGCATGTTAGATGTATAGGTACAGTGTGGTTGTCTTCATGATTTTGAAACAAGACATGTCTCTTTTATCTTAGGGAGTGAGCTACATATGCAGTTTAGCCCAGAACTCCTCTTTTTCCTGTTTCACTAGAAGAAGTAAACCATGCAGGGCAGAAAAACCCTGAAAACAGTGAAAACCACTATTGATAATGTCCCAACAGCCAATTGCAGTGAACTATAAAGGCCTGAGACCTAGTAAAATCCTTCAAGTGCTCTTATCTTGCTTATTACTCTTCCACCACAGCCTCTTACAGAGCCTGCTGACGTTTTCACCTCTGACCCTACAACCCCTGTTGCCCAGTCAGTAACCCCTATGGGCTCAGCCCTGAATCACCTGGTGATTTCTTGTGCATCGGCTGTAGGGGAGAGAGTGGTGTCCACATACGAGGCTCTGTCTCTGAGGAAGGTCATCAGCTACTGGGTGAGTGTTTAATCCTTTGTGAAGAAATGGTCATTTTCTAGGAGTTGATTTTGAATGGTAATGACCTCTCATTGGCTGTCTCAGTTGGAGGGGCGGGGTAAGAGCGTGGTTATTATACATGTTTGGGAGAACAATAGTGGCTGGCACATAGAATAGAATAAACTGGAGCTACATACTACAGTGGCCGACAAGACCATCTGCACAGGACAATTAAAAACGTTGCAGACTCAGAAAACACTTTCATCCACATGAACACACCTGAACTACATTTCACAAAAGCACTGCAAACTCAGAAAACTCTTTCATCCACATGAACACACCTGAACTACATTTCACAAAGCACTGCAAACTCAGAAAACAAGGAAAATGAGTCACAACACAATGGAAATATTCATGGGGATGGAAAATCACTGACAGAAATTAAGACTATGGAAATTCTGATGGTTGACTTGGCTGGGATGTGTCATTGCTGTACTACAGTTATCAGTCATATCTGGTATTACTATTTGAAATTTTACAGTTACATTTTACAGCTAATTGTTATTACGATACAGTGATATTAATAATCTGCTTAAATGAAAGTCAGCTTACATTTACCGGTGTTTAAAAGTTTGAATGGCATCATCCTCTTTGAGTGTCAAACATTTCCGCTGTTGTGACCGACTCTGCGGCACGTTTTTTTTTTGTATTTGCACCGCGTCTATAAAATGTAGCGCTTTTGTAATCGTGTTGATAAACGTGTTTTGTGAGTTTGCAGCACGATTGTGAAATGTAGCGCTGGTGTAATCTTTTTGATGAGAGTGTTTTCTGAGTTTGCAGAACATCTACAAATTTGCAGTAGGTTTTGTGCAGAACATCTGAAATATGCAGTGCGCGTGTTGTCATTTAGATGAAGATCTTTTCTGGGTTTGCAGCTCATTTTTATTTGCAGTTTTTTGTGTCTTCTCTGGGTCACCCTAAGATGCAGTTGCCAAAACAGCAACGTTTTAATGCAGAAACTTTTGTAAGTAGCTTTTGTTTGCCTGTTTTGTCACCTCTAAGCTAATGCTAATTTCTGCTCAGGGATTTCTGTGTTATGTTAGCATCAAGCTAATTCTGGTTAATATATGTAGGATGTATGCAGCTCTCTAGAATAAACAGACATTTGAAACTTATATTGTACACGCAAGTAACTTATTCCTTACTTTGGATGTTAGTTTGGCTCCATCAGTAAAGATTTAAACTCAAAGCCTGTCTCTGAATGTAACTGGAGCCTGTTAGCTTAGCTATATGCCCTGCTTACTCTAGTGAGGTCAGAATGTGGTCCAGTTACCCAACAGTCCTGTTAAGATAAAGGAAAAAGAGTCTGCTGAATCGGTCACTAAGATAGCAATTTAGTGTTTGCCGTATGTGACATTGCATCGGTGTTTTACACTGTCCTGTCCATCAAAGACATCTGTGTGGAACAGCAGTTGTGAAAGTATGAAGGCTGGATGAGTGGGTGTGGTAAATTGAGTGGGGCAGAACTTTTGATCCATGTGGTGCAGCATCGGGCAGCAAATCCTCACAGCCTGCAGAATCACATGCCTTCTGTAAAAGGGAAAAACACCAGATGCTTCCCATTTCACAGTTTCTTGGATGGTAGATACTGTGACAAGTAACACATATGTGAACTGGCAAGGAAAATGCAGCTTTGTTTATTGTATCTTCTTCAAGCTTCCTGTTTACAGGCTTGCAGGCTTTATGTAAAATATAGCTCAAAGAAGGCAGTTCTGTGGTTTTTGATCTTGTGTATCCTTGTAAATGAACTTTTTTCAGTTGTCTTTGACCCAAAGCTGGTGCATATGGACCACACATACCTGGCTGTTGTGTGTTCTCTTACTGAGGGCCAGACTCGGACTTCATCTCTGATGCCAAACAGCATTCTCAGTTCATTTGCTATCTGAGCATTTGTTCTATCTGATGATATATTTCATGCATGCAGCCAAACTGTTTTTGTATTCTTTAAATCCCTGAGTGCATAGTGTACATTAGCCTTCATAATTCTAATCATAAATCAGGTGTCTTTGAGCCTCTCTGGAACTCTGGAACTCTGTAGTATGTATGTGTGTGCAGGGTCCAGGAGAGGGCCGCGAACGTCCGGAGGAGAGGGTACGCCAGGAGGAGCACCGCCAGGGCAAGAAGAGCTCCAGCCTGGGCGACATCCGTGAGGAGGAGGCCGAGGGGCTCAACCGCCGCCTCTCACTCCCCGGCCTGCTCTCACAGGGTACATGCGCTCTACATATCTTATGCCACCACATGCGTAAGTCTGCACCAGAGTGGGTGTGGAGGGGAGTTGATGTTAAAGCAGAAGTTCAGTGAAAAATCAAATTTACATAATTTTACCTTCATCCAAAATGTCGCTAGTCAGACAAAACTTTGTATATGTACATATGTATGTATGTATGTATGTATGTATGTGTACATCATCTAAAACAGCAGTGTCAAACTCAACCACTAAAAGGGTCATTTTTAAAAAATGACAACAATCCTGAGGGCCAGCTGTGTTTTTATTTTACTTTTGCTTAACATTTTGCCATTGTTTTTTCAAAATATGCCAGAACTACAACCGCAAGGAATAGGCACTGAATACTTGAATGATTCAAAATTAATTTTAAATAAAAACAAATTGTTATATAAAACAATAGACAACATTAGCTAGGGATAACTGTTAAACCTCTTTAAATGTCTCCAATGTACAGAAGGTTTTTGTGTTCTCATGTTTGTCTTTACTGTTCTGTATTTTGAAAACCTGTAAGCGTCATTGAGTTCTTGAAAAGCGCTATATAAGTATAATGTATTATTATTTATTTATTTTTTTTTTTAATTTTTATAAACTACCCATTCGCTTGAACTAGACACCTGGCATCTTTTTTTGTTTTTGTTTTTTGTTTTTGTGGTGTTGTCCCATAGATCATAGTTGGGCAGGAAGTGGGAGCACATGTTACGTTGCAGTGCATGCTGAGAGCTGTAGTGCAGTTCATGGTGAAATGGGCTAATATTAATAGAAATTTAAATAATTTTGCAGGCTAAATAGGATTGTTCCACATGCCTGACTTGGCCCACAGGCCTTGTGTTTGACACATGGGATCTAGAAGATGAAGAACATTTAAATCCTTTATTTTGTCAAGCATGTAGTTGGTTTTAGCATCGCTCCAAAATTGTTTCGCCATCTCGCGGGTGCTGTGGTAAACATTTATTTCCGGTACCGCGGTCTGTTTATATGGCCATTTGAATAATCAGATGAATGCAGAAATCTGATTGTGATGAGATGTTTATATGCATGTAAACACTCTCACTGATGTGGTGGTGGCGTGTTACTTGGTGTTGCACTGGTTCGAGTGGATCAGACACAGCAGTGCTGCTGGAGATTTAAACACTGTGTCCACTCAATGTCCAAACCTACGTTGTTGGTCCGCCTTGTAGATGTGAAGTCAGAGCCAGTAGCTCATCTGTTGCTGCACAGTTTGTGCTGCTCATCCTCTAGTCCCTCATCAGTGGTCACAGAACACTGTTTTCTGGATATTTTTGGTTGGTGGACTATTCTCAGTCCAGCAGTGACACTGAGGTGTTTAAAAACTCCAGCAGCACTGCTGTGTCTGATCCACTTAGACCAGCGCAACACACACTAACACACCACCACCACATCAGTGTCACTGCAGTGCTGAGAATGATGCATCATTCAAATAATACCTGCTCTGTGGTGGTCCTGTGGGAGTCCTGACCACTGAAGAACAGTGTAAAAGGTGATTAAGTTTGCAGAGAAACAGATGGACTACAGTCTGTAATTGTAGAACTACAAAGTACACTACAAAATGGTAACTGGAGCTGATAAAATGGACAATGAGTGTAGAAACAAGGAGGTGTACTTAGAGAAGTCAGTGTATATTTGTATGTACATACCTATATTTATATGTAAGTATGTTGCACAGCTAAAACAGTATTATATGTGTCTTGAAGCATGTTTTATGTCCAGTTGTAAGGATAAAAGGATGCAATATGGTGTCAGAAACACCATAAGCAAGTCTGTTTGAGAATACTTAACAACTCAGTGTGGTTTTAGGAATAATTTAAGTTTGCACAGTGCTAGTTAGTGGAGTGTAAGCTTCCATAACTTATTATCTACAGTACTGAAAGCAAGACCTTTCATCTTTTTAAATTACATTTAAAACAACCATTAAATACAAGTTGTTTTTTTTTTCAACTTAAGGAAAAAGCATATAAAGAAGCCTCAACAACTAAAAAAATATTTTTTTCAATATTTCATGTGTTCACCCTTTGATTTTAGTACAGCTTCCATTCTTTACAGGAGACTTATTTTCAGTTTTTTGAAGAAATTTGCACAGATATTTTTCTATATCTCTGAAGTTCAGTCTTAGACACTGGTTGAATTTTATGCTTCTCACAGTCACAAACATACTCAGTGATGTTGAGGTCTGGACTCCAGTTTTGGGAACTCCTGTTTTTTCCACCTAATTTCCTTTGACTTTCCCCTTCTTTATGCAAGTGAATCTTACATCTGACTTCCTCAAAACTCTCCTGAAAAATGAATAACTTGTATTTAATGCTTGATTTGACTGGAAATTAAATAACTAAAGTGTACAATAGTCTTGTAGCTTTGTTGCAAAACTAAAGCAGCAAATTTCAGACACCTGTCATGTCTTGGCTGATCGATAACATTTTGGGTAAGAGGAAAAACTGTAAATTTGACGTTTCACTGAGCTTTGCTTTAAGTACCCACGCTTGAGTGACTGCCATCCCTGCAGTGTGTTTATGTATGTGGGCCTGTGTTTGTGTATGTAAGTATGGCCTTGTTGGTTTATGGACTGCTAAATCCAGCACCAATTTCCTCGTATGTATTTTGCATGATTGTGGTGGCTGTTATAGCTGTCTTCTTACACTTTGAACAATATAAGGCAGTTTTTCCCATCATGTGACAGAATTCCAAGAATTCCAATTGCTTTCTTTTTCTTATTATGCTGTCAGAAGGTGTATTAGGCACTTAGTATCATAAGAATCAAAGTATTGCCAGCTATTGTTTTTTTAGACTGAGGGCTGAGAATCTAAGCAGGGTTTTGTCTGAGCCAGAGTCTTAATCTTTTTCAGTCATGCGCAAAATCTAACCAGAGCGCAAAGAATCCTGAAATAACTGTCTTAAAACCTCAGCTGAATACAAATGGAACATTTTTAGCAAACGTCAGTTTTTCTGCATTGCTGTGACAATGCAGATTTTTGCTGTCACTGCGCACTGACGGATACCATAATATTGTTGTTGCCATGGTTACAGACAAAGCAGAGACTGAAGCGAAGGAGCCGTCTGCTCTTGCTGCAGTTACAGGTATTTTCAAGATGTAGTAGAGCCGCACAAGTAATCATATTTTATTCATGATCACGATTTTAGGCTTCTGAAAATAATTAATCATGTGAAACTGTAATCGTAAACTTTAAAATTTACTAACGTTAGACATCAGTTCTGTATATTCTAGTGCATTAAATCTCAACAGGCTTAACTTTTTGGAAAAAACAAGGATCATAACAGTTTCTGTTTCTACGTAGAATTAGAACCTTATGTAGTTTCTGAGGTGGCATGTTTATTTATAGTTCAGTTTTATTTTTGAGGCATATTTGAATCTTTTATTTAAAAGATACCCTCAGTAAGTATGATCTTAATGATCTATTGATTCAAAGATTTATACACTTGGAATATAGTCTTATAATGTACAATATGAAAAAAGCTTTCTTTTTAATATAGAGAAATAATACAGTGCAAAAAAGCTGTTTTGTTTCTGATTTGACTGCAAAAATTAGGATAATTAAGTGTGACTTTAATACTGAGCAATTCAGTATTAATCGTGATTATCATTATAGCCATTACTGTACTAGTATGTTGTGCTACTAGCAATACTAGTAGTATTGTACTGCCAGCGCTGTATGTAGTTAACCACACTGCTGTTACTGTGGTAAAGGAAGAGAGTGGCTGTTAAAGGGCCCATATCCTACATTTTTCTTGTTTTTTATTTTCTTTCCTTTGATATCTGCTTATAACCTTTATTTATTAACGTGATTTATTTTCCAAAACCATTCTAAAAATTCATTTTTACGTGACTATTTTCCAACCGCTTTCTATCCCTTAGTATTGAACAGGCTCTTTTTGTTACTGTATCTTTAAGACTTATATATGTAATTGACATCTGTTCTAATTGGATGCCCTGTATTTTGCATCATTCACAATAACAGTCCAGGTTGAATCAGTCATTATAACTTCACTGTAAATGGGTGAGGCTCAACTGCTATAGGCTGCAGTAATATATTGATATATGTAACTGTAGGTTTTCATGAAAACAGTGAATTTAAAATGGGCTGTCTTTGTAGCTTTGTTTCCAAATATGGACTGTATGGGCTGGGGAGTGAATGATATGTATTGAAACACTGTTTACATACTACAAAACTCTTATTTAATTTAAAAAAAGCACATCTTAGGAAAATTCAGTATTCCACAGTGTGGGCCCTTTAATCGCTTATCAGTGGTAGTTAGACTGTAGTGTTGTAGTGAAATAGCACTTTAACTAACACTTCAGCATTTTTCAGCCTATTCTCTATCTGCTGCATCTGTAACTTACAGTCAATGACTGTAGACAGTACTTTCCCTGTAATTTGCCATTTGCAAAATTCTGAGAAAGTCTCTCCTTTCTTAGTTATTGCCGTTAAGTTCGTCAAACTTTCAGTTCAGGCTACGTGGTAGCATTTAGAACACTTGTGCTAAGAGTATCATGAAGGAAGACTTCACACGTACTTTCAAAACATTTGTTCTTTCATAAATAAAGACTGTTACAAGACCAACTGTTTTTCAATGCTGCAAATCGAACGAATCACAATTTATTAACAAGAACGTGTTTAAACCAATACATGTCCTATTTAAACAAATCCATGTGATACTTTAGACTCAGACTTTAGACTCAGAGGTTCAGGCAGCATTGACAAGATGTAAATCACGGAGGAAACACGGCACAAGATTTACAAACCGCCTATCAGGTACTGCTGATTATAAGCCAACTAACTGCTAATCAGGTTTTAATGTAATTTCATCAGACTTTGACAAGCCAACACTCTGTATATGAATGCTCTGCGGTAGTGCGCTTACCTAATGAGTACATAATGCTTTTACGTACAGAAGGTAGTGAAGACAGCTAATTGCGCTGCTGTTAAACCACAGCAGTCAGAGACTTTATTGCTTTAACTCAAAATGCTCACGCCTTCACTCGCCTACCGGTCACTCTGTTTTCACATGTAGAGAGAAAGAGGATGGTGTTGTAGTACCTGAGTCCAGTCTTGCTTTGGACTCGGTCTTGTCACGGTCACGGGATAAGGTGGGCTCGTAAATTGTTCTCAAGAACAGCCAAGTGCAATGACTCGATCAGAGGTAATTGGGGAAAAAGAACCTTTTTCTATCTATGAACAATGAAATATCAACAAAACCTTCAAACAGAATAAAACAGTCCTTTCTCTAAATGTTCAAATAAATCTGTTTCGCAGCTGGTCGAGGATCTAATTGATGATCCATGATTGTTTAATTGGATATTGCTTGTTTGTTGATGGAAAGGTATTATTAGTATGTTTTCATTTAATAATAAAAATGTTTGGTTTATATTCAGTTGACTTTAGGTGGTGATTCTATGTAAGTTTTAGAAAAGAATGGATAGAGAATAATCTCACCATCATATGCATCCAAAAGTTGCAATGCAAAGTTGGACTAAGACTATAATGTAGCATAACCCCAATTCCAAAAAAATTGGGACAGTATGTGAAATGCTAATAAAAACCGAAAGCAGTGATTAGTACATTCTGTTTGACCTGCATTAAATTGAAAATGGTACAAAAACACAGTGTTTGATGTAAACTTATGAACTTCACTGTTTTTTTTTTGTAAGTATATGCTCATTTCAAAAATGATGCCTGAGACGTGTTCCAAAAAAGTTGGGACACGAGTGTGTTCACCATTGTGTTACATCACCTTTCCTTTTAACAGCACTTAATAATCATTTGAGGACTTAAGACTCCAAGACACCAATACTTGTGTCTGTGCAACCATATGGGGCTTTCATTGTCATGTTTTGTACAATGACTGAACTCTATCGGTCTTGACTTCAGTACTGGATGACAGTGAAGAATAATAAAGCAAGTGATGCTGCAAAGAGACAAATGAAGCTCTTTATTTGGAAAAATATACAGTGCACAGGCTATACTGAATTCACTGAACAGATTCAAGTATTGTCTGAGAAATATTACAATAATTCATAAAGGCGCTTGAATCTTTTAATCAAATTGCTGAATCAAATCACTGTTTAATGAACTGAATCAAGTCATTTTCAAGTCACAAAAATATTTTTTTAAAAGTAGTTTTTGAAGACAGTGAACTGAAACGAAACAACTCTAGTGATAATTGACCGTACGCTACAGATTCAGCAGATCGGGATTAGGTTGAAAGACACAGCCTGTATTTTAGACTAGCATCTATTTGCCTTGTTAGCTGCCTCTAGTTCTTATCCCCTCCGAAGAAACAGATGGACCTCAGTAAGGAAGGTACAAAACACAGCACGACAGGAGTGTGCACGTGTGCCTGCACATTCATGCTCCCACCTGACAGCGAGTCACTGTGTGTGTGTGTGTGTGTGTGTGTGTGTGTGTGTGTGTGTGTGTGTGTGTGTGTGTGTTTTGGCTGTCAGTAGATGCTATTAGGTGTTTGGGTTTGTTTCTTGGCTGTTGAGTCTTGGCTGTGTTGGTGAAGCAGGCTGCACTGGTGTGAATTATTCATGTGAACACGTTGGCCTGTCTGTTGTGTTTATTTGGGTCCCCTCATGCAGCACAGCTGAGCTAATGCATCTTTAATGGGAAAACAAGACTTATTGGGTTCATTAGGGACAAATACGCCAGTCAAGTGTAAACAAAGCCGTAAGGGTCTTTTCACTCAGTGAGTTGTGCATTATTGTGTACTGTGCTTTCTCTCTCTCTCTCCCTCTCTCTCTCTCTCTCTCTCTCCCTCCCTCTCCCTCTCTCTCTCTCTCTCTCTCTCTCTCTCTCTCTCTCTCCCTTCCTCCCTCTCTCCCTCCTTCCCTCCCTCTCTCTCTCTCTCTCTCTCTCTCTCTCTCTCTCTCTCTCTCTCTCTCCCTCTCTCCCTCTCTCCCTCTCCCTCTCCCTCTCTCTCTCTCTCTCTCTCTCTCTCTCTCTCTCTCTCTCTCTCTCTCTCTCAGTGTCCCCTCGTCTTTTGCGGAGGGTGAGTCGTCCACCTGTCCGGGCAGTGGCCCTCACCCCGGTGGGGGTAGCTGAATCAGACGCTCACCTACCCTCCCTGCAGACGGAGGTGTGGAGCTGGGGGCGGGGTCAAGAGGGGCAGCTGGGACACGGAGATCTGCTACCCAGGTTGGACCACTACCCATAATGCAATGCAAAACAATCACTGCCAGTCCACTAACATAGGAATGGGCAATATGGCAAAAATATAATCTAATAGCCTACCTGTTTTGTGATACATGCATCATGAAATTTGATGGGACAAATAAATGTTTGAACAAAATGCTGCAGCAAAACGGTTGAAAAATAATATCAAAATCTGAGTGCAAAAGGTTTTTTTGTTGTTGTTATTTCACATTCTCTGCATCACTACATACAGTTTAACTGGGCTCTCTGAGACTCCCACCATGTTTGTATCCATATTTAGAGAATCAGACCCCATTCACATGTATCTGTATCTGGATATTTTTAGATGTGACGTGCCTCACGCACCTGGCTTGTGACTCACTAACTGATGTTTAGCAGGCTAAAAATTTTCCACAAGAGTGCTGTTAGCACTAAAATAACTTCTGGTATTTCATATCAGCGAAACGGTGTGTCCTTGTTGAAAACAAGTTCACTCAAAAGCACAGCTTTAGGTCACCAAAAATGTCATAGTTTTCATGTGGGCTCTGTTAATTTGCGTGTGATTGTTGCTGTTTTCATTTTCTGAGCATGCCAAACTCTGTTTGAAATATGGCTGATGACTGCACTGATAATTAGGGATGCACGATGTTGTCAGAAACGTATCGGTATTGGCAGATAATTGCTTAAAAAAATATATTAGCATTGGATGGAAGTTTATATTTGACTAATTTCAAACAGTTGATGATATTTTCATTGTGCTTCAGAAGAGTAGAATGGCGACACACTGCTGCACTAAAATGTCTGCATTTTATTTATTTTACAGCATTTGTAACTGTATAGAAATAAATTTTAGATTTCTCCATAAAACTAATTCATGTAGATGTGGTTCAAATGTAGCAGCAGATACGAAAAACATGAAAAACATTAAATATCAGTATTGGCCTGCAATTACCATATCTGTGCATCCCATATGTGCATGACCTGTGTTAAGTCAAACAGGTCTGTTGTGTTTGCAGCTTGCCACTTGTCCTGCGTTAGAAAATCTCTGCTTCAGCTTCATGCTCTGTAATGTGCACATCACACATGTTTACACTGTCCACTTTGAGGCATTTTATATCAATTCTTCTTGTAAGAAGATTCTGGTGTGGATGGAAAAATTTTCAGAAACGCTGTTGGTCTGGAGGAAGATTTGAGTACTTTTTTTTTCTACCTTTCAAAAATATCTAGATATGTGTGAACGAGGCCTCAAACATGCAAACTTCTGATAGCTGGATGGAACCTTGCACCACTTAGGAGCTGTCTTTAAATCCTTTTTTAAAGAAATATGCAGTCAGTCAGTGTCCTTTAATTATACCCACAATATGCTCAGAAAAGCATATCATGATGTTATTCATCGTGATAATGATGTGTTATTGTCACATCGCCCACCCCTGCAATGAAGTACAATGAAATAAAGGACAGAATAGCCTCTCAGTCCACACATGCAGACTAGAGATGTAAACATCAACGTTTTAACTAAACATTTAGCTGAAAAATGAACATTTATTCAAACAGAGCAGCCTATTATAAAGGTACAAGACTGTCTAGACAGATTCTAACTTTTGTGAACAAAAGCTCAGAAAGGCTCTCAATTCTGTGCCATGCCAGTGGCAGAACTGTGGAAGGATCTGCATGTTTTGCTTTGCAAATATACATTTGGTAAATACTCCCAATGCTGCAGTGCAACCGTACAAACTACTGTATGCACTGTATTAACCCAAGGCTACAAAATAACCTCTGTAGTTTCCCTTGTTCAATTTTTAAATGAATCAGCCTGTAAATTGATTATGCACTGCTTGTAGCAGCATCATAGCACTATTACCACAGGCTATGTTAATAAAATAAGCTTTTGGTATGTTTAATAGATGTTTCTGTGCTTTAAACCTTTCTTATATCATTATGAGACAGACTAGCTTGAAAGAAAAAACCTTCATGGGTCTTCCACTAATCCATTAAAATACTAATCTCTCTCTTTCTTTTCTCTCTGCAGACTACAGCCTCTCTGTATTAAAAGTCTGAGTGGTAAAGAGGTGGTTAGATTGGCAGCAGGTGCACTCCACTCTCTCGCTCTGACTGCACAATCACAGGTGTGTGGAAGTGTATATTAGGGCTGCACAGTATGGCTGAGACTAGTATTGTGATTATATATTGTGATTACATGTTGTGATAACAATATACTGTTCGATATGTTAAAACCACACTGATGAATCAGTAATGTGATATGGTAAAATGTTAAAGGACCTGGCAACTCAAAAAGTCTAAATCTCAGTGATCCTAAAGATTCGTGGCTTAGTTATCATCAAGCAGTGACAGTTTTGAAGGAAAAAAAAACATGGAGCTGTAAGCTAGAAAAACTTGCTTGCCTAATTAGGGCTGTGTTTAGTTAGGGCGTTTCAGACTGCACAGTGATTGACAGTGGTGTAGCCACAACAGCAGGCTTTTTTCCCTTTTTTTTTCTGGCAGAGCTCAGACTTCGGCTTATAGTAAAGTTACGCTCAACCAGGACTGGCTACAGTAATTGCTGTAACATTTTTCAGGCAGTACAGTACAGTGCAAATAGTTACAAATCTGAACTCAATACTTTCTGTACCCTGGTCAAGTAGCTGTGTCTGTTTCCCATCACACAACCAAACCGTAAAAGTTCTCTTTACCTTGTGTGGTCACATGATTTTTCACATGAATCTACTGTCAACAGTAAACGCAAACAACAGCAGCAAGAATGGAGGAGCTTCAAGTTCTGATTTACCTTATAGTCTGTTTTTGGTTTTATGTGAGAGTCTGAGAGATTCTGCCTGGCTGGGCTATTTATTTATTTATTTATTTATTTATTTATTTATTTATTTATGGTTATCTGACTCCAGTGACGCTGTGTGATCGCATTTCAACTTTCAGTGGTTTGCACCATTTCTAGCTCCACCCATACATTCAGGCTTAGCCCCAGGGTACCCCAGCAAGGAGGGTAACAAAATACAGCGTGGGTACTCAGGTACGATACGATACGGCTCACTTGCCAGTGAAAATTATAACAAACTGCGTGATCATGGAGTTGTAACTGTACTGCACCACACTCCCCATTGGGAAAAACTGCATTTTTGAGTAACGCAAGTAGAAATTTGACCAGTGATTCAAACACTGTTTGGCCAGTCATCCAAAGTCTAGCACTGTGGCTCACAGGTGGCTATGATGGGCAACAAACCATTAAAGCAATGTGAGTGTTAATCACCTGAGTTAGGCTAGTCAACAACCTTCATGAAAAGAACTTTGCTTGGCACCTCAGACATCCAGTGAATAAGATTAGAGGGGAAAGAAAGAAAATAGAAAAATAGCTTTGTCGATAAGCTGCTCTCTAAAGCCCTGTTTCACTCATGTGTAACTGATGTTTTGCAAAGCAGGCACTGCAGACATGTTGTTTAAAGCCATGCATTACAGTCATTTTAGCACAGTTAAGGGGTGTTTTTTTAAATACTCGCTTGTTCACTCGCTCACCAATAGTCCATCATGCTTTGATTTCAGACTCGATTTTCATTCAGTAACAGCTTTACGTTTTACAGTAAAGCTTTTATTTTGACACAGCTGTACTGTCTAGTCTAGGTTTTCAAACATTGTCAACCGTTTGTGATTTTAATCAACATAATTGTCAACATTCCTGACTTAACAAAACACAGGCAATGTCTTTTAAATGATGTTTACTGTGATTTACTTCTTCTTTCTAAATAAATGACTGAAAAGGATTGTTGGATGTTCCCTTGTACAGTTGGTTTATCTTGGGTTTAGTAAAGATATTACTTTTCCAAGGAAGTAATAAGCAACAGAAACCTGTTAGAATTTTACAGAAGTAATGAGTATCTTGTAATGGATTACTTTTATTTTTTTTATTAACTTCCCTAACACTGCTCACACTGCAGTTGGGGACAGACCTTATTTGCATATTTCAGCCTTCTCTGATATTAGTAGTACAATATCTCAATAACGATCAACAAATATTATGCAGCCCTGGTTTATATGTCTGTGGTTCACTTTAAGGTGTTTTTGTTCAGCTTCATAATCTAATTGTTAAGTGTGTTCGTTGGTGATGCTGAGTGTGTTTGTTGTGTGGGTTGTTTGTATATCAGCAAGACTGAATGTGTGCTTACTGTGGGGCAGGTGTACTCCTGGGGCAGTAACAGCTTTGGTCAGCTGGGACACATGGAATCCCCCAGCACCATCCCCCGCCTAGCTAAGGTACACACACGCACACACACACACACACACACACACACACACACACACACACACAAGACTGGCGTGAGTTTAGCAGCGAATCAGAATTTGATTTTATAAATTGTGAGAATGTGAGGCATCCCCCATAAATGTGTTAAAAAAGCACCTCTAACATGGTAACTGTGTAGCACTTTCCTAACTTTGTCAACAAGATTTTTTCCCACGTAATTACATATTAGTAATAAAAGTTCTTGTGTGTAATAATAATAATATAATATTTTCTGTATGTATTATACATATGTAATCAGAAATCTAACCTTAACCTATACCAAATTGTTTGTTTACCTTTCAGTTTAAAAACATGAATCATGGATCTTTTGTAAAAAGAACTTTTTTCCCTACAAATATGCAAAAACAAACACACACATACTCACACACTAAACATATACACACAAGATACACGGTTTAACCTGACATTTAGTGGAACTACTTGTCTTTCCTAGTGAGTGGCTAAAAACAGTTATATTTTAGATAACTTTATTTGCTGCCTGTGTTCTCTCTGTAGATGTCAGAGGGCATCCGTGTGTGGGATGTGGGGGCGGGGCAGAACCACACTGTGCTATTGGCTGATGGAGACTGTTTCCAGCCAATCTTGTACTACAGCGGGCAGCAGGTGAAAGAGGGGTCTGTGGAGGTGTCACAGGAACAGACAGGGGGGTACACACAGCAGCCTGTGCTGCTGCCCTTCTGCATGAACGTTAGTGACGTCTTACCTTTCTGCACTATTCAGAAATAGATAATTACAGTATATTATTTCAAATTTAACTTCTACTTGTTGTTTCCAAAACTCTTAAAACATTGAGTAAAGCTGGTGTATACAGTGTGTATGTTATTACTGTATGTAAATCCAAAGATTACTAATATGACAAGTGATTCAAAACTTTGGACAGTGCTGCACATGTTCAGTGTACTTTTTTTAATGGTCCTTGCTGTGAAATACTATATGAAATAGGCCGGGTCCTAATGCTGTTTCTACATTACTTGCTACTGTTTCTAATATTTTACCTAATGTGTCTTATAGCTGGGTTATGTGAGCAGTGTTTGTGCGGGTGGGCAGAGCTGTGCGGCGCTGGCTGACCGTAACGTAATGGGCTTCATAGCCAGCCTACATGAGCTGGCTGCAGCTGAGAGAAAATACTACTGCAAACTGACCAGCATAAAGAGCATCCTGCTGCAGCCTCTACTAAAACTGGGTATGAGAGCCAGGGAGTGTGTATAAATGAACAAATAATAGAGAATTGTTTAACTTTCTTTAGTGTAATTCAGCTACAACTACAGGTTTAAATCAACTTACTTTTTCTACTTTCCAGTCAAAACAGCCAGTATATTATTCATTTTTTAATATTTTTTAATATTTCTAAAGAGATTAGAGATAAAATAATCCACTTGCGTAAGGAAGGAGAAATTCAAATGAAAATAACTGAACAAAACAGGAGTTTCCAAAACTGGAGTTCAAATAACTGTTAAAAGATGCAGAGAAAATGGGACTCCTAACAACCAAGACCTGGTAGACCACCAAAACTGTCCCCATCAGATAAACAGCACTTGAAGCTTTCATCTATGAGAGAGGAGAAAATTGAGCTGCTTCAGATCTGAAACAATGCACAGGCGTTTCTATCCATCCTTCCACTGTGAGAAGGCGACGCTATATGAAGTCTGAAAGGATGCGTGGCTGTCAAGAAGGCGTTATTGAGAAAAAGAAATTTGATTTAATATGATACTTAGTTCTGGCTTCTATGTAATTTTCTTGACTCTGGAAAATGAATAACTTGCCAATGGTCGTTTTGGCTGGACTTTAAATAAATAAAGCCTAGTTCCTGACTTTGCTACAAAACTACAGTTAGGTTTAAATTATATTATGCTGATCTTTTTTGGTTTTTCTTTGGATGTGAACATGGTTTTGGTGAATGTTTTGTTCCCTCAGATTCCTTAAGCTCCAGCTTTGGACCAGCATGTACTGGACTTCTGCAAACTTTGGTTGGTCGATTTGGCCGCCTGTCTCAGTTGACAGGTCAGAACTCTGCCTCTTTGACCTCCTTCCTGAGGCGCTCACGTGATGTCAGGGGCCTTGTTGTCCTTGACAACGCACATCTGTTCCTGGACACATATTCTGAGCAAGTACACACACACACACAGACACACACACACACACACACACACACACACAGAATCTAAAGGGCATAGTACATGCGCTTATAACATGCTGACGTTATACTCACATAAAGATGCATCCATGACACACATTCAGTAATGTAATAAATCATCTATATTTTGTCTTTTCTGATTTTTGCAGATCTTGATCTTAAGTTTTTGTCTTCAAACTATATATCTCAATGTTTGTCTCTATGTTTATAGGTACTGCGCTGCAATAGGTAACCTGCTGGTCATGGGGGGCTTTCAGGCTCTTGTCAAACCTTGCCAGTGAGTCATCTTGCTATGTATGGGCACATGCATGTGATTTAAAGGGGAATTCTGCTATTTTCAAAAATAAAAATGAATTGTTAACGTCTAAACTCATTCTTTGTGGTTTAATGTACGATGCTATTTTTTCTGCATTGTTAACATCATGATCCCACCACTGTAAAGAAATTGAGTCATAAAGTTACTCTGTAATTCCTCATTTCACATCAGACCACTCTGAATGACTTCATTCAAATTCACAATGATTGAATTATGCTGACATCTTCTAAAGGTCTCTCTCTTGGGGTCAGTGGATAATTAGTGCTGACATTTGTCTGACTTTCATAGCGCTATATAGAGAGAACAGTAGCATGTCTGCTTCACAATGAGGACTTGTGCAGAGAGAACAGTTTAAAAATCATTTGAAGGTTTGGAAAATGTGAATTTAGCTTCAGCCTCTCTTCATCTCATAACTCATTATGCTTTCTAGATACTGTATAGCTTTGTATGCTTCTGTGAAGCATTTAGTGGTCTATTTTTAAATGTGCTAAGCTTTCAGAATAAAACTTTTTTTATTTATTTATTTATTTTTGCGGGAGTTTTTAGTAGTCAGGACTTCCAGGACTTTACAGGACATTTTATCAGTGTTCTTATTTTCCAGGTAAATTCCATGACTGAAAAATTTAATTATAATCTTGCAGTAACTCTGCACTTATTTTTGAGATTAAGTCAAAAGTTTGAAGACCCCTGTTCAAAATACTATTCATTTGCTGAGTTTGACATGTTAGGGGAAAAAAAAAGATAAAATATAAATGTTTTTACACAAGTCACATTTATGTTTCCTTTTTTGTCCAGTAAGTTAAATTCAGCAAATAAACAGTAATTGTGCATTAAAATGTGTAGAAGGATGTGTTAACTTATTTTCTCTTAGAAAATCAACAAAAAATGTGCTTTGATCAGCCCAAGCTTTTGCATATGACTGTGTATATACATATATATTTATATGTTTCCTTTCTCTTTAGGGATGTGTTCGGGAAGGGAGCAGAGGCTGTGCAGAAGCTGTCTGAGTGTTGTGAAGACGGGGCAACGCTGGCTGACATTTTGATTCATCTGTTTTACCTCCCTGTCCGCCATCTCCATGAATATGGCCGCCTGCTCCTCAAGCTAGCAACATGCTATGAGGTGGTGGGTACACATGCATGTTCACACTGACCTTGCACCATTGTGTTTTACAAGTGCAATGTTTTTGTTATGTCACCACGTCCTATCTAAGTAATAATGTAAAAAAGAAATAGATTAATAATAATATTAGTGTATTATAACTGTATAATGAAACATTCTACTGTGTATGTGTGTGTAATTATATCCCAGAATTCCATGGACTATCAGAAGCTTCAGGATGTCTGCTCTAAGTACGAGTCGCTGGCTCTTCATCTAAAGAGGAAGAGGAAGGAGGCCGAGTACACACTGCACTTCTGGAAGAGCTTCCCTGGAAAGATGACGGTGTGTGATCATTATTTAAAACCACAAGTGTTTTACAGTAACATTAAGTAGATATAGGATAGTTTCCATTTAAGACAGAGGAGTTGACAAAGCCGTTAGACCTTCTCATATCGGGTTGCTCATGGTTTATTCAGCTGAAGCAGAACCTCCAGTTATCATACAGAGTGCCTGCTAGGCAGAGTCGTTGTTGAACTTTATTAGCAGTGTTGGCTGTTACCCAGTGTCTTGCATCTTTCAGTCACACTGGCTAAAAGAAAAATGATAATGTTGTTGCTGTTAGTATTCGATAGATATATTTCTTCTTTTTTGTGTGAGTGTTTAATAAAGCAATAAGCCACAAGAGGCCGTGGGTTACAGCAATTTTATCACGGGAAGGATGTTCTCTCTAAAACTCCCTTCCCAATGATAAATCGCAGGAACGCATCTCAAGTGGCTTATTACTTTTATAAAACGGCAGCCAACTATGATAAAATACACAAATTTTCAGAAAATAATTTGAGTTGTTATTATTAATAATAATCGACTAAACAAGTATTCTTTACAGTGCGATATCGTTGCCAAGCAACCATAGACTGCTGAATGAGGAGAACGTTCAGTCGCTAATCGCTGAATGTTGCGGTCATTTCATGTTAACTTGTCGTATAATAATGAACATATGAGAACACAGCACTGTTTGATGCAAAACTTTCTCTTTTATAAGTACTTTTTGATCACCAAATTACCACTGCGAGTCTGATTTAGCACCAATCCAGTGGTGCCCCTCTTCTCACGCTGGGGCTGAATCTCAAATGGCTCCCTGCTCCGTACATAGTGCACCACGTTGGAATTTAAATATTGGATCCTGCAGCCCAACAGTGTAAATATAGCCAATAAATAATCATTTGAGACACATCTACACTCGATAAATGATGCACTGTTTGTAGAGGCCAGAATTTTTTTACTTTCATAGCTAGCACACTATTTAGGGAGTACAGAGCCATTTGGGATTCAGCCTGGGGTTGACAGTACTTCCGACTGGAACACGAACATTTGAAGCGTGTAATCCATTCAAGTGATATTGTTTGACTTTTATGCTGCCATTTTACAGTTAATCATATCGTAAGTACTTTAATTCAAGCCTGTGATATTAATGATGTAGTTCTTTAGGCTCTTAGCTATCTTTTTAGCCCGTTAGCTAGCTGACCAGCCTAGTACTAGTTAAGAACATAAGTCGTCAGCCCCTCAGTTTAAATAAAAAACAGGTTCTTACTTCATCAGTATACTTGGTTCATGCAAGCAGCATGAGAGTCAAAAGATTATTCCATTAACAGCACAAGGGTTTTTTTCATGCCGTGGCACAGTAATATAGAGTTCAGTTGTTGTGAGGTGGCCATAGGTGTGCGTAAATCTTGGATTTTACAGCAGCCAATCAGATCGTAGAACCGGAACTATCCGTTTTATTATTTTTAAAAAAAAACACGTTGGGGCAAAGTTTCAGTCCACTTAAATTGCATCTACTTTTTTGACTTGCTATGAGAAGAGCTCACGATGACTAAAAATGAAAAAGTGATCCCGTTTCCTCGTGTAGCAGCACGCCAGTCACTCACAGGACAACTCACTGCTGCATATGTAAATGAAGTAAAACCAGTACTGGAGTTTCAAATCACAGATCAGAGTCCAGAATGCTTACGTAGAGCTCTGAATGCTTGCACAAAATAGAATGAAAAAAATGCAAATTTCCACTTTTTCATTTAATTGCTATTATCAATAATTATCAGTAAAACTATTAATTAATATGTGGTTCCAGCTCTAGGTAATAGCAAAAAGGCAAGCACTTACTTTCATTAGCAACATCTAAAACAGCAGGCTTATTATTCAGTTATTAATCTTAAGAAATTTTGTAAGGTATTCAGTAACTGCTGTTAAACTAATGTGTAAATTATGTAGTTATGAGAGTGAACAATTGAAGTGTGAACCTGCATAGGGGGGTCTATTTATAATTGTGTCTTTCAAATCATCTGTGAGTTCTCATATTAAAACCTAAATCACTGTTTTTTTAGATATAGAATCAGTGAATCTTTATCTAATCACTTCTTTCTTTTTTTTTTGAAGTGCATTAGTCTGACTCAGGTCAGGTTGCATCATAGTGCTGTGTTATTGACCGGCCACTCTCTTGTGTCTGCCCCTGTCTCAGGACTCGCTGCGCAAGCCATCTCGCCGATTGGTGTGCGAGAGCAGCAACAAAGCTCTGACCTTGCAGAATGCTGGTCGCTTCTCCGTCAACTGGTTCATCCTCTTCAATGATGCTCTTGTTCATGCACAGGTATGTAATGTTCTCACCTCCCTGCCTTTTTTGTCCTCTCTCTTTTTAACCTTTGCTGTCTTTTGCTGTGTTCTCCTTTGTCCTTTTCTGCTTCTGCCTCTGCCTTTCATTCTTTTCTTCTTTTCGGCTCCTTTGGTGTATTGTGCTGGATTTTGTCTCTGAGGGAGTTCTGAGTGTCTGATGTTTATTTCTGTCCTGGTAGGGAATGCTCCCCTGTAAGGGTCTTGTAAGTATGAACAGAGTGAGAACAATAGAGCACACTTCCCTCTCTAGCACAGCTCCCCCTAGTGTCCAGGGCTGGGCTCAGCACTATTCTTCTTGAAGGAATAGCTCAGCGAAAGGTCAAATTTACACTTATCACAAATGCAGTAAATCACCTAAGACATGTTTGGTTGCAGAAATTTTGTCCTGCAGCTATGAGGCTGATGTAATGGAATAGTAGCTTATATCTAGCAGTTAGCCTCATAAAAATTGCCCGATAGAATCAGCACATACTTGCCTCAAACTGCACCAAGTTGATAATTATTCTTAAACAGTCTTGCTTGGTTTCTGACACTATTAAATACTGTTATCAAAAAATGGATCAAAGTATGTACACAATTAGGATTAATAGTAACTGATGCTTATATTTTTAGCTCTATGACATACTACTATACATTTTTGTCAGTGCAGAACCCTCAGTGCCTTGTAGTCCTCAAGAAAAGGCCTAATGATTTCTGTGAAATATAATGTACTGTGAGTCTGTAGTTTTTAATCTAATTCAATATAATATAGTCATCATGCTTGTTGTATTTAAAGTCTGCAAGTATTGTAGTAATACTGTGTTTTGGTTGGAAACAATATGGTTAAATTCAAACGGAAAATTGTCCAATCATGGTCTTTTTTAATCCTTGGTATCTTAGTAGATACAACTAAGCAAGCTCTCCCGTTGGTTAGAACTTCAGGAGCTGAACTGAAGGATTTTATGTCGGATTATCTGATAACAGAATTACTAACTGATAGTAAGATCAACCAGTCATGCTTTGTTTTACAGTAGCCACATTTACATACGGCCTAATAATCCGTTAAAAATAATAGCTCAATCAGAGTAGAATATGTCCGTGTATACACCTCAATCGGAATACAGTAGTCCGATTGAGACCGTTTGGAATACAATTTCTGTCCGTTTGAACGAGGTGGGTAATCCTGTAAATAATCCGTTAAATAGAAGAATAATATCAGTGTAAACACCTGTATCTGATTACGTTCCCAGTCAGAAAGTGTAGATACGTTCTGAGCATGTGCGTCGCATCATAGCGGGACTTTATAACGTTCAACATGGTGGGAGCAGAAACTGGTCAGCAAAGGAGACGAAATTTATGCTTTGAGCTTTAAAAGATGGTGGTGGGACGGACGTCCAGCTTATATGTCTCAGAACACGACGTCTTCGTCTCGTCCTTCTTTAATAAGTACATGTGAAAAACGTTTTCCTGAGTCTGACATCATTTTAAAGTAATTAAAAACACAAGCACTGCTCACTGCTGTTCGCCTCACTCTGGCTGGACTCACGTGATGCTCATTGTCATGGTAACGTCTACACTAAGTGGTGCCCTACGCATGCGCGTACTTTTGGATCTGATTACTTGTAGTTTGCATGTAAACAAAGATTTTCCATCAGATTGTTGAGTAGAATGAGCATAAACACCTCAGTCTTAATCTGTAATTGGAATGTAGTCAATTGGATTGGCAGCAATCTTTGCATTTATACACAGCCAATGATTGTGACCAGTTTCAAGAGAAAACATGTCACACCAGGCTTTATTGAAATCCTAGATACATCGTTGTGTGTGAGTACGAGTAGCAGCCTGACTAACGTGTTTCCCTCAGTTATTAGAAATGGAAAATATTGATGGCAGCTCTATACCAGGGCTCTTTACTGAAGCTCTGAAACTGCTTCAGAAAGGGTTAAATTTATGTTAATATATCTTACAGTCTTCAAATTTAAAATGGAAGGTCTTTTACAAGCTTCAGCAGTCCGTGTTTAATATGACATGGCCTGAAAATGTTCATGCTTAGAGCTTACATAGTATTAGAATCCCATAGGGACGCTAGCAGAAATTAGCTTTATCTTAACCTCTCGTCTTTGACCGAGTTGATATTTATGGCATTTATATTTAAGGCCTAGCTCTAATATTCATAGATTGCCACTGATTTTAGTAGAAAACGGAATATTAAATAAGCAAACTTTAGACACCAAAAATGTCTTGGCTGATCGCTGCATTTGGGGTGAGGGGCAAAAATTGCATAAATCCGTTGTTTTGCCGACCTGTTTGTTTAACTGTTTGTTCGTGGTTATGTCTCAGTTTATGTCTCATTCTCTGCCCTGATATGTGAGATCAGTGATATTTTTGGGGATATTTGAGGCAGGGACTGTACTGTGCCACCCTCAGAATGCAGTATTGTACACTGTGATGCCCTTAGGTGCTGTATGCAGCTGCTTTGTGAATGTGCCATCTTAAGTACATATTTTTTTCTTTTTGTTATTAAATGACTATAGTACTTTATAGGAAGAATTCTTGCTCTCTTAGTTGCTTTTTGGAGCCAGTGGCACAGAAGTGCCTGAACCAAGCCCTATTCGGTGCCTGTATTTTCCCTTTCCCCCAGCCTGTACCCTTGTCTGCTGCAGTACGGTGCGTCAGTCCATTCTGTTACGACTCTTCAGTTTTGTCAGACAAAGTCCCATTGTTAGTTGTATCCTTTGGCAGGCCCTTACCTTTATGAGTTCTCCTTCTAGTTCTCCAATTACTTCTGTTTTGTATAGAGTTTGTATGTGTGTATGATATGGCTGCATAATATATATGAAATAATACTTTGCTGTTTTTTTTTTTTTGCTACACTGATTGTCAAATCTTAATCTCATATGTAAGAACACTGATAATTTGCATCAGTTACATGTTGACCACAGCAATAAAGAGATGACTAGAGGTAACAATTGATGACCGTGAGCAAAGAGATTACATTTCGTTGCTAGATTAGTTAACCTTATCTTACCTAATGTCTCATTTGTGATGCACTCATTGAGACTGACTTTGGCCCGTTTAACTTATTAAAATCTGAACCTTGAGTATTTGGGCCATGTGCACATCTACATTTGGCATATTAAATGCAGTGTTCGGTGTTGTTGGATATTGTGCAAGTATACAAAAATATTTTTTTTTTGCTGTGTGGAACTAACAACTCTTTTAAGCAAAAAATAAAACGAACACATCATTCACAATTGTGTAAAGTGCAAAAAAAATTTAATTACTACAATTGCAATCTCATATTTGTGCACTGTAAGGTTGTCAGAAAAGCAGCCATCCTTTTCTATATGTCAACAAAAATGAATAAATCCATTTGTATTTCTTTTCTATGGAGGCCTACAAAGCAAAAATCTACTGAACATTCGTTAGCTAATCTTGTCACAGCGTTACATACATAAGCAGCTAGCTAGCTATTTACAACTGGTTAAGTACTGCATAGTGTTCATTTTGCAAACATAGTTTTCACCTGAAAAAAAATGCTATCCCCCTGTCCTGGAAACCTGCTCACACAGAGCTCGTCTAGGGAATTAACAAATTAAAATGTTAAAAGCGTTCAGTGTTGCTGCAGCCTGAAGGGCTATAATGTTAATCTACAAATTGCTGCTGTCGGAAGAAAACCTTGTATCTCCATTTTTTTACATAACTTGAAAATGCCTGTTGCCCTTTATATTGTGTGTAAATTTCATGAAGAAAATGACTTGGAAAAAGGTCTGGTTCCATTGACTTGCATTAAAAGTAAAGTAGATTTTTGCTTATTACTTATTGTAGTTCAAAATTATGGACAGGTTTAAACCAAGCACCATATGTTTTTCGCCATGTGGTATGTGGTAATTTAGCTCTTGGTTAACAGTACCTCAGTTTTCCTGAATAGCCATTGTTATAGCTCATCGCATCTACAAGCCACATATAAGCCGATTAATCAATCATTAGTTGATTCATTCACATGGATAATTGGCTATCAAAATACTTTTTTTTTTTGCAGCCCTATACTTCAGTCCCATGGCTAGAAAGGGTCACCATTTATGTGATTAAAAAATCTTCTGCAACATGCATTACATTTCAGTGGCATATTACAGAAGGCACTGTTGCCTTGATGAACTATATATTGTGCAGCCTGAGTATGTATGTGTGTTTGTTTACATGTTAGAGGTATATTTGTGTGCAAGCATGCCACTGATGGAAACCTGATGTGTTTGTGGAATGCTTTGCACAGTGGATATTTAGGAATACAGTATTTGGTTGACTGTTGAAGACTTCATTGTCAAGCTGAACATTGTGAGTATAAATAAATCTCTCATTATCACCACTCTCTTCTTCCCTCCCTCAGTTCTCCACTCATCACGTCTTCCCTTTGGCCACTCTGTGGGTGGAGCCTATATCTGAGGAGAACGCTGGCCTGTGAGTGTGTCCATCAGAATGCATTCCTGTAAAATCTTTACTATTATTATGTGAATAATGTGCGTTGTGTTGTGCAGGTATGGGTTAAAAGTGACCTCACCTGAAGAGAGCTTCATGCTGCTGGCTTCCTCACCTTCAGAAAAGGTAACACCCCCTCAGTCAAACATGATTCATCTGTATCACAACTGATCACACCTCATTATTAACTTACGTATCAAAGTCACTTTATTTTGAGCATATTTTTGGAAGTTTATGTGTATTTTTTAAATAATTTTAGGCTAAGTGGCTGCGTGCCATCAATCAGACAGTGGAGCAGGCACTGAGTGGAGCAGGGCTGGACACCTCAGGGGCAGTGATGAGAGCAGACCCGCCCATCTCCCGGACCGCCTCTTACACCTTCTACAAGGATAGCAGGCTGAAGGGAGCCACGTACGAGGGCCGCTGGATGGCAGGCAAACCCCACGGCAGGTGGGTTTATTGGAAAGGGATTGCAAGGGCATGAGAAGAAGGTGCAACTCTCATTTTTAAATTTTTATGTTTTTTTTAGGGGTGTTTTGAAATGGCCAGATGGTAGGATGTACACTGGAACATTTAAGAACGGTCTTGAGGACGGGTTAGTCACACACTTATTTACACATTACTCTCATAATCTTATTACTTTCAAAACTGTTCAAGTTATTCATTACCAGCTCCATGACAGATAAAATGCAGACAGCAAGTTCATTGTTGTTTTCTTTTTCAGATATGGCGATTATATTGTTCCTAACAAGACCCTTAACAAAAATGATCATTACCAAGGCCATTGGAAGGATGGGAAGATGCACGGCTTTGGGACCTTTAGGTATGTGTTTGTGTGTGTGTGTGTGTGTGTGTGTGTATGTGTGTGTATGTGTATGTGTGTGTATGTGTAAGCATGCAAGGACGCTATGACAACCATAAAAACTGTTTTTCGCATGTACAGATTTGACTCGCTGATTCTATTTTTTCCTTGAGATATCCTGGAGATATTTGTGTTGTTTAGTGTACCAAAAAATGATAATGTACTCTTTTTAGCTATAACAATCAAGCGGACTGTTTGTGTTACTGTGCCCATAAGACAGATGTATGTAAATGATCTCTGTTTTTATAGGCTGCCCTGCATTCAAAAAGCCCTGTGGGCTGAAACATTCTTATAATGTCAGCATAAATTAATGAGCTAATCTGCTGGGCTGAATAGTTGGCTATATGTAAATACTTTGGTTTTCATGACATTACAACGTAATCAGTTCAAAACAGTCTATTATTTCAGCTTAGTTTCTATGCATGGACTGTATGGACTGGGGAGTGAATGGTATGTTATAAAACTTTAACAGTATTTACATATCACATCAAACTGTTTTATTTAAAAAAGTGAGGAACATGTAGTTTTCTGTGTTATGGGACCTTTGATCAATTTCCCTATTCTCGGGAATTCTGCTTGTAATATGAGTTTTACGAGTAATATTTTTTATTATTCTATTACGTGTAATATAGGATTGTTTTCCCAGAACACAGAAGCAAGCTTGAAGCAAAATACCTGACTTAAACATGTCAGGACGGTGTTTCATTTGCTAGCCATGTAAATTCCCTCTAGACAGGCTGTCTTTAGTAACATTCTGTATTAAAAAATAAAGTACCTTTTTAACATAACACTCTGATCATGAAATTATATGTGTTTGCAGATACGCTACAGGTGAAGTGTATGAGGGCTCATTTCAGGATAACATGCGTCATGGCCATGGCATGCTGCGGAGTGGCAAGCTGAACTCCACTTCTCCCAGCGTTTTCATTGGCCAATGGCTGCATGACAAGAAAACTGGCTATGGTGTCTTTGATGACATTACAAGGTAAGAGAACATCTCATAACAGAGATAACATTATAGCCCACCCTGTTAATCAACATACCTGTGATGCCAAGTAGACATATTTCTATAATTAAATCTTATGGCACTGGATAACAGCATAGATTTTGTTTTATCAGCATGAAGCACAGGTGTGATATTTAAGAAAGCCTTTTGAATATTAGAGGCAGCTTGAAGGTTCTGAATAATTAAATAGATTTAGCTTGTAGCTGAATATTACAAATAGAAAAAATAGAAAATAACAAGGGACCTAAAATAGGTCCCTGTGGGACACCTTTGATTAATGGCAATGATCTGATGGCTCATCTCCTACATTCACATAATTAGATCTGTATAATGAATAATTCTAACAAGCATTTATATACAGAGCACCAAACCATAGCTGACTGTTATAGTTTGCAGCAGAGAATGATCAAGTGTTTCAAAACTGAAAGTGTGACGAGGACAGAACATTCTAGAAATCAACATTCCAGTCAATCAGCCACAACTGATGATATATCAGCCCACTATTTGGCTTTGTTGGAGAATTTTGAGCTAACATTACTTGTGTTTTTATGTATTTTTATGTTTTGTGTGTGTGTGTGTGTGTGTGTGTGTGTGTGTGTGTGTGTGTGTGTATCAGAGGGGAGAAGTACATGGGTTTATGGCAGGATGATCAGAGGCAGGGGAACGGCGTTATTGTCACTCAGTTTGGTCTGTACTATGAAGGAGCCTTCAGCAACAACAAGATGATGGTGAGACCCAAACTCAATATTGTGCTGTCAGATGCACTACAAAAGGCGTGCAGCAACTGTCACTTTCTAAATTATTCATTTATCGACCTCTCTCACATATACACACACACTCTCTCACTGTCTCTCTCACACTCTCTCTCACTCTCTCTCACTCTCTCTCTCTCTCTCTCTTACACACGTTCAGGGGACAGGTGTTTTGCTTTCAGAAGATGACACTACATTTGAGGGGGATTTCTCGGATGACTGGACTCTGAGTGGAAAGGTTACAAACTGGAGACACACACACACAGTTTCTCTGTCTCTGTCTCTTAGTCTCTTTCTGACTCACATGCTTTTTCTGCAGGGCACTTTGACCATGCCTAATGGTGATTACATTGAGGGTTCCTTCAGTGGAGTGTGGGGCACTGGCCTGAAGATCTCTGGGTCCTACTACAAACCTAACTTGTACGACTCTGACAAGGAGAAGAGCTGCACACTGTATGTTCACGAAAATTTTTTTTTTTGGTGGTTTAGGGTTGCACATCTGCTCTGAGGTATACTGAAATAAAAGTGAATATTGGTGTGATGCTATGCCATGATATGGATTTAACTAAATTGTGAATATTGTGGTGATCCCTGCCCCATAAACAAACATGAATTTGAACAGCATAAACAATTCTTATAAACTCTATGAAAAGCATAACACACAGCTTAAACAATTTGTTGTTGCAATAGTGTGAGAGTGATATACGTTTGAGTTTATATTGCTCTTGTCCTACAATTTCATGCAAAAGTTTGGGCACAATTATGTGTTTTGTTGGTTTTGTGGAAGTGAAAATAAGCACACATCCTATACAGAGAACACACTTCTGCAAATTTTCAAGCACAATTACTGTTTATTTAACATATGGAAAAAATAAAACATAAAAATGTTTATTTGGTAACCATGTAAAGTGAATTACTTTTTTTTTCTTTTGACAATTTTGAAATAACGCTAGATGAGACTGCAAAAAGTATTAGTGACCTCTCCACCCCCCACCGGGTAACCCCAGTAATAAACCATATAAATTTTGGAGATGGTTTGAATTTTGACAGTTAGTACATGTATATACATGTTTCTTTATGTGCAGTAAGCTGGGTCGATTGGCTGTGCCTTCAGAAGAGAAATGGAAGGCAGTGTTTGAAGAGTGCTGGAGCAGACTCGGCTGTGACTCACCAGGGCAAGGAGAGACCAGCACGGCCTGGGACAACATTGCTATAGCACTGACCATCAACAGGAGACAGCACAGAGACAGGTATATATGCAGTCATATGCAAACATTTGGGCAGCCCTGGTCAAATTAGATGTTGATTTTCTAAATGGAAATAAGTTAATGTATCCTCTACAGGGAACATACTTCTGCACATTTTAATGCACCATTAGAGTTAATCTGCTGAATTTAACATAATGGAAAAAAAAAACATAAAATGTGGCCTGTGCAAAGGTTATGGCACATTTTATATATTTTACACACACACACACACACACACACACACACACACATATATATATATATATATATATATAATTTTTTTTTTTTTTACAATATGTTAAACCAACTACAATTTGCAGGTAAGTTTGTTCTTCTTTAACGATGTGGAACTTATTTTAACTCCAAAAAATCAACAAAACGTAATTTGACCAGGGGTGGTCAAACTTTTGCATATGACAATACATACTTATTTTAACAAACACAAGCTGTATGTGTACTATAAGGTGCCTACAGTATATATACACCAAAACCACAGTGTCAGAGTGAGTTTGTGCATGTGTTTTAGCCCTGAGTTGATGAGTCGCTCCCATAACAAAACCCTGGAGAGTTTGGAGTTTATCCCTCAGCATATCGGACCTGTTACCTTGGAGAAATACCACATCATCCGCCGCTACCTCATCAAGGTCAGTCTTAATTTTTGTCTAGAATGAGTAAATGTAATTGAATAATACTGTATTCTGGGAGTATTGATATCCATCTGGAGTGTCAGAGTCCTTATATAGTAAATTAGGTGGCTGTTAAAAATAATCAGTAACCTACATTAAAAAAAACTTCTCTTTAAACTAAGAATGTACTACTCACTGCAGTAAGCAGTTTCCTTTTTGATTGAAAAACAAGTTCATTAAGTTCACTGCATGCTGTCTGTGAAAGTCTTTTTAAAAAGTTTTGTTGGAAGCCATTGAGCCTATTTAAATCACTGTTTTCTGTGGGTCTGCTTTGCTCCAGCACAGGACCAGCATATCACGTGAAAACAGTGGCCTGTGGTTTGCATGTCAGTCAAATGACCCTTTCATGTCAAAGTAGGTGGTTCTTGGCCACAACAAACAGACACCTACGAATTCCCTGCTGATAAGCAGAATGATTGGCTTGCATGCACCAACTGGATTTCTCACTCAATTTATTAACTGTGGCCATTCCTAATTTAACCACCAGACAAATTAACAAAACCCAATGATTTGTCCTTTACGATAAAGTGACGTACTAAAAGTATTCATCTCTTTTTGTTTGTACTTGCTATGCTCATTTTCTTCTGCTGCTGTGCAGATGGGATTGTTTTGCAACAAATTTAGCCACTCCCATTCACAATGAGGTTATAAGGGGTGTTTCAGTCCGAGCTACTTTTTAAACAAGGCACAATACAGGGCGTCCAATCAGAACAGAGCTCATTTACATATGTCAGTCTTTAAGGCACAGTAACGAAAACAGAATGTTTAATTGTAGTGGATAAATAAACGTTAGAAATGTTCATGTAAAACTGAATGATCATTGTTTTGGTACATAAATCCACACACACACAAGTGGACCTTACAGTAAAGTAATTACAAGAAATTGTACTATAATAAAATACAAGAAAAATGTTGAATATGGACTTATTGGAGTTCTCTTCTCTCAAATCGAACAGCCATGCTCACATTTTTACAGCAGATGTTGTGCCTGCTAATGGGTAATTTTAAGTTATGACTTTAAGTTGTATGTAACCAGGGGTGTCAAAGCAGGGACGTCACCAAACTGTGCTGAGCCAGTTGGACCAGCTGAGCTTATGTTTGATCATAGCCTAGTTTCAATGTAAACTCCCCTAAATTTGCATTTATGAACTACTACAATTTTAAGTTGCAATATAAAGTTACTAAAATTAGTATTATATACAACTTAAAGTTATAATTTAGAGCTACGTTGAAACTATGTGACTTGGTGCAACTCTGCTGGACGCTGGCACTCCAGGACTAGAGCTGAATACTTCTGTATGGTATTGACCTTTGAATTTTGCCCCAGGCATGTGACACCCCTCTGCACCCACTGGGGCGGTTGGTGGAGACACTAGTAGCGGTGTACCGGATGACGTATGTGGGTGTTGGAGCAAACCGCAGGCTGCTGCAGCAGGCTGTTAATGAGATCAAATCCTATCTCAACCGCATCTTTCAGATTGTCAGGTGTGTCTCTCTGTACCTACTTACATTTTTTTGTAACTGCAGTGGGATTACCAGCCTGAGCTGAGCTGTGCGTGTGCACCTGTGGCTACATGACTGTGTGTGTTTTAGGTTCCTCTTTCCTGATCTTCCTGAGGAAGGGGGCTTGCTGGCTGAGGCTTCAAATGAAAAGAAAGAATCTGACTCAAATGGAACCAAAGTAGAGTCTCCAAAACCAGGGTGAGAATCAACAAATCATCCTTCACACACCAAAAACTCTCCAAGCTGGTGTCTAAATATGTCGACTTAAACATCATGAGCTAAATTGTTGTACAAATTATCCATTTATAATTGCTTTAACTGCAGTTGTGAGTCCAAGAGAGCATAGCTGGCCTTGCTCCCTCCATCGCTCAGCGCAGTGATAGCTGACATAACAGTATTGGCAGTTAATGTTCTCCTTTAAGTGCATTGATCTGTCCAGTAATATTGTGTTGGTGGTAGTTTGAAAAGATGCAGTTGTACTTTATATGCACATAGCCTTCACCTTCCTAGCTTGGTAACATTGTGTGATGAGGAGACCTAGCTAGCAGGTAGAATTAGCTACAGCTAAATTGGGCAGAAAATTGGGTAAAACTAAAAAAAAATAAAATGCATCACTCTAAAGGTGGCCAGCAGTTTAGCCCTGCCAGTTCACATATATAACTCTTAAAGGCACAGTAACAAAACAGCCTTCAAAACAAACTAAAATGCAAGAAAAATAATAAGATATGGGTTGTTTAATATGAGATTCTGTTTAGTATGTGCTCATGTTTTTGACCAAAACAAGATGTTCAGATTATTTCCAAATAATGTGGAAAAAACTTGGCCAAAAAAGTGTTCTTTTCTTGTCTACATTCCACTACAGTTGTAAATAGTTTCTCTAGTCATATTTGTGTATTTTTTCAAATTGTTCTGAATTGTACCAAAATAGTTTAATCAAACTAAATCATGATTTCTGAGGCTGAGACCGAAATGGATCCCTGTTTGTGTTTAGAGTACATTTGGCCTTTTTCGTAGGCACTGAATCGTAAATTGGAATTCCAGAGTGGTTTTGAGGGAACTATATTCTCCAACAAGGCAGCTGTAATTCATCGCTAACACTAAAAAACTGCAAGTTTCTTGTTACTATGCTGCTGACATTATGTTAACAGTGGCTGCTGAGCCAAAAACTAAACTTATCTTGACTCTCTGGAGAGGCACTACAAAAAAAAACAGCTCTGTACAATTAAAAACAAAGACCCTAATACTGCTCATCATACAGAAAAAACAATGACGTGTTAGTGCAGTCAGGGACCACGAGTTTAAATGTGTATCCTAGTCACTTTTTTTACTTTTTCTTTGCAACCCCTGCACTTTTGAATCTGTAACTCATGTTTGTTAATGTTTGTGACTGGTGATGGTGTCCAAATTCATTAGTTTGTCATATGTTTTTGCATCTGTTTAGTAAGCTAAATAATTCCTTCTCTCCATAGTACAATACTTAGTGAGTAGAGATCCATTTCAGTCATTTTAGTGTGTGCTTGTTCCTTTGCAGGCGTGTGGTCAGCAGTTCAGCTCTGCTCCTGCCTGTGTTGCTGCCGCGTCTCTTCCCCTCTCTCTTCACGCTGTATGCTCTGGAGAAGGAGAAAGAGGACGACGTGTACTGGGAGTGTGTGTTAAGGCTCAACAAACAGCCGGACCTCGCTCTCCTCGCCTTCCTCGGAGTGCAACAGTGAGACATACACTTGGGCAGTAAAATAAAGCTGTAGGATCTATGTTGAATGTTTGTCCTTTACCAGTGCCTCTTTGTTTTTGTAGGAAATTTTGGCCTGTGACCATGACAGTACATGGAGAAAAGCAACAGGTAAAAATCCTGTCTCTACTGTATTTTTATCATCTTCAGCACTATCAGGCCAGGATTAGTTTTCCATGAGGAGGTGGGGTCTTGCCTATTTACCACAGGACGTCCGTGATATGACCATTTTGCCCGGGATGAGACATCTTCAATTTGTCCATTTGTCCTGCTGTCTGAAGTGCATCAGCACTGCCATTGTGATTAGCTTGTGAACTCATAGCCAACAGTCAGCATCACTGCATAAAATCATGTTTTTTCTATAATTTTTACATGCTTTAATGTTCTGCAATGTACACTTGAGGTAGAAGAGTACATATCAGCTTGAAGCCACAGAGAACACAAATAAACCTTTCTTCAAGTACCTTAATACTTAATAATCTTCTTTTCACAGAATATGATAGCGTTTTTACCAACATGTCAATTTGCCTAGAATTACTGACATAGGAGCACACACATAGTAAAAATTACTGACATAGCACATTTGAACGGGACTGAAATCAACGAGAAACGTTGGTAAAAATTACTTCCCACCTCCTCATGTAAAACTAATCCTGTCCAAATAGTTCTTGAGCTGTAGAGAAATCATCAGATTTAGCAGTCATTTATAATCATGAAAGAAATGTAATGCTTGATTTAAACGGTTCATATCATGTAAAGGCAATCTTTTCCTGCTTTTTTTGGAATAGAATAGAAGTGATGAAGTATGTAGAATATAAGACAGCCAGTCAGAACAGATATCATTTACATATATCTGTCGGAAAGGCATCATAACAAAAACAGTCTGCTTAATTCTAAGGTATAAAGAAAGTTTGCAAAATAGTCATGTAAAAAATAATTATGACTGTTTTTGGTACATAAAGCCTTAGAAACATCATAACATCATGAAAAAAATTTAATGCAAGAAAAATGTACTATATGGGCCCTTCAATATTATGCTGTTTCTCCGAGTTCAGTGTTTTAACCTTTTTTTTTTTGGTATGTGTGTCTGCCTAGATTCACTCTAGCACTAAAGATGCCTGTTTTGCTTCAGCTGTGGAGACACTACAGCAAATCAGGTTAGAAATATTGCGTTTTAATGAGCTACAGAGGACATTACAGCAAATCAGGTTGGAAATAATATTAAAATGAGCTGCAGTTTAATAAGATTTTTTTTATTTTGGTTACTCTAGCACGACATTCACTCCCTCAGACAAGCTGCAGGTCATCCAGCTGACCTTTGAGGAGATAACCCAAGAAGTGCTCTCCTTGCTGAAACAGGACTTCCTTTGGTCCATGGATGATCTGTTTCCTGTTTTCCTCTATGTGGTGCTGCGTGCTCGGTATGTAACACACCACTCAGCATATTCTAAGGCTGTCTTTACACCATGAAAATTTCATGCAACTAAATTGCACTTGAGTTGCATAATGTAAAGTGTCATGCAACTTATTTGAAACTCAGCCACAACAGCTACAGGTGGCTCCACTTTGTGAAACAGGTTCCATGAAACATCCATTCAAAACGCATTTTCTAATTACACTGACTGACATCCTTTAAAACAACTGATTTCACTAGATCAGTGGACAAGAAAATAAAACAGAAGATTTTTTTATTGTGTTGTTGAGAAGGAGTGACAATGTGTTGTGTGCAGCTTTGGTTGTTTTTTTGAATCGCTTCCTGTAACTGTGAAGTTGCAAGGAAATTAGGTTGCAGGCAGCTCACAACATGCCATTTGTTGCATGAAAATTTCACCGTGTAAAGACATTCTAAAAAACACTGTTGAAATCAGTGTTCTGGAATATTGAACTTAAAGCCTTTACACACCAAGCATGTTTTATTTATGCAATTTTTTTTGGAAGGCAGTAAATTAATTAGAGGACGTGTAAAAATGACCATATCTCGCACAATAAAAAAAATTTTTTTAAATGGCAAACGTGACATTATTTGCCCTCTGTTTGATTTTTGCTAACTTTCACAGCAACATTATCACGGTCATCTTGGATGTTGGTATGGCAACAACAAAGCGGATGGATCAGCTGTGTTCTAGAAACTGCAACATTGTTGTTGCGGTGCAAATAACAATCAGAGATAAAAAAAAAAAAAAGGAAATTGCTTCTGATGTGTATAGCTTTGATGCAAAAAAATAGTCCATTATAGTGTCACGGCCTTTAGACTTCTGTTCTAAGAAATTATCTTTAGTACTGCACTTTATAAATGATTTTACAAACTAGCAAACTATATTCATTAATAGCACCAGTGCAATAGAAGGTTTCGAAATCAGCAGAAAATTCTGAGTCAATCTGTTGGTATTTGGCTGATACTTAAGGTTTCGATATGAGTATTGGTTTTAGAAAAGAAAAAGTGGCATTTTATCATCTTGAATATTAACATTATCTTAGCCTCTAGCTTGATGTGTTTCATTTTGAGACAAGCAAGTGATAATTGACGAAAAGTCAAAGAGGTTCTTCCTGGATGCAACTTTCAAATTGCTTTGAAAGGGGAAGTAAATATCCATACATTTTATTGCTGTATTGGAGACCCCACCTTTGATATCACCTGGTATGACGGTGATCTTTAATCTAAATAGACTTTCCTGAAGTACTAATCCAGATTTCTGCTCTGCTCATTCCTCAGGTCATGTGCTCTGCTTGTTCTCATTTTACTGAAAGGATTAGAATGGGCACCTAGGACTTAAATCACCATACTAGTCAGAAAAATTGCAATTAGATATTTTCCCCAAACAATCAGCCCTAGTGTAGTATTTCACCTGAGATTGTGACTAAGCAGTTTTAGGTCCAGTGTCCAGGTAAGTGTCACTGATGCTTTTTTTGTGTCTCATCAGCATAAGGAACTTGGGCTCAGAGGTCAGTCTGATAGAAGACTTTATGGACCCATGTGTGCAACATGGAGAGCATGGTATAATGTTTACCACACTAAAGGTACTGTATGCACACACATGCGCTTGTATGAACGTACACATACAGTGGGGGTGTCTAAAAGTCTAAGATCACATTGAAAATCTGGGATTTTTACAGTTAAACCTGGAAATTGAAAGAAACCAGAACAGAAAGAAAATAAACACATTTTCATCAGTGGTCTCAGACTTTTAGACCCCACTGTATACACACATATTCCTATCAAACTAAACAATCCATAAAAAGATGCCCACACAGACTTTGATTCTCCTCCTCTTGACTTTACATCCAAACTCTTTCCTCTCTCAGGCTTGCTATTATCAGATTCAGCATGAGAAGATCACATAAGAAACATCTTTCTGGAAGATGACTGAGCTGAATGACCGAAAGACCTACCAGCCAACGAATATGCTCAAGCTAATAAGTAGGACTTGTAACAAGACTTGTAACGAGCCTGTAACTGAACATCTGAACCTGATGATGCATCTGGATGAAGGAAAAACCTTTCCTGATTGTCCTTGCTCTTGCAGCGTGGATCGAGTGGAACCTGTTTTATGTGGTTGAGGAATGCAACTATGCTAAAGCAATTGTAAAACAAAACCCCTTTTTTCCATCTGTCCTCATACTCAGCCTTGCTTTCTCTCCTGCTCGCCAAAATCGGTTGCATTCCCTTTTTGATATAGTCTGTGATCCTGCTGTTGTTTTTTTCTATGTACTTTCGTGAATGTAAAAGCTCCACAGTGTCTGAGCCTGTTGAAGAAGCCACAGAATGAAGGAATTTTCTTGAGAAATATTCTGGAACAGGGCGATAAATTTGACTGTCTAATTCAACGGTGAATTGAATATAAGACGTGATTTTAAAGGACACCCATTTTTAGCAGGATGCCAATTTTTCAGCCTTGCAATACAGCATTCAACTAAAAGACTGCACTTCTACATGTGTCTGTATGCATCCCACTGCCCAGAAGGACATAAGTGACCCTGTCTTACTTACAAAAAGCCCATTTTGGTTGCACATCGCTGAACGCGGATGCTTCAAAAATCTATGAAGGGCGGTTGAGATGTTGCCCAATAAACAAGTGACCCGTTCCTCTGAGTCAAGAATATGATTGGTGGGGAGTCAGAATCCCTGCTGCTAATAGCCAATCAGATGCATGGAGTTTTTTCCTGCTTGTTTCCATGGAAACCTTGTATGCCAGGATTTTTATCGCTGCAGATGTCATGGGTTTGTGTACTTTTCTTAATGTGATGTGATCTCAGTTTTCTGGGAATATGAAGTAATGTAAGTATTTTGCTTATTGGAGATATCTTACTTGAAAGAACTTCAGAGTTATGTAACAGTATGTGCTGTTATGAGTTTGGTAACTGGACTCATTGAACACTCAGTCATGTTTGTTTTAGGAAAACCATGAACACATGCATTTTTATCAGTATGTATTAATGGCAACAGATCATTGGATCTTCCCTTGATATGCTGAATGACGCTAACTTCACAAGACTACAGTTTATGAGGAATCCCACTGATTCGTTTACATCGTAGAGATGTAAACAAAGTTACTCAGAGTGACTTGATGTGAAGTAGTGCACTATATAAAAACTCAACTCTGATTTCAGTGGTGGTAACGGGAACCAGGGGATGTGATATGTACAATGTAAATATAGCTAATTTGATACATGTTCATAATGGTAAAATAGTGGTAAAACCAGAGAAATATGTTTTCTTTGGGTTCTGTTTTGCCTTATAAAGCCCCACATTTTAGGCCAAAACTTTATCTATTGAAAAATAATGTCTCAGGTATCAGGAAGCGTATTAATAACCACTTAGGACATCTGGTTCCTATCATCACCATTTTGAACAAATCTGACTCTGTATATTTCTTTAGAACGAGTTTTTCACATCACGCCACTCTGAATGACTTTGTTTACATCGTAACCATGTAATTATTTATGCATTTTGAAAAATCAGTCCAATTCCCCTTTAATGTAAAGCAGTTCTCATGTCAAACATTTTAAAGTATGTTCTTGTTTTTTTTTAACCATGAAAGCTCATTGTTACAACAGCAAAGCTACAAATGTGGTGTTTTGCTCTAACAGCAGTGATAAGATGATAACAGTGTGTAAAATCACAATTATTTATCTTCAGCTTTTGTCTTGGGGGTTGATCAAAGTACGCTCATGTGACAAATGTAACTCTGATCACTGGTGTTTGTTCAGTCACTGCATTCAGCAATACCTTTCACAGTATTTCAAATCCAGTGTTCTGATATCATCATTGTTGTTTTTAATAGTTGAAGATTTTATTTATTTGATGACGGGGTCCGACTGCAATGATAATCTGAGCAATGTGGATAATCTGAGTAATAATCCATCTGACAGGCACTGTGCTTGAATGACCACAGAACCTGATGGAATAGACAGTAAAATGAATGCTTGTAGAATGCTAATAATCCAGGGTCCACCCACCAGTGTGTTCTTTTTTTTTAGAAACTGTTGTGAGATTTGACATGCCTCATGTGGAAAAGTCTGGCCACTTCTTATTTCTCCTATTATACCAAAACATGACTACAAATTGCTAGAGTTCTCAATGAATGGGGGTTAACAGAGCTAAATGGCAAAAACCAAGAAATTAAACATTTCTAGCCATTTATCTGGGAACTTTCTTTCATTTTGGGAAGCAGCTAGAAAGATGTATTTCTTTTAAAAAATCAAAGAAAACCATATCTTTCTGTTTTTTCTGCAGCCAAAAGGCAGTAGGACACTAGCTTTACTGCTACTGAGTGCTGACTGGTTAGCCATTTAGCTGAAGTGTTGGATGAGATTTCTCACATTAACATTAGGTAAAATAGTTAAGGTTAGTTACTTTCCCAACTACTGCAAACAGCTCCTGTAAGTCCTTTTATCAAAATAAAAGGGTTAGGTTAGTGTTAAATACATGGTTAGCTACACTCCCAACCAGGTTAGCTAGCTCTTTAGCTATCTTACACACTTGTAGTTAGTAATTTATGTAATTTTTTTAACTACAGCAAACAAACTTTTACACAATGGTAATATGAGCTACCTCACCAGCAGTTAAGCCAATAAGCTAGCTAGCTTACATGGTCTTCTAGGCAACTGGCTAATCTCCCGCCCAAGCTGAAGGTTTGCTTATGCTGTGGCTTGGCCTGCAGGGCTGCAGCGAGATGTCATGCGCATACAAAACATCGTTTTTTAGTTTAAGGTTAAATCTGATTTTTGTCAGTGCTCTATAAAACGTATCTATTCTCAAAACATTTGCTGCGAGACATTTAATGGAGCACAGATATCAGTTCATCCTGGGTGGAAACGTGCAGAGAACTTAGCAGTGAGATTTCAGGGCTTTGACTGTGGTCTTTGGTTGAGTGTGTGTTTGTATGAGTGGGAGAAACAAGTGTTAATTGTGGCTCGATGGACATCTTGCGACTGTTTACTGCAATTCCATGTGATGTTACAGAATTTACTTTTTTTCTTCAACAAAGGTTCATTCTTCCAGGTCAGTTTTGAACTATTGCTTCTATACTTGACTGTTTGAATGTCGTCTTTTGAAGAATGAACGTCTGTCCAGCTGGTACCTTCTGTCAAAATTGTCTGAGTAACTGCAGAGGGCAATAAAATGACATGGAAATTCCTAAGTCTGTATTTTTGTCCAGTGTTCTTCTTTATGACCATAACCAGTGCCTCAACTTTAGGTGTTCAGTTGAGGTTAGATTAAAGGCCGTATGTAACTTATATAATTTTCATATTCATCAAACCATTTAGTGACCACTCATGCCCTGTGGATGGGGGCATCATCATCCTGGAAGAGACCACTCCCATCAGAATAGAAATATTTTATCATAGGATAAAGGTCAGTCAGAAAACTTTGTATTGATTTGCAGAGACCCTTCCTTCTAAAGGGACATGTGGATAGCAAAATGTCCCCCATAGCATAACAGAGCCAGTGGACCCCCTCTTTATAAGAGTCAAGCATTCAAGCCTGTACTGTTCTCTTGGTATACACCAGTGGTCTCCAACCCTGGTCCTGGAGGGCTACCTTCCTGCAGATCTTATTCCAAACACAATCTGCGACACCTACTCAAGCTTAATGTAAGCTCCTTACATATCATACTAATGCACGAGTGTCATGGTCACTGAATATGTACTTTCCACTGCAATTTTCTATCCTATTCGTAGCCACGTTTACATGCAGCCTAATAATCCGTTAATAATCCGACTAGTAGCTCAACACCTCATTCAGAATAGTCTAGTCCGATTGAGGCCATTCGGAATATAGTTTCTATCTGATTGAACGAGGTGGGTACTCCTGTAAATAATCTGTTAAATAGAAGAATAATAATCATGTAAACGCCTCTATCTGATTACATTCCCAATTGGAAAGCTTAAGTACGTTCTGCACAGGTGCGTCACGTCATAGTGGAAGTTTATATCGTTCAACATGGCGGAGCAGAAACTGGTCTGCAGAGGAGACGAAGTTTATGCTCTGATCTTAAAAAGACGGCGGTGGGACGGACGTCCAGCTTATGTGTCTCATAACACAACGTCTTCCTCTCGCCCACAAGTGTAGTATGTTTTCCTGAGTCTGACATCATTTTAAAGTAATTAAAGACACAAGCACTGCTCACTGCTGCTCATCTCACTCTGACTGGACTCACATGAATCTATAATTGGAATGTACTCAATCAGAGTAAACACAGCCACTGATGTCTTCAATAGAACTAAATGCAGATGCAGCTTTGTTCCTTGTCTCTAATAAAACGCTAGCTAGTTGAGCAGTCTTTGTGAGTGAAGCTCCTGACATCTGTGGCCTAATAATGAACCCTCTTTTTCTTTGACCATCTTGATTCAAAATCAAGGTCAGCTGGGCCTGCTCAGCATTTTACACATGCCACAGAACATTGCTGTTAATTGGTTGATTGTATCACCTGTCATTTATACTTGTAATGTTTCTCCACTCATTTATTCATATTTTTCCTTTCATTTGTCAGCCGTCCGTGTCTACACATGTGGCTTTTATACACACTGAAAAGAACCATCCCTCATAGAAATGCTGCTAAGGCTTAGCTAGCATTAGCATCTGTTTTAGCTTATTTTTTCTTCTGTAGAAAGTTTTTAGATGGTTGTGGAGTGAGAGAGGGATGAGAAGGGATAGAACAGGGAGGGCGGGCTGACCAATGGCAATAAATGAAAAAGGGATTTATCAAATCAACTAATGACACTGGAGTTTTAACATCCTGGTGAGGGGGTATTACTGCCCTCTTTAGCACGGAAAAAAAGCAAATCTGTCAATCATATTAAAACAACCTTTCATTCAACTGAAACAGTTCTATATTATATCTGCATTGCGTGCTCCAAAGCCTATACCACCACATTACCATAACAGCCAAATGCATCATCCCAATACAAGAGAAATGAAATGTTGGATTACGAGATTGATTATCTAGAACTGTAGCCATCCAATAAGAGCAATAATGTTACAGTGCTGTGAAAAGTCACATGTTGTTGTTAATGTTGTTGTTCATTAGTTTGAGGTATGAGTTTATTGTGCTATTCTGTGTAGGTGGAAGTGGGTTTTTACTGTGTCTTATTTGAGAGAGGGTCACCAGTAGCCAGGGGGGCACAACTCTGATCCTGGAGGGCTGCTGTCCAGCACAGTTTGGAGGTTTTCCTATTCAAACACACCCACTAAACCTGGCAATTAACATATAAGTGTAATTAGTTTTGTTTGAGTACGTAAATCACCAAACTGTGCTGGACACTGGCCCTCCAGAACCAGAGTTGTGCAAACCTGCTCTATGCCAAAGCTACACTATAAATCTACAGTTGTATGCAAAAGTCTGGACACCCTTCCAGGTAAAGTCTCAAGACCTAATTAATTGATTAGGTCTTAATTGAGTCATTAGAACTGGTTAAACATGTCAAGAATTGTAATTAGGAGCAGTCACCTGATGAGAATTCCGCAGCGTGAGAAATTCCTGACCCAAATCTTGTGCTGATTATGTAGAAATGTTTGAATGTTGGTCAGTCAGGCAAAGCAAAACACCCATATGACTGCAAAGGACCAGCTGAAAGGTTTATCCAACACAGAAGTGGTGGTGCCCTATTCTAATGTGCAACTTTGCTTGCACAAACGTGATCTGTGTGGAGGAGTCATTAAAATGAAACATTACCTGCAAAAAAAAGTTAATGTCTAGAAGATGTAAAACAACATCTAGATAAGCCAGAGCCATTTTGAAAACAAGTGCTGTGGACTGTGGAACTCTTGGGCCACAGTCCATACTAAACCAGAGGCATAAGCAGCATTTGATGAAAAGAACACCTTGCCAACTGTTAAGCATAGGGATAGATCTATTACACTTTGGGTTGTTTGGCAGCCAGTGGTACAGGAAACATTGCACTGATCAATGGAAGAATGGATTCCACTGAATATCAGCAAATTCACAAAGAACATTTAACACAGTTGAGTTGTAGCTGAAAGGCTACAACCGGACAGTGATCCAAAACATACCTCAAAATCAACCATGAACTACTTAAACTTCATCACAACAAAATCTGTGGATAGATCTTAAATGCATTGTACGTGAAAGACAGCTCAAAAACTAGAAGGATTCTGCAAGGATGAGTGGATGGAAATTCCTGAAATAAGAATAGAAAGACTCTTAGTTGGCTACAAAACCATTAGCAAGCTGTGATATCTGTCAAAGAAGGTGTTACTAAGTACTGATTTTTTTTTTCTGTTTTTTAAGTTAAGCACTTAAAGTGACCGTTCTTTTTTGACATTATGCTGCAGTGGTTTTGTTTAATTCTCTCCACATAACAAAATGTGCAGGGGTGGTGAATATTCAAAACTGAATGTTAATATGATTTATACTCTGGTTTCCATTCATCCATTCATCATCATTTGTTAATTTTGTTTATTTTTTGTAGCTTTAATCAATAATGGATGCAGAAAATGTAGTAATCAGATTACTGCCACTTCTGCTTGTAGACAGGATTCAAATGTATTGAAAGGTTGTATTTCTAGGATTATCCAAGTGCGTTTTCGGATCATTTATGAATTCTAATTTGAAAAACTTTTTTTATTGCTGCAGAACCCAAGTGTGCTTCAGCTTCAAGGCTCTGATTCTCACGCCATGCTACCATACTGATATGACGGTCTGAATACACTAGATGTTATGTGTGCTGTCCTGAATGCCTTCTGGTTCCAGGGAGACACTCTGATTCGTGAATCATCCAGGTGATATTTTTGGCAGCCATGAGACAAACATTTCTATTTGTCATCTTACAAGGTAGTGATTTCAGCCTTTTAGCTCCTCCCTGAGGTCTGTTTAGATTCGCTGACGCAGTGGCTGAGCAGGCCACATCTGGACTCAGACCTGTGTGGGCAGTATGGCTCAGACGGTCTGCACTGCAACTGATAAAAAGGAACTGAGAAATGGAGGAAAAACTGAAAATAAAAAGGGAACTTATTTTCCTTACATTGCCAACCAAAAATGCTTGATGCAGATACAGACTGTCAACAAATTAACTGAAAACCTGAATAAATTAGAGAAACAGTGACCACAGTGACATCTGCATTCAAATCTTTTCACTTAGAAAGAAAACAAATCCTGTCAAAACCAAATGTACTGCTTTCTCTTTCACCCCATAATCCCACTGTTAACAACTTTTCTTGTGCAACTTAATATAAATGCCTAGATCTCTATTATCTAACGACCAGAAATAAGATCAACTGACCCTGAAAAAGTTTCCAAGGGAATAAATTCCCAGGAATGCAGTGATCCAGATCAAACTCTAGAATTTGTTAGTCCATAGCTGTTCAGTAAAAGAGAAATGTAGCTGAAATGTAGCGATTGTGTTTGGTGAAATGACCGGTGTGGAATTGTATAGAACTGTGAAACTGCTGTCCCATAGATTGTTGCTGAGTTAGGAGAGTCAGAGCACACATTACGTTGTAGTGCATGCTGGGTACCGTGAAACAGGCTAATATTAATTGAAAATTAAAATACTTTTGCGGGCCAGATAGGATTGTGGGCCTGATCTGGGCCGCAGGCCTTGTGTTTGACAGATGGGCCTTACAGGTTCCACAGGTTTTCCTAAGGTGATACAGTGTTGGACAGTGGCCACTGCAGCAAACCTGCACCATGGAGAGAGTCCAAGCAAGCTGAGATCACTGTGTGACCCTCATTCACTTCACTGCTGTTCTCTTTAATTACGCTCAAGGGGATTATATACCCTCCGTGTTGTGTGTGTGGGTGAGTGTGTGTGTGAGAGCGAGGTGGAGTGTCTTTGGGCGAATATGCAGTTTTGAGTGTGTGTGTGAAAAAGAGTCTGTGATGATGCATTGTGTGTGTGTGTGTGTGTGTGTGTGTGGGTTTGTGTGGGGGAGTCACATCTGTGTTAAAGCTCAGCTACATTACGTGTGTTAATAGCAGAAAGAGTTAAGAAGCTTTAATGCCATCTGATAGGAGGGAGAAAAAACACTCTCTTCTCCTCTCTTCCTCTAACTCACTCGCTTCATCCCTTCACCCCATCATTCTATAATAATAATAATAATAATAATAATACTATTATTAATAATAATAATAATAATAATAATAACAACGACAACAGCAAATTTGTACAATCTTTATCAATCGCCAAATGACACTTACAATATATGAGAACACAAATACAATGTAGCATATAATATTAAAGGGGAATTCCACCCATTTTTCAAAATTTCTGCATAATTAAATTGTTAGCGCAATCAAACAAAGTAATGTAAATAGTCATCCACAGTGATTTGAGGTGAAATGCTTCATTCTAGAGAATTTACTTACTCTGACTTAACTTGACTTTGTTTATCTCAAACATTGAATTATGCCAATATGTAGAAAATCAATGGAATTTCTATTTAAAGACATTAACTGATCAACAGAAAAAGAAATCGTTCTCTTGTTTATCGGTCACATTCACTTAGTGCCGCTTTCTTCCTCTCTTAATGTCTCCCCTCTCTCTCTCTCTCTCTCTCTCTTTCTCTCTCACTCACTCACTCTGCTTGCACAGGATTAAGAAGGATAGAGAGGGATTACTGTCCTCTGTTCCGAGGGAACTCTCTGTCACAGTGTAGTAGAATATCAACCCCAGTGCATCCACACCGGCACATCTAAACAATCTTAATCCACCCTCTGCTCCACAACACTGGACTAAAACAAGAACGCTTTCGCCGATCACGATGCTCTGAACTGTATCTGGAGAGAACCAAAGTGGAGGAAAGGACGCAGAGAAAGAGGGAAAGAGGTGAGATGTGAGGATTTGCTACTTAACTATTGGAGTGTGAGCTCAGTAGTTCTCTTCTCTGTGGTTTAGCTTAATCACTATCAGTAATCAGTAAACTACTGAAGTAGTCGGTTTATCATGACTGCCATTAAACTACATCTATATCTATCTATCTATCTATCTATCTACATATATGAAAAACAAGTATCTCCAAAATGGGAGATTTACAGAAGAGGGTGAAAATGTTCTTTAAGTGTAACATAAGTTAATGTAAATACATTTTATTCCAAGTGATTTTGGAGCACTTCTATTGACCCCTTCATCGTGGATATATATATATATATATATATATATATATATATATATATATCACTGCTCTCTGAAGAAAACCTCGTATGTCCATTTTGTTGTTTTTCATGATGAATGGAACAAAAGAAACAGCCCACAATGACTTGGAAAAATGTCTGTTTCCATTCACTTACATTAAAAGCAAAGTAGGTTATATATATGTAGGTATATATATATATTGCTGCTGTACATACATACATATTTTTTCAATTTTTTGATAAGTACAGGTATGTACACAACATATATGTACATATATTTTGAAATATATGCCTTACCCTGATATTTGCCCATATATAGCCATATTTCAGATTATGGTTTATTTTGTGCTAATGTAGACGAAGTGGAATTGATTTGGTATACTCAATAGCAGAGGTGCTAATAAGTGGAGCTGGATTTGTATCCTCAGAGTGTTGTAACTGATGCTAATACGTTTAGGTTTAGGTTTGTAATCTGTAACCAGTCCTCTCAGTGAGACAGTGCTGTGAAGCTGCATTCAGTGAACTGTAATGGAGATTTGGTTGTTGTCTGCAGGTTTGGATGAGAGGAAAGTCAGTGAGAACTATCCAGACTCCTGTGTGGCCCTACACACACTCCTGTGCTATGAGGCCAGCCATGGAGACTGAACTGGACGTGGACGTGGAAGAAAGTGGTAAGAGATAAGTGTTTTAACTTATTGTTTAAATAGCCTGTTAAATATACACCGATCAGGCATAACATTATGACCACCTCCTTGTTTCTATGCTCATTGTCCATTTTATCTGCTCCACTTACTATATAGGTGCACTTTGTGGTTCTACAGTTACAGACTGTAGTCCATCTGTTTCTCTGATACTTTGTTAGCCCCCTTTTACCCTGTTCTTCAGTGGTCAGGACCCCAATGGACCCTCACAGAGCAGGTACTATTTGGGTGGTGGATCATTCTCAGCACTGCAGTAACGCTGACGTGGTGGTGGTGTGTTAGTGTGTGTTGTGCTGGTACGAGTGGATCAGACACAGCAGTGCTGCTGGAGTGGTCATAATGTATGTTAAAAAAAAGTTAAATATATTATTATACTATTATTCAGATACTGTAAATTATACAATAACTATTGTGAAACTAATATAAATTATTTCATTTTGAGAATGAGAGAAAGTAGTTGAAAGGGAAATTCTGTAGATTTTTTTTAATTTTCTGTATAAATCAGTCACTGAGATGTAAGCAAAGTCATTCAGAGTGGTTTGATGTGAAATAGTTCACTGTAGTGAAACTTGACCAGTGACCAGTGGACCTAGACATGTCTTCTGAGTTTTATATGCAATGTTGATAATGATGAAATAGTGGTGAATTCACACCCTGCATGTACCCCTCCACACGGTATGAAACAAACCCCCTGCTAGACTGGGGTTCCCATGTTGGCTGGTTCAGTGTTGGCTTGCTGCTAACTCGCTCACTATAGTGGCGCTAATGCAAGTAAACTGTTTGGTTTAGCAGTTCTTCTTCTAGAAACGCTCTTTTCTAGTTTGGTAATGCGCTCTTCCACACAGTCATTGGGATCTTACACATCTCCTCCTTTATCTTTACTTCAGGAAATGAATGACAATTTCC